CAATCTTACCTAGACAGAGCTGCTAACAACTTATCTTACCCAAATTGACACAAATTTCTTCCTATTCTTCACACCCATTCCCAAAGTAGTTTCACTTGAAGTAGGTATATTTTCCTTAGGGCATATGCAGTTTTCTGCAAAGTTTCTGTAACATTAAACCAGATATCTTCAAGCACTGAGGATGTTCTATGAATAAGCCTTAATTGGGACTCTAAGTGGTTTTCCGCCTTTAGTGCAAACAGTGAAGCAGGCTGCCATAGACATTTTCATAAGGAATTTGACACATTGCATAGAAATCTCATTTGTCCACGCCTTTTGCACTTCGAGCCTTATTGTTATCGTTGATTTTATAAATATTTCATTTTTATCCGCAATATTATCTTATTGTCCACTGGATTTAAAAGCCTCTTTCCTTTGGCGGAATTAGCTGAGCGCGGAGAGCCAGTCCAGATTGCCAGCATATGCCATAACTCGCATGGAGAGTTTTCTCTTGTCTAACAATCACGACATGGAATCCTTAAAATTTCAACAACCCCCTGATGTAAAATCTTTTTCAGTTTACTGTTACTTCTTTTGTCACGCGTTTAATCTTTAGATGAAAACTAATCTGCACGGATGAAAATCGGATTAAGAATTTTCAGTGAGCAAGTGGAATTGCAATGTGTAGCTCAAGAATCAGAATCTTTAGTTATTCAATCATTCTCTCTGAATGATTCCACAGGATTATGATTGTCTGATTATAAGAATCTACCAATCGATTGTGACTTCCTGATTCGGTGATTTGCCTGTATCAGGCAATCTTAGTGCAATCACACGAGGCGTCTCCTCGTGTGATTGCACTAAGATTGCCTGATACGATGATTAGATTAATCAATTTTGATGATTTGACTTGAAGACTTTAAGTTGATAGTTGAAAATTATTTTCCTCGGCAATCTAGATGCTTCTGTTGTTAATCAAGTCTATGACTCAACGACCAAATGATTTTTTATTAAATGAATCGCTGGTTTAAAAGTTCCTTTCTTGATACGCCTGCTTCTGTAAGGAAAATAAGTTTTTTTAATGCCAGTAATGAAAGAATAGCATGTTCTAATCTCTTTGAAGAATTAGGGAGGTTCGTAAAAAGAGAGCTACGTAACATGGTCTTCCCTCTTACGTTATGTGAGCTATTTTAACACGTGTTTTCTACTTGTGAAGATTGATGGAAGGAATCAACCAATGAAACCATTGCTAGAGCTACTTCCGCATGTTGTTTTGGGAATAACTTACCAGATTTAAGAAGAGTTAAGCACTTGCACGGTTCGTTTAATGTTTTTTCCAGAGTTGGTTTTCATTTGTTCGTTTTTAGTAATAAAAATGGGTTATACTCGCGTGATAATTAGTTTGAAAATGCAAAGAAGCATAACGCAGAATGCTTTGTAATTTCTTCCTCCTATCAGTCTCAAATTTCATTCAATTAGGCTGATTATTGCCAATCTAACTTGTGCAAGAACGATCTAGAGTCCTCTTTTGATTCAAACTAGCATTTTATTTCTTTTTGAGCCTACAGCACCGCAGATCCATTTAACAGCAACATTACAAAGCACTTTGCAAATCCAATCTACCAATCTGCAATAAAGCACAAAATACCATTAGCAGCTACGTATTTATATTTCTTTCACGTGCCTGGCTTTTTAAGTCTCTGTGTGATATGATATCACATAATACCTACTTTTGCAATATTCACTTGACCGTGTATTGTCAACAAAGGATATCTTGTTATCTTGCTCTTTGTTAGAAAAGTGACATTGGACATTAGACTATATCAGACTTTAGGATATGAAGAGTTATCAGATTTAAAAAAAACGAGGCATAATTCTTGAATACAAAGTAGCCGTCTGTAGGAAAAAATTGTCTTTATAAAAATTGTTTTTCACTTATTCAGTAGAGAAAGGTTTGGGAAAAGTTACATAGTTTCATATGTATTTCAAAAACTGTAAAAACACAACGGTCTGAATAAATTGATAGACATTTATAAGAAATTACCAAGCCTACTTGAAGTAAAACCTTGGCACAAAATAGAAGATTAATGGCAGGAAATGTCATTCTCAGAACAGCCGTGTATGTAAGGTTGTTAAAGGGTTGTGCTGATAATGCATGTCAACAGCTTTAAATTTGCAGAGAGACGAGAGTTTACATCAAGCCTATGAAGGATCGTAAGCAACATTTTTTTCGAGTGATAGGTTACAAAATGAATCGAAACTACAAAATGCAATGCAAAGGCTAAATCAATTACTAGGCCCAAATAAGACAACAAATTGCTAGGTGAGATGTAAGAAACATGGTGAGTTGCTTGGCACTACGAATTATTCAGCTTGCATGTGCCAGAATTGACAACGATATTTATTGATATTGCAGGTGGGTGGAAATTAAAGAGAAGATAGGTTTAGGAAGAAGATATTGTCATGTAATGTTGAATAAATATTCAATTGGAAGCATCAAATAAATGTCGATAGAAAACGACAATATGTTTCTCATTAATATTGCACAACATCATTATTTCCACCTAAAAAGACAAAATAGAAATGTCACAGATATTTACAATAAAGAAAAAGATGACAAACTAAAGTTTATAAGACTTTATACCCTTACATTTTGCTTTTCTATCAAAATTCAACTTAGTTGACAAAAAAAGACAAAACAGAGTCGAGTCCTTTACACAATTATGTTTTAAATGACGTCTTTAACTCTGCAGACAAGTCACAGATCATTCCACAATACGACGTTCTAGGCCTTGGTTTGGCTTCAATTCTGTCGGCGCTGCTCAACATGATAAAACGCTATTTTATAGAAAAACTTTGCACCGAGCTTTTGTGCTCATCCAAGTGTCGGATGTCCTTGTTTAAAGACAAAACCAAATCAAATCTATAGTTCTTTACAATATTAATTCATGAAATTATAATAAATTAATTTTCCAACCTGGATTCATTCAATTACCTTTCAATTTATTGAAACAAGAAACGTATTAAGCTTGTTGGCCACACCGAAAATTTTGATTGATTTTGAATAAAGATCGGCAAGTTGCATTGATTCTTGGAGCCTTGCTTTTATTAGCGTCAGATTTGCACTTCAATAAAAGAGTTTTTCCAAAGACTTTATTCGTATGCAGAGATTTTAGAGCCTAAAACAGGTGTTATGAAACAAGCTTCTTTCTGGCAAATGCTAATAAGAACATCGCGAAAAAATAGGAAAGCAAATTCTGCATCAATTTATGATTGTTTCGCATTAAGCTTACTTTCTCTAAGGGCCTGAACATAATATAAGACATTTCCTTGTCGGTCAAGATCTAGCCCACAACGTGAATTGTATGTGATTTTGAGATTGTGTTCATTTGAGGGCTCCTTGAAAATCAGCATTGCTGAAGACCTACCTTCCTTAAACATTTGAAATTAAATGATATGAGATGAGGAGTGGGTTGGGCCACCGAGGAGTAAGCTCCCGAGTCAGTGGGATCCAACTCTGATGGGATAGAAATTTCTCGAATAACACAATTTAGTTAGTTTGCTCGGTAAGGTGGGATGAATACAAATAAAAGTCTCATGGGCAAGTTTTTACAAAATCATTCAGTCATATTGAATTTGAACGTAGCCCACTTCAGGCTCTCCACAAGTCTTGAATCACCTTATATAAACAGGCCACAATTTCTGCAAAATGTAATGTTTTGCAGAAAATTTTCTTTTGCAAAGGATAATGTTTTACAGATAATTTTCTTCTGCAAAGGATACTGTTTTACAGGAAATTTTCTTCTTGTTTGCTTAAAAATTATATGGCCACTAGCCATTGTCATGATGCTTTTTGGAAAATTGCTAGGTTGGGAAGAGGCAGAGTTACAACACTACAGTGGTGTATCACAGAGTCTATATCGACGCTACCAACCCTTCAATCACATCTGTTTGCATTTTGCATTTTCCTGCAACGCATTATCGTGTCACCTCATTTTGGTAAGAAAAGAGAAGAAAAATGTATCAAAGATGGTTTTAAGCGGAAAACTGAAGGTACGCCACCGTTATCATGATGAGCAATCAAATAAAAATGAAATTGAAATAAGGAACAGTTGCAAGTGGAACTACTTGCTTCAGACGGTTCGCTCTTTATTTGTGAAACAGTCATTTCGCCCATTGAAAAGAAGCATACCAAAAATATCTGCACAGAAGACGCCATACCTGAGCCAACAACCTTGACTCATTTTGATGGGGCCAATTCTTTCTTGCTAGGGCCAATTTGTCTTGTCATGAAGAGGTGGAAGAGTATCGTAATTCTCGATAGTCGAAGCCCTTCAATCGGCCCGTTAGATATAAAATCCAGTCACAACTGATACGTTTTTGCTTCTTTTATGTTTGAATCGCCTGAATCGAAAAAAGTTTTCGCCACACCGCAATCGCCTGTTGAAGAGTGACCTAAAGGTGTAACATTAAACTTCTTGCATATAATCTTCAGTATGTTCAAAGCTCTAAACATGATTGACAAGAAATGTATCGATGTTCCTATTCACTTGGTTTTCTTTGAGCATGCAAGTCTTTACTTTGCCCGAGTCTTAACTGGTGTTTATTCACAACCCTGGGCAAACAGCGTTACTACAATACTGATAAATTTGATATCAGAATACATAGACCAAACTTTGAGTAGGGAAGTGTAATGACATGTTGTCCTGTTTACAGTATGTATGCAGCTCGGCATTTGTTTAATCGTTTATCTAAACAGCTGTTTCAATGGCTGAGTGCATATCTAATGCAGAATGGCATGGCATGCTAGAAGAAATCCGCAATCGACTGGCCATTTTGCATCGAAATGTACAGTTGGCTGTTAGAAGTGAAATCTCATTTATAAACAATAAGACGAACTCAAATCTTTGAACTCTATTGTCTGTTATTGTCAAATGAGCTTTTGTGCTGTAGCCAATCGGCAACGGCCCTTGGTGCACCTGCATCTCTCCATTGGTTTCTATTGCACACACCTGGTCGAATACGGAATCAATTTGCGCAAAGATTCGAATGTTATAGGTAACAGCCATTTGCAGTGGATTCCTAGCTGAGAAGCTAATTAATCGGGTGGCGAGCATCGATACCCTTTATATTAAGAATGCCATCGACGCTCTGACAGCCCTGACCAAGCTAAAGATGCCAAGAGCTTTTCTTATCAAGAAGAAATGGAAGAGCGCCACCGAGGATCATCTAGAGAGAAGCTCCATCAATATTCACGGTATACATTCGTAATCACTGCATATTAGATAAGCGTTTTTCATGCAAACAGATGAGTTTAGTTCTTACAAATTCATAGCACACGATACACTTAAACCACTCCAAATGGTCATATGGGCTTTTTGGAGAATTCGAATTTTACAATTATCTTTCAAGATTTTATTTCGTTTATTGCTTTTACAGTTTTGATAACGATTTCCTCTTTCATCGTCGATTCGACGTAGAAACCGATCTAATATTAATATATTCAGTTCAGCCCTGGGGCAATTTGAAAAGTATTGATTTAAAAATATTCTATCGAAATAGATATTAAACAGTTATTCTGTAGTTGTAAAGCAGTTTAAATTAAGAGATGCTTTAAATATCCTTAATTTTATTTCAGCTTCTTGTAGTTTGAGATGTATTTGCATTCAAGCAAAAATGTGTATCTTGTTACGCTTCCCTTTTCAAGCTTGCAATATATACCATACAGGATGTTTGTAAAAGAAGATTTTTCTTTAAATAGACAGGGAAGATATTTCTGAGCGCGGAAGTCCATCTTTCACTAATATAATCATAAGATATCTACGAATAGAAAACTTTCCTATGATATAATAAACACCAGGATCTATAATGTTGCCTACAAATCAACACGTGATTCTATCAAATTTTCGCAATATTTCCACCAGTACTGGAAGAAACATGGAAAGTATGTGTCCAACGTCGATATACTAGAATCAAAAGTTCTTAAAAGACAGTTCGAATTTTTATGCCAAAGTTGCAAAAACATCTTGGCACTCACTTAAAGCATAAAGTAATATTAACATATAATATTAGCATTTAATTAGTTTTTAATGAAGGAAGGCCGATATACTCTAAACCTTTAAGACGTCTAAATTTTATTGGAAGTGAAATTCATAAAATACTCCTGCTAAGTTGGTAATAGATATTTTTTAAAAATGATATAGGTGGCTCCTAATAAAATGATAAGCATATATTCAAAGAGTATGCGAATTTATATCTTTTAAGCATGAAGTTAATAAGAGAGTTTATCGTTAGCCTGTCATTACACGTATTTGCATGATTTGCAGATGAGAAAGCTCCGGTCTTTCAAGATGGCAAGAAAGTCTCCGAAGAAAAGACGACCGTTGTTAATAGAACAAAATGTGATTTGAAATGCATCAGTTTAGCACCGTTCTCGTCGCCCAAAAGAGGACTGGAAATATCACGCCAGTGTTATCAATCACCAAGCCCGTGGGATGCAGGTTTGTGACTCGAATTTTCACTACCCTGATAGGCTGCACTCACACAGATAGCTTTCAAATAATTGTCTGCTGCCAACCTTCTTCAAACTGAATTGCTCAGCTAAAAGCATGTTCCTTGAATCTATTCTTTCAATAGAATAGCTGACATGGCTAAAAAAATTATAACGAAGCAGCCGAATCTTTAAAGTAAATCTGCGCAAAGTTTTCAAGATAATACAAACAAATCATTGCTGACGAATAAACTTCCAGAATAGATGTTATTTTTCTGAAGTGATATCTATGAGTTACGTCACCTATCACTCAGAAGTTCTACTAGCAACTGTCATTACAAACGTTTCCCAAGAACATAACAGCATCTTTCAGAACACTAAGAGAAAAAAGTTTTATCAGAAGGCGGTCAACTGTATTCCATCGTGCCCGGGGTGGCATCAAAATCTTCGTTATTTCTGTATGCCGTGGTGAGGTCGGTTAACACTGGCAGCCGCTGATCATCAATGTTGATGATATCAATCTTTTGAAATGATAAGTTTATATTCTGTAACCTTTTTGCTAGATCAGGCAGTCTCGTGATTTGTGAAGAGCACGTGGCAAATTAGACCTCAACGCACACATGTGTAAATTCAGTGAGCAATTCTCAAAACGCCAAGGCAAATCGACAAATGAGTTCATCATAGCAGGATATAGAGAACGTTTATTGAGTTTTCCTTAGAGCAACTTTGCTGCTAACATATAATGGTGTAGGCACACCCACCACTTTTCCAGATAGCAACATATTTTCAAAGTATCTAAGGTCGATGTAAAAACATCCAAGAGCTGTTGGAGACAGAAAGTAGGAGGCTATAACACCCTGTTAATTATCAAACTATAATCAATCTGCATTACAGCCATGCACTGAACGAGCAGATGAAGATACTTCTCTTCACCCCCTTTTTCATCCACCCAACTCCATTTCCCCCTTTTCGACGACCCTTTTCCATTCACCAATGTTGCCTTCATGCAATGAAAATATATTCCTATGAAGCTTCTTTTATATAGCACATGTATCTTTGTGCTCAACCAGTAAACGTACAAAAAGGACTTGTCAAATATATTCTTGATGTCCTCTCAAAAAAAGATTAATTCTAGTTTTATTCTACCGAAAATCTGTTTTGCTTTACCTTACATCTATGAAAAGATTCTAGAAGACCTTTGACTTGATTGACTTGCCATAAGCCTTGTCTAAGCTACATTACATTGCTTGCATTACATTTTTTCACAAAGTTCCACAAATGTATTCAATAAGTTTCAAAGATAAATTTACATTGGCCATGCTAAAATCTCTAATGTTTTTGGTTAAGAAGGGTGCTGGCTATCAAAAGTCAGACTTTTGTTTCCAAGTATTTACAATAAGCGTAGTTTAAAAGAATATTCTTTAACTTACTCGAGAAAAAGTTTAAAATATAATTTGTTATTGCTAACAGAATTTATTACAAACATCCTGTTGTGAGAGAGATTTATTAGATTTATTCTATGTTGTGATTTTTTCTTTAATGAACTAAATGGCCAAAATTGCTGACATTTTAAGGATTGGTGAAACCAAGAAATCTACAGGCAATTTACGACTAAAAAGAGTTAAAATTAAGAACTTTGGAGTGGAAATAAGAATTTATTGCAATAGATTGACTGTATCTCAAGATTTATGCTGGTTAGAAAGTTGAATGAAAATTCACTAAAGTTTGAGGATGTGAATTTTAGTTAAGATTAAGTGACGATTTCGACAGTGCATCACTCTCATCATGTGAGACCAGAATATTTTGTATTGAAATATTGTAAAGAACACCTATATTGGATGACCTCTAAATAATTTACAAGGCGATAAAGGTTATGGTAGAGACTTCTATGTTTTGCAACATCCTATGTTCGATTGACAAGGCTCTGTTTCTACATCTTTGTGAGAAAGTTATGTGTAGTTTTGAGTCTATAGTTTCAGAAAGTCAAACAACAATTGTCATCATTATATAGACATCGTCTATGTCAGCTATATATCGCAGAACATCACGATTGCCAAAATCACTTAATCGTAATCAACTTCATTATGTTTACCGGGAGTCGACTTGAATCAATGATATCTTGCCGTATCTACTTATCATAAGTGCTCTGATGTTGACTCTCGACGTGGACAAAGGAAATCTCTTCAACAATAGTGGATTTCGATTTCTTTGAACGTTGCCAATTGGAATAACTTTTAAACTTGTTTCATAAATGTACAAACCAAGTTAATCACAAACAAAGCCAGGGCAGCTGGCCTATGCTTATCTCAAAATTAGCAAAATTAGATAAATCTGCGCCGGTCAAAAAAACGTTCACGATTGATCTTTGAACAGGTGAATCTTTCAAATCACAGACATTTCAACGCTCGAAAAAACAGTTCCGTTGCAAAATCCAGTCATATGCAGGAAATTAGAGGAATCTAGCAACAAAAGTATCTTAATTAACCCCGATTTTGTTAATCAAGCCTCTGTGATTCAATTCAATTTGTGTGACATATCAAATTTTTGGCGCCTTGTTTATGTCACCTCGTCAGTGAGGCAATCGGCCTCTTTCCCGTGGTGGCGCCTCCCTTGTGTCAACAATTCACGGCCGTCTTCCTCTGTCAATTCTTCCGAATGACCAATAGAGATCCACCCTATCTAAAAATATTGCGTATCAGAATGTAATAACGTTTTTACTGAATGGGTATTCAAAAAGAAAAGAAATTGATATCCGAATCCATGGGCTATCAGTTTGACCGAGTCAGATAAAACAAAGAAAAGGAAGCGTCAAGTTTGACGATGTTGCAAAGTTAATTTCTTAATTACAGAGGATTCAAGACGAGAATCAAAGTAAAAGATATCAAAGATAATTTCTGCTACTTTCCATTGATAACCAACCCATGCTTTCGATACCCGTGTGGTTTTGGATGAGGGAGATCTCGTTCAAGATGGACAACTCAGAAATTATCAAATATGGCTAATTCTTCTCCATATGGCATGAACAGAGCCATGCAAAACACATTGGCTGGATTTAAACCTTTCTCAGATAAAATTTTACAATTAATCCCAAAATGTGATAACAAATCAAAAAGACGGGCTAATCTCAAAACGCATGCTAAGATTTATAGAAAATATGCGAGATTTACTGATAACGAAAGGCTGGGAAAAGAATATAAATCACGAGTGTGTATCAGATCATGTTTACATATTATGCAATTGGTTGGATCAAAAAGGTGTGGCCATGTTGCGATCATCTACACGGCAAAAATGAATCATATTTTAGTCAGCATCAAAAAAATATCAACGGAGGCCATGCTCTACATTCTGGCTTTAATGCATTTACAATTTCGTTTTATTTCAAAGACTTCTTTTTCTTCCCTAACGTACTTTAGGATATAAACAACTATAAGTTTTTCTTGTCATGTAAACAACTTGATTTAAAATCCAAGGTATTAAACGCATACAGAATTTTACGCTGTCAATATCCGTTTTCGAGCTTTTCTGTTTGACAAAGAATCTTGGAGCAATTTTGGCATGAGGAGTTATCAATTTTTAGCAGGTCGTTACGAGCAGGCTGTCATAAGACCTAGTTCTGGAATACGTGAATCGTTATAAATCATATGCGCTTGAAAAAAGGTACTTTTGCTTGAATACCTATCAAAAGCATGGAGTACAAGAAGCATAGGGTAGAGACGAGTTCTTTGTGACCGGTAGCTTGAAGGAGTTTAAAATTAAGAAAAATTGGCAAATTTCCTAATGCTTGAGCTCGCGCACGAAACGTTTTAAGGTGAAGTGAAAAAGGAGAGTTGCAGTTTGCAAGAAAAGAAATGGAAGAATGAAACAATAGTAGATGGATTAAAAGAAAATGAAATGGTTCTGATGTAGATTCAATCTAGTTATTAAAGCGAGATCTTTTTAGCTAACAGAATTTTTTAGCTAATAAAACTTCATTGCTAACACAGAAATTAATCAGGCAGAGCATCACCAACACGAAAAGACCATACTGCGTAAATTGATGCTACAAGTTCACGAAAACAGGTGATGAGTCAATTTCGGCAGATGCTGCATTCATTTTATTCGGTTTTAATGTGATTTCTTCAAGGTTTTAATGGGACTTTGATGCGTAAGAGCATCCATGTGTCCAGACAGGTTCTGATGAATTGAATCAGGATCACAGACAGTAAGTGTATTTGCAAAAACTTAGACATGATTTGTAAACACTTAAAAAAGACTTTAAGAGATTTCAAGGTAATTCTTGCCAAAATTAAAGCTCTGAAGAAAACTAACCGAATCAGATGATAAGAAAATTAAAACAGGAAAGAAAACTGGAAATTTCTGGAGATCTAGCCATTTTTAGATGGTTGTTGAAATAAAGTGATTATCAATTTCTAGGCCAGCCCTTCCTTGGATAGCATAGTCATTCAATAGCTCTTTGTCTAGACGGTTCTTATATTAAACGTACTTTGTTATTTTCTTATCTTGCCGAGTATTGAAAAGGTCGCACAAAACACATGTTTGCTACCATACTTTAAATGACCGTCCCTGTGTTGATTTATAAACAGTTCTTTAATTTTTACAAAACTTAATGAAGTCCACACAAAGAGTCTAATATGGATGACAAAGAATCCTGAAGAATGTTCTTTTAAACGACAAGGGCAACCAACAGCTTGCATGTCTAACATCTCAATTTAACAAAAATGATTTCTTTTTGTTTGTTTTTATCCTAATTCTTCACCATTAATTATTCACATATGAACATGGAATCAATCTTTTTCTTAAAGCATACTTAACTTTGGAGTTTTATTAATAAACTGTTGTCGGTATCATCCCGTGTACTAAAGAAATTGAGTCCCTTTTCCATCAGAAAGCAATTCGTCTGCCCTACGCTCGTTTTTATTAACCTTTGTTATGGTTTGGCATATCTAATCATTCAAAAAACATCAGAGTTACGTGATGTCCAAAGATGATTGGCAACGTGATATTAAAAGAATAATTTCAATTCTATGATCGGTAATTTAGACATGGATTAGTGTTTGCAAGCTTTATATATTTCAACGTCGCAAAGCACAATGGGTAATTCCTCCGCAGCTGAAACAGAGCGCGCAGCTAAACTAGCATGAATAATGTTATTATAGAAATTTTACTGCAAACATCTTGAAACCAGTTTCAAAACTCTTCTTATGAGAATTAATCGCAAACCAGATACAGTATGGCCTAGCAAATTAAACTGTTCCTTTTCCCCACTTTTTAGCCTAAAAAAGTTTTTCTTCTACTTAGCCTAATGCCCATATTGAGTCTTTTATTCCTTAGCAAAACGTTTCTTAAAAGTATTCTATATTTTCCCAAGGCCCGCAACCATGTATCCTTAACATTAGCTAATCTACTGTGTGGTTTGGCAAATAAATTTCATTTTAACACGTTCATATGTGTATTGAATTCAGAATTGTGTGCTGTTATATACCTTAAGCTTTATAGTATTCTGTCACCAAAAATCAACTTTTTTCTTTCATCGAAAATATTAATCGATATAAAGGCATTGTCTAGAAAAAATCATACTTTAAATTACTCTCTTGCCCAAAAAGCTTCATTAAAAAAAGATTTGAGCCCTAAAAGTTTCTCAAAAGTGGTTTCTTACTTGCGGGGCTTCACTTTTTTTCTTCAAATACATTAAATGTCTGTTGTGTGTTGTTATTTCACAGGCAGCATGGCATTACGGTTCATTGCATTAACCCCCCCCCCCCCTGGCTGAATCAAGATCACGATTTCTTTATCAATGTTTGCATTTCTTTTTCTAGCACTCTTCAATTGGCAAATGCAATACATGCCCTTCAACAACAACCAGCGATATATTTTCCACAGAGCGCCTGTTGATGGACTCATGATTCCAGATCGATATATGAGACACCTTGAAGAGAGACAGATTGGTAACGGAGTTGAGTCTATTGTGGCGGCGAAACAGCAGTTTGTAGCCAGATTTGTTGAAAAGCAAGGGGCAACCGCGTGCAATGGGGACAGGGATGAGATCCCCCAACAGGAAAATCAGTTGACAAAACATCAAAGCAACGAAAAGAAGTTTACATGCACACAATGCAAAAAGATGTTTAGCACGGTTCACGGGCTGGAGGTTCACGTGCGCAGATCACACGCGGGAAAACTTCGCCCGCATGAGTGTAAGGAGTGCGGGAAAACCTTCGGGCACATCATGAGTTTGGAACAGCACAATCAAATGATTCACTCGTCGCTGCGAAGCTTTGACTGTCCCGAATGTGGAAAAAGTTTTAAGAGATCTTCCACTTTATCAACTCACATGCTTATTCATTCCAATACCAGACCTTTTCCATGCCAATATTGTGGAAAACGATTTCATCAGAAATCTGACATGAAAAAGCATACCTACGTACACACAGGCGAGAAGCCCTATAGATGCAGTGCTTGTGCCAAATCCTTCAGCCAGTCATCAAACCTTATTACCCATATGCGCAAGCACTCCGGTTTCAAACCGTTTCAATGTCATTTGTGTGAAAGAGCTTTTTATCGCAAAGTTGATTTGAGAAGGCACAACGTATCGCATCACCAGCGCGATAGCATGCAGTGAACGATTGGGAATGAGACTGTTACTGGCTGCGTCAAGAAGACAGAATAACATGACGCAGTCAAAAAGGCGTCGGCTTAAATAGGCGATTCAAAGATATTCAATATATCTTAACTTTATCAGTTATGGATAGAATATTTAGAGCTTGTTGAAGAGATTCAAAAACGTTCTATTAACTGTACATTGCAATAACCTGCCCAAAAACAGGCTCCAATGAAAGACATGATACAGCTTTGAGGATTTTCTTAAATTGCAAAGCAATTCGTTATGACGTAAAAGGTATATTGCAAAGTATGAAGTATGTTGATTTAGAGTGAATTTTTAGAGAGTACCTGGTACAAACAGTAGAAGAAATTTTCTTGCTTTGCTTTTGTATTTGCTGTAGTGTGTATACGTGTGTTTATGAGTATAGGACTGGTATAATAAAAGGTAGGCCTTGTCGCTCAAAGCGTCATTTTGTAGATTGCTAGGTAATATGGTTTTCGTTGAATATACTGTTTAACAGTTGAATACGTGTAAATTATGATTAAAACAACTTGTTTTTCGATTCTGTCATTTGTCTGTCTACTTTTCAGGGACAAGCTCCCCTTTAAAGTGGGTTCTGCTTTTTGTTCCCACTCTTGAATAGCAAGTTCCAGGGATTGGAAAATAAGATTTTATCATAAAAACAAAAACAGATGATACATTTTTATATGCTTATATATGCAAACAAGATTTAACTTCAATACATGAATTGGAATGATAGATAGTTTAAATGAAAAGTACCTTAACAAAGGGAACTGCATTGTGAACGAAAACGCTATATCTTACTTTTGTGTGAAATTTAAACCCAGGTGCAACTCGGAAACAATCTAAAGACAACTGAAATACTTTGTCTTCAACGATGGCCTAATATATACAATCTCCCATGATTCTTTTGTACATCAATAGCTTGGGGGAATTAGACCGTTAGTTCACAAAGATCTATATCTAGGCGCCAACGAAATATAACCAGCTAAAATCTTCAACCCATGTATACATTGAAGAGAAAATCGTATGGCAATAGCGTGAAATTATCAATATGATGTTATTATTAGAGACAGTGTTATGCAAAGGAAATAATGTTAAAAAGATCGCCGTAGGACTTTAATTGAAATCAACGAACGGCCAGGCAGATTGAAAATGAGTGTTAGGTATGGGGGTCCGATCATCTCGTTGAGACATATGACAATGCGAGATTTCAAAGACAATCCTTTGCTGGTTTCAAGGGGCGAGTGAAATATCCAGGGCTTTAAATTCAAGATTTTCCCCGCGCATATCTTAAACTAAAGCATAAATTGTATAATGGATGGTGCTAACAAAAGGACGGGGCAAATAGACTAGGCAAAGCATATGAAATAGTTGAATTGTTGTTGATTCATAAAGATAAACAGCCGAGCTACAATCTCAGATTGGGTAAGGCAATTGTGATTATAAATCAGCGAGTTAGTATCAATTGTAAATATGCTGGAGCGCCTGGCTTATTTGATTATATAAAAAACGACAAAATTACATTGATAGGCCATTGCCTTACATAGTGGATGGTGTTATAAAATTGCACGCATGAATATCCGAAGGTATATTACATCAAAAGGTATTAGTGAAAATAATATTTAGATAAGCTCAAAGTTGATTATTAAGTTTTTTAAAAGTTCCAATTTGGGTTTTAGCGGGCACGGAGGCTCTGAAAAGACAAAAATAACAAATAATTAGGGAACGAAACTTGAAATAATTGCTACCTTAAAACATATTTTAATTCATGCTACAGTAAAACCTCAATTAATGGAAACCCTCTTATAACGGTCACCCATTGATCTACAAAAAAGACTGGATCGAGCTTCTATTGTGACAAAAAGGCTCCATCCGAGAACAGGGCCCCAAAAAAGCCCATCCAAGGAGAGTGCCTTCACTATCACTCCGAACTACGTTTTTATCTGCTTTAGCCGTTTTTCTTCTTCGGTATTCCGATACACATCACTGCAACTCTCGCCTATCCATATCATTCAAGCATTGGTTTTAAGGAATGGCTTCCTCCCTCTTTTTGGGCCCCTCTCTCTATCTAAATTGAGCGGGCTTCTAACTTAAAAAAAATAAATCGATCCAGTCTTTTTGCTAGATCATGGCGGTCACTTCACTTTGTCAGCCACCCCCGAATACCCCCCTATAACGGGCATTTTCTAACAACTGACACGCCACTTTTACGAATACCCCTCCCCCCTATAACGGGCATTTTCTAATAACTGACACGCCACTTTTACGAATACCCCTCCCCTCTATAACGGACACTTTTTAATAACGGACACGTCACTTTTACGGAAACCTTTCTATGACCGACAGCTCCTTGTAACGGACACTTCTAACAACGGACAACTCCCAATAACGGACACCTCCCTATTAAAGACACTCCATAGAACTAACACTTTCTAATAACAAAAACCACCCTTTTACGAACACTTTTCTCAAAAGGACATCCCCCCCCCCCACCCCAATAACTGATCCCTCTGATAACAGCAAAAAATTCCAAAAGCTTCTGTTCTAAAGCATTGTAAAGAACATGCAGCGATCACCCCTTTGAAGAAATGTTGGGCCAAGTCAGCTCATTTATGGAAACTTAAATGCAGTTTTCCAGAATTTTCCCAGCTTTATTCTGAAATTCAAACCAGTTTTATCTAATGCTATCGAACAGGTAAGCCCGAGTTTATCCTCGAATGAATATTTTTATTCAGTAAAAACAAATACCTTGGTTATGTCAATGCCAGTCATTTCTTCCATTGCCTTCGGCAGCCTACAGACAATATCAAGCAATTCCCCAGTGATTTTGGAAGCACCAACAGCACCATTACCACTGGAAACCATTGTCACTTTCTTACAAGATGCCAGAGGAGCTGCTATCTCGGCAGCAACCTAAAAATGCGCAACAATGCATTAGAGATTGGCCTTTTTAGGAACATGCCCTAAATTGAACTATATATTCAAAAATAAGAAGATATTTGTTTGCTTGGGTTTGCTTGGGCTTGCGTTAAGATGTTTAGATCGCTCCCTGGTTTAAACCTAACAGAGAAACCCAAGGAAAAAAGGTACGCATGCCTCTTAGAAACTCGAAAGCCTCTTTAAACAATATCACCAAGAACCGCACCGCAAAGCGGTATGCCATCCAACAGAGTTGCAGTAAGTGTGAAGTAAAGAAAACAATTGACAACTCAAACAGTCGGCTGTAGACCGGTTTTGCCTCATATTAGGGCTCATCAGTACAGCTAGACTGAATGGTGACCTAAAGCCGACCTAGGGCTAGCAATTAGGCTGTCAGTGGCAATGCATGTGGGAGGTAGTGTAAAAAGGAAAAGAAGTATGCATGAGTTTTAGAGACTCGACAGTCTCTTCAAGCAATCTCACCAAGAACCGCAGCGCTTTTGCACTCACTGTTATCAAAAAATCTCTTTAAGTCCCCTCTGAATTAAACATAGAGCTTCAAAAATATAATAAAAAATAATAACCCACCCAGTCCCCTTCTGAGCTGAGTAGTGACTTCAAGGTAAATCAAAAGTCATAATAAAAATGTCAAGACATAGCGTGAATGCTAAAATGGTAGCAACGCGGATGGTTTCAATTCAGTTGAAGAAAATAACTAGAAAGCGTCAAATCGGATTACCTTGGGTAGTGTTTCCAGCATCATGTCAATCATGGCGGCTTCTTGGTATTCTTTCCAGGCATCGGCCTTCTTTGCCATCTGCTCGGCTTCTGCTTTAGCCTTAGCTTCAATAGCAAATGCTTGTGCTTCTCCTTTCATCTATAATTCAAATAAAATTCCATCACATTTAAAGTAAAAATTCAAGAGCTGTGCAACCTAAGGCAGAAACTTGGCAGATTTTGTCCGGTAAGTCGAATATTCCGCCTACTGAAAACCAGGACCAACGATTTACTTCCTATGGACGGATATTCCACCTAGATGGAGTCAATATACAGCGATATTATACGTATCCAAGTCCTTTCTTGCAGACCTCTGTAAGAACATAAGTAATACTAAAAGAACAACAACGGCTAACTAAATACAATGAACCATGTAGGACTTTAGTTTTGAAATGAAAAAAGTGCGATTCCTAGAAGAGTGTGTCATACTAGTAACTTTCTTGAGTCACAGCTACGCAATACCTTACTTGCAATATAAAAGCTTACTCACAATAAATAAAAAGACAATAGAAAAGCAACAAGTTTATCAGTAACTAAACCACAGACCCTGATTGATTCAGCTTCCGCCTCTGCTTCCAAAATGACCCGGTTGCAATTAGCCTGGGCCAGTTTTTCCGTCCTGTATTTCTCTGCCTCGGCCGGTCTTCTGATTGTTGCCTCCAATTCCTTCTCTCTCCTGGCAATCTCTTGCTCCTGCAGCTCAATCTGTTGTGTTCTTTCTATGACTTTGATCTGCATCTGTTCCTCCTTGATTTTCTGTTTTGTGATAGCTGCCTGCAGCTCATAGGCCAAGTCAGATTTGGCTTTCTTCGTGTTGACTTCCATGTCGTAGCCAGCCTTCTTCAGTGCATAGTCCCTCTGCGATTTTGCAATCTCAGTGTCATTAGCAAGCTTGGCTTTCATCTCTTGTTCTTCTGCGGAAGCTTCTTTGATTCCTGACTCCATCTTTGCCTTGGCTTTTCCAATTCTTGCCTCTGTCTGAACCTCTGCAGTTCTTTTCATTCCAAGTGCCAACAGGTACCCCTAATGCAACAAGGAGGCCAAGTTCTAAACAACAGTCAAAGATAATGGTTTTCTAAATAGAAAAATGCCATCATGCTGGGATCAACCTAACAAGTGAACTGCAGAGATACTAAACTCTTTTTAGTTGTGGGTCGAAGTAGAGCCTTACTCCACTTCAAATAGGCTGGACCAATCAACGATTGCCTAACAATGACAATAACTTCATATTCTCCCTCTAGTGAGTATAAAAAGAAACAAACACTAGCAAATCCTTATATCAAATTATTTACTCATTACAAAACATTTAAAATTCATAAACATAGCCTCAATTTTCTTCCATTTTACATTGATCACATTTATAGAAAAAGGCACAAAATTTGAATGCACAGGTTTCTGGAAATGAAAAAGGTGATTAATTATATACATATAAATATATAAATGTATATATGATTCTGTTTTTCAAAGTGTCATTTTTTCTGTACTTGCATTGATGGCAAATAATTGCAAATATTTTCTGCTGGCTCATATGACTGATATTTTAGAGAACAGCAACCAATTGAAGGTTTTACCTCTTCATCTCTGATGTCTTTCAGTGTGTAGCTGATAACACTGATCCCCATGTTTACCAGGTCTGATGAAGCCACCTATATTCATCATAATTTGTAAATATATAACTAAAGTTTTATATGAATGGATACAAAACAAATTATAGCAAATTAGAAATGTGCTAAACACAGATAAAAATTAGATTAATCTGATTGTAACATATTCAAGAGCAACTAAAATTGCTTGCAGAGGTGGGAAAATAGCTTTTTAAAAAAAGATAAAGTTTAATAATATGAATTTAATCGTTATGTCTTATATAAATATTTGTTGAATTTTTTCATCAAGATTCTCATCAAGAATTTTTCATCTTCTTGATTGTCACTTGTTTTCCTGCAGTTCATGGAGACAAATGGTGCTTAGAAAAGTTCATTAACAATTTTGCTTTATAGTCTTTCAACAGAAGTACGTTTTTATAATAAGAAACAACAAATGAAATCACCAAAAAATACAGAGGAGATAAGTGAATGTATTTTTCATGCTAAAAGCACTTTCAGTTGAGTAAATGGTATTATAAACAAAACATAAAGATTGTTCTTGTAGCTAAAAAAATGCTGCAATCAAAATCATACCTCAAAAACTGATTTGGAAAACTTCTTTCTGTCTTGATAAATTTCCTATTAAGGATAAAAGACTCTTGTATAATTTAGGCACAACGATTACAAATAAGAAAATATATTAGTACAATTATATTTATTTATGGGCAAAACTGTACACCATTCTGTGTAGATACAGAATAGGATGGTTCTGAGTTGAAACTTTGGGTTTTATGTTGTTTGATGATTGCATCAAGAAGGATTGCATGTTGTTGGTACTGTTGCCTGATGATCACATTAAGATTCTTTTTCCACCTGATACCTGATGAGATTCTTTTTCCGCCATTTTTAGATCAAATAAAAAGTTGCTGATAGGGAAACGAAACCTGTACCAAACAAAGGTGTCTAAGGAAGAAACTTTGCTACTGCCATAAAAAGTGGTTTGTATGAGTTTCTACGAACCTCGACTGTCATTGTTCCCATAATGGCTCTCTGGTGACCTTCCTGAAACACAACAAGGAAAAAGCTCAATTTTATAAAAACATCAGTCTAACAGAATCCTGTTACTAAACTTGCTCTACATCTTCCAGGGAATAAACTGCAATAAATTTCAATTATAGAGTGCAGTTATCTTGATAAAAAGGTGGAGAATATAAATGTTTTTCAACTGATCAAAATAGCAGACTTAGATTTAAACAAAACAATGTAACAGTATTCACGCTATGTTGTATTTTCTGGCTAGGGCGTCAAAATTAAGCAAGATACGTTCGAATGAAAAGGTTCTTTTTGACTGGTTATTTCAGCTTGCAAGTAATTATTAACTTCTGATGACAATAAAAAGTAAATGAATTTTATTTGATTAAAAAACAATTTCTGCTTAATTTTATGGACATCTAGTCTCAAAATAACAATGGCATTTTCTCCATACTGCAAGTACAATACCAAAATACCTCTGGTATTGAATAAAGCAAAGCAATCACAATTCAATTTTAATAGCAGACATTTTTTTTAGATAAGAACAATTTCCAACTGTTAAGCTTTATAACTTACAAGAGTTTCAAGTGCAATTTGGTGAACTTCCCTTGTGCTCTTGCCAAGAAACTGCTCACAAGCAGCATGAAGCATTTCCATATTTTGACCCTGTATCTTCACCTTGGAAAGATTTAAACCAGATGTTAATTAAAACCAGATTGCTAACTATTACTATGTTAAACAAGTGCTTATTCCTCCCTACTAAGACTTGTTACCAGGGGCGCAACTACGGGGGGGGGGGGGTCCTGGGGGTCCAGACCCCTGCCCTTTTTCTCAAAAGGGTAAAAGTGCCCTTTTTCCTGGAAAATTGCTTGAATATTTTAACTATTACGCTAAAATGGTTGGTCATACAGTAAATGACACACTACGGAGATGTAATTGACCTGGCAGGAATACAGATAAATGATTTAGTCGAACTTTCGCGCACTTGTTGGGTCGAACGTCATCATGTTGCAGTAATAGAGTATATCTTCAAGCCCCAACTCTACAGCGTGTTTTATGATGCGCTACGCACTGGCTTTGAAGAAGAATGGTTCTGGGACTCAAAAACCAAAATAAAGGCACAGGATTTTGAACGGGATAGAGCCTCTACGACCTCTGGTAAAAAGTTACAAGAATAAAAACCAAGACATTTTTCAAGCCTGTCACATAGTTGACAGGGTCATAGAAGACCTTTGCATGAAACGAGCGAATGCAGGGAAATATTTTCGGACTGGTATTAGCAAGCAGTAAATATGACACAAAAAGTTGATGTTCAGCTGTTCCGTTCCTTGTCAGTATTACAAATCAGCTCAAGGCAAGACTTGGAGACAGAAACAAGCTGAAGGCAAGGCTCGTGGAACTGTTCAACCTCCTCCAATCTGTAGTGCGAAGCAAAGAATTCAATAATAATATTTTAAAGCGCAAAATGTCTTCGGATATGGAAGATGATGGGCTGCTATTCAAAAGTGAGCTGGCGCTGGGAAAAGGAGATGAGAGCAGGGTCGCCGAGAGGGGGACAAAGGGGCAAATTGCCCTAGGGCCTCGAGGTCTAGGGAGCCTCACAAAGCAATGAATTCCGTTTTTAAATGGAATTTATTAAAAGTAACAAAATTACAATTAAAAAGTAAAACATCTTAAACGAATTAGTGAATTTAAGCTATTTGCAAGGGTATGGTGGCAAAATTTTTGCTCGCTTCGCTCGCAAGAGGCATTGTTTTTTCCATTTCCCCCTCCCTCGGGCCTCCTAAACTTCATCAAACCTCACCACAAAATAAACCGTACACCACAACTTTTCTCTATTGATCAGTTTCCCTTGTCTGGCGTACAATATTTACAGATTTACTAACTGCTCATATTTTCGGTGTACCTAAACAAATGCCCCGGTGGACCTTTAATGAAGTTTAATTAGTGCCCTTTTTGTGTCTTGGACCCCTGCCCTCTGAAATTTCTGGTTGCGCGCCTGGTTACTCATGATGAATTTAATTTTCAAGGATTGAATAGGCATTGAACCTAGCACTTAAGGCACACCTTAAAAAAGCCAAAGAGTGATTTAATGAGCTTCTGAAAATGTAAAACGATATTGTAATGAGTGAAATATTGTTTGAAAATAATGTTGATCAAAGATAAACCATCTTCTCAAATGGCCAGCCACACTAGTACAATTTATAACATTGTATGGCCTTTATACCATTTATTTAAATATACATATATATATATTTTACTAATATTTCGATACAATTTTATACTCGATTTCACATCTAGTTTTGTTTCAGACCAAGTCTAAAAGAATATATACATTTTCAAATGAAAACATTATGTTTTACGCATCAAAAATACAAACATTTAAAAAGATTTCTTAGGAGCTCATTCTATAGAGCATCTTCATTTTGCTTAGAGTAAGGCCTGATTGAAGTAAAAACATGACATATATATAAAGACTAATAAGCATTAAAAATGCTAAAGAAACTTTTAAATACATACTTGGGCAATTCCAGTCACAGAAATGGGTACACCTTGGACTGTATAGACCTTGACTGATTCAACATTTAGAGTCATCACATTGAGATTGATTCTGTATTAAAACAAAATTAATTACTATCCTCATACCGAAATTAATTCAAAAATGTTAAATTGATTATTCAACTTGCATCTTACTTCTTTTATAACCATAAACCGGAATCAATCAACAACTTTTGATGTAATGATACAACTGAATTTCACCCAGTAAGGTGAATTGGTCATAAATTTCACCCATAAATTGGTCACATAGAAGCAACACTATAAAGTCTATGATGAAGTTTCAGCAAAAAAATTGACTGTGATTAAAAGTTGTTGATGAAACCTGATTAAAAAATATGAGCTCTTCTATGATTACTCTATAATGAATAATATGAGTAGATTTGGAATTCTATCACAAGATTAGACGGATTTGACCCATAAAAAATAGGCACATGTTATGGCTCACAGCAGTGGCAGACACCCAGAGGAAAAGGAGGCAAACGCCCCTAATACTTTAGAGAACCATGGTGTATTGTTCTGAAACAATGGAAAACGCGATGTCATCTGATTAAAACAATAAGCTTGCCCCTCCAATATTTGACCAAGTGTCTGCCCCTGGCTCACAGCTCTCTACTCTAAGCCATCTCACAAAAATAACAAGCACAGGGGGCCTAGTATATAATACTTGAATAGGGCCCCCGATTGACTTTTAACCTAACAACACAATTACTACAATAGTGTAGAGATAAGACAGGGGTTATGGAAGTACCCAGGACAAATAAAGCTACATTACAGAGCTTCTTTAGTTAAACACTCTTTTCACAATCTACAAAAATCAAAATATCCATACTTTTGGACTCTCTGGATTCCTGGCCACACAAACGTTCTTCCACCAGAGATAAGTGATGGTTTTCCATGACACGCACCTGAAAATCACATTATAAGCATATAATAAAGTATAAATAGAATAAAACTGATATAAATACATTTGAAAACTTCACAAATCAAATCCTCTTGGAAAGGGGGAGATTTAGTTACTTCATTTTTAATTAAACAGTTTGCAACTATGGAGAAACCATGTTACAGTGTTTTTAGTGTAATTAATCTAATAACAGTATTTTTCCAGCTATAGGCCCTGAACACTAGTTTTCACAGATCCTGATTTTTATTCATGCCTGTGACTTTCCGTTTCAATAGTCTTTAATGTAAATTTTGTTGGCTTCAATCTCACTTTGAAAATGTCAACAATAGTCCTTGCAAGCATCTCCATTATCAGGATGGCTGTACCAATAACTGGAATCACTAGTTCCTTTGTGTTTGCAATGCATTTCACAGAAACTCAACATAGAAAACAGCAATTAGAGCCTTTGGACTTTCCTCACATTTTATTAGCCTCCTCTGTCTAATAATAAACACCTTTCTGCTTACTTGATGAAAAAATTACGCACTATAGTCAACCAAATCGATTCTTTGCACTTGGGTGTTAACTGGAAAATGTATACCATATTGAAAACTTTCGGCTTAAAAATGACGTAGGGCTGTGCCTGAAGAGTTTGAAGAGTTCTCTGATGAAGACCCTTCCAGGGAGTCTGTTTTACAGATATAGCAATCCCTCTCATTAATAGAATCACATTTCTATTCATGCAGTGGCTATCATTAAGAGCAGCCAGCCGTCACACAATAAAACCGACCAACGGCTTTCTACTCCTACCTACAAGCCTCTGCATGAATAGAAATGCGATTCCATCCATGCCGAGGGGTCGCCTGGCTAGGAGTCAAGGACTGTCTTTAAAAGCACCAAACATTAACAAAAGGAAGAAAAATTACTCCATATAGTTTGGGCTTTAGTGCTCCATGATAGAGAAAATACAACCTTTGACACACCTTTAATTAAATACTGCAAACAGAAATTTGTATTTCCAACTTCATCGACACAAATCCAAGAATATTTGCTTGTTTAAAATGGAAATGTTGTTCCTATGTTAAACTCCTTAATTTAGTGAAAATACCTTTGGGTATGTTCCAGGATATTCAATCAATATTCCATTTAATTCACTATAAGAAAGCTATGTTAACAAAGAAACAAATCATAATGCTTTAGGGGTCCCGGAAGGTTACCTATGTAGCGCGTGAATAGAAAAGCAAAACTATTAATGCCGCCAACATGCAACGGCCACAATCTGTGATGCATAGCTGCTGTAGAACAAAAGGTCAAACCCTACACGTTCATAGTATTTGAAAACTATGAGCATGGCTGTTTCTTGATTTTGTGGCGGCCAAGAGATAAGATCAAAACAACAAAAGCGTTACTAAGATAGAATACAGCGGTACAAACAAAAGTATTTAGATTGAGTCAAAGGACAGACAACAGACTACACCTGGAAAAGAGGCCATTGTGCTCATCGAATTATTATATCGCAGACTTTCCTTTCTCTGGAAAAAAACTTGCTCATAGACTATTCATACTATGAGCAGTGCCCACCACCCCTGCTCTAGGATGGTTTGTTCTTTATATGATTCTTCAACAGCCCTGTTCTTATACATTTACAGGGTGAAGTCATCTTGATAAAAGGAAAGAGCATATAAATGTCTTTCAACTGATCAAAAAAGCAGAATTAGATTTGAAAAAAAAACAATGAAACCATATCCAAGTTATGTTGTATTTTCTAGCTAGGGCATCTAAGCAAAATACATTTGATTGAAAAGGTTCTTTTTGATTGGTTATTTCAGCTTGCCCTTTCATAACCTGACTCAAGTACGGTTTTTATTCTATGATTCTTCAACAGCTCTGTTATTATAAAGTCGTTCCTAAAAACACGGTGACTTGTGGCTTAAAAATGTTGCTGAGGCTGCGGTGAGCAGGAGAGCCGCCATATTTAACTTTGTCTCTTGGAACCACGCTGTGGCCTTGTTGGCAACTATTTTAGTCACCAGAGGTCTGGACTAATAACAGTTTGTTTTTGGTGCAATGCGTCCTTCCCTAACCACATGTCATACAAATTGAAAGAACTTTGAAGTCTGTACACAGGCTAAGGAAATATATCTTTCATTATTAGAAAAGATTAACTTTAAAAATAAGGCTTTATTCTCAAATATCTGTTCATAAAACTGTCTTCCATGGGATCACTGAAATTTAATATAGTTGCCAAAATAATATTGGTGCTAATTATGAAAAATGTCAGCTTTCTCATAAGAAAAAAGCCGATCAAGGTTTTGTCCAGTGAACAGTTGTTAGCAGATACTCAAGGCTAAGACAGCATCTGCAATTTAAAATTCCCCTTCAGCACAATTTTAAGGAAATTCTACATCATTTAGCACACCTACCTTTTGAAAAAGAAGGAGAATTTACAAATGATTACACTTTAATGGTAAATGTTCCTTGATGCGTGAAATTTCCTACAGCACCCAAAAACTGCAACAGTTAGCAGAAATAAGCGATGCCAGGTTTGTTTCTTCAAACCAAACAGTGTGTATTTTAAATGGTTAAAATCTAATGAATTAATGCCAACCAATTTCACTAGGCATGATTACAAAACACATTATTAAATCTTTTTACAATAACTTGCAAAATTCTTCTCTTTGAACTATCAACTTTCAAATTTATCAGCTTGACAAGAACAAACAATTAACAGTAGAAGTTATGCATATAAGTGAAGCTTTGCAAATTTTAAACTTGCAGGAAATTCCAAGACAAGTGTGTAATTTAGTTATCTCTATGTTTTTGGGTGCCACAAAGAACTTGAGCGCCAGAGAGTAACAATGCACATTACTAGGGATTAAAATAACTGAAAAAGACAAGATGTCTACCGTAACATGCAATGAAATGAGCAACAGATACACAGGCAACAGTCAAAATTAATGAAATCTCAAACATTTAATACGTTCGTACAATTTTAAGAATATACAGGAGTAGTCATTTCACACGGCTTTCTAACATTTTAGCAACTTTCAAAAACGTTGCTGGTTGTTTTCTGGTTCTTTGCAGATGCGTTTACAATCAAATCAAGAAAATGTAAACAACATCATATAATATATCTTGCAAAAAGATAATAAAGAGTAAGGTTTAAAATATTAGTTCAAATTCAGTGGCCTGAATTCCATTCTAAACCCCATACTTAAAGTTATGTGCTCAGTTTCACGTATATTTCATGGCCTACCCTGTTCCATTTGGCCACAAATTCTGTGATTTATCGACTCTTCATTACGTATTGAAGAAGTGCATTGCATGGTCAAATAGCTAAACTAAGAATAACAAAACATTAATAAATCACTGCTTCGATTAAAATTGTAAACTAACCTGACACAACCATTGCTTCATTTGGACCACAAGTTTCAAAACCCATTTTGCTGACTCGGTGAATTTCCCACTGTGCAGCTAAAAGTTGCCTTTTCAAATTTATATTCTACCAGAACTAAACTCTTCGTTAATGAAGGCTTCCTTTGCAATATCTGCTACAAGAATTTGCAAACAGAAATTTGGTTGAGCTGGTAAAGTGACAACACTTCAACTTGCGAGCTACAAAGCAAACTACACTGCAATCAAAATGGCCTTTGCTGCGTATGTATTCACCACTCCCATTCAACACTAACGTACCGCGAACTCCCGCGTATTACACACTGTTCTGCGTTTAAGGGTCAAATGAATTAGTCTTACCCGAGCAGCAGAGGCGGTGAGAAGGGGTGGTATGAGGGTTATAAGCCTCATGGGTAATGCGCAGTATACTCCCACTCTGAATTAGCTGATGATGCCAATACTTCAATTCTGACAAAAAAGACCAACAAAATTGACTTTCCATGGGGTTAGGTTATTTGCAGTGGCGACTAGTGCGGAAATTCATGGCTCCATTTAGGGGGCGGTAGGATTGGCACAGACTTAACAAAAAATCAAGGGTTCGCTCCCTTATGCATCCTATGAAAACCCCTTTAGATCTGTGGCAAATTTCCAAATAATAGCAAATCTTATTTGGGTAGGGGTGACAGGCTGTTACCTTCCAACTTCCCCTTTTGTTCATTTGATCTTTTTTATCATTGTTCCTTACTTTGTTTTATTTACGACTTCTGTATAATGTTCCAGCATTCCCAGAACCACGAAGGTACTCAACAATTTGTTTAGCTCCAACATACATACGTGGTCTAGATTTGGAGCTGAACTGAGCCACGACCAAGGGGAGGGAGTTGCACTCAAGTATTTTTTGGTCATAAGCCCAGTTGAGTCAACGAACTGTCGAAGTTTCTGAGATTGGATTTTGTTTCCTAATGAACTTTTTTATGACAAGATGACATAATTCAATTTCTTCAAGTGATGTTAAAATCCTTCAAATTTGTATTGGTGTTTTCAACTGGTCTTATTGAAACATGTGAATCTATTTACTATAAATACCTTGTTGTGACAGGAAAGTGTCCAAAACTAGGTTCTTGAGAGGAATTTAACTATATGCACTCTCTAAAGATTTTTCTCAAACATCATTCTTTCAAATACATGCTCTCCATCCAGATTTACGCAAATTGAGCCGTAATTTCAGTTTAGATATTTGATTTAAAAAATATTTTACTTTCTTTTGTCTTGCCTTCTAAATTATAGATGATCTTAAAGACAAAACAAAGAAATTGAGCCACTTGTTCAACTGACTTTCTTTCAATACATTGCAAAATACAAGTATTAACGGTTGGATTTGGCAACACGCTCTAATTCATCCTTCTTTTTGATTGCATATGAATTGGATTACCCCTAAAAATCAGAAAGTCAAATCAATTAATCACTTGGTTGTAACAGCCAACAAAATGGTCTAAAATTTAGGCCAAAGCCAGTAAACCAAAATGACTAATTCATCTCTTGCTTATCTCTTGACGCTTCCATGATTCCCGATTCCATCTTTGCCTCGGTCTGCACCTCTCCAGTTCTCTTCATTCCTGGTTCCAAAAGGTGACCCTGATTCAATAAGGAAGAAAAGTTATTCACAACAGTCAAAGGGGGGAGGGGGCAGCTTTCTAAAAATGGTAATGTCAATATTATCCTATCAAATAGACTGAACCAGGTCATTTTAGTTCTGGGGCAAAAAAGAGCCTCTTTTACTTCAAAAGTGTCGGACCAGTAAAACGATAACATAATCTCCTGAAAATAATATGTTCTCCCTTTGGCTTAGTGCAAAGAAGCAAACAGACTCCAGGGAACTCACTCAGGCTTTTTATATACGGGGACGTCCATATGCAATTATCAAAATTCACCCAAAAGTATCGAAAAAAAATTTACAGACCCAAAATTATCAGCTAAAATGTGCTGATAAGACCCAAAAGTATAAAAAAACAGGATGTTGTAAAATGACACATAAGATACCACTGGTGACGTGACAGTAATTCAGACTGTTCTCTGTAATAATCAGTTAAAACATACCTGTTCTTTTATTCCTGTTTTTGATATTGTTATGTGTTAGTTGAACCCATAAGTATCAAAAAGTTATATTGTTAAATCAGCTACCCCAAAGTATCAGATCACAAAGAAAATTCTTACCCAAAATTATCGGATGGTCCCACCGTATATATGAATCTAAAACGACCCCTCTGGGAAACAGACACCACGAAATATTTATATTTAAAGTACTTTAAAGTATTTTTGCAATGAGAACGAGGGTGATCTAAAAATAACGAGCAGCTGAGGCATTGTTAAGCCTCGTTTCAGTATCGTCGTAAGTGACAGGAACCTGTCCCCATCCTAGGAATGGCGATGCTACAGGGATGCTTACGATGATATTTGTTAGGGAGACGAGTTAGCGTAAGTCCGTAAGGTGTAGGTAGCCCCCGTGAAAGGAGTAGGTGCACATGCGTACTTTGCATTTCACAACAGATAAGCAAAGGAGGGAACTTTGAAAAAATAAAAAACGTAGATCCAGCATTGTTCTAACAGGTTTAATGCGCGTGCGTACCTACTCCTCGTAGCTAATTGGTTCGGACAAACCACTTACGCTTTTGTTCTAAACAATGGAGCCGCGATCTCATCTCCCCAACAAATATGGGAATCATTTTAAGGCGACGTCGCCGATGCCACGGCTACCTCACAAATTTGCTTTGCCCCTTGTTTGGCCTCCACAGTTTTTCAAGAGTTTCTATTAAAAATGTTTTATTCCAAAGCTATTCAATTATTTTTGACTTTGTTACGGTTGCCCTTATTATTTTGCTCAATGCGATCTTTATTGCATTTATTTATCAAGCTAAGGGCAATGCTAAGCGTTTTGGTTTGTAACCGAGGTAAACATAAGTGAAATTTTGGCTCTTTTCTGTAGTTACCAAGAAAAATTCATTCTTGACAATCATTTAAATTCTATACTTGTTATATATTATCACGAAGATACACTTTCTTGAGGTGAGGCGCCCAGGGTAAGCCCAAACCAAGATTCTCCGCATCTCATGGAGGTTGGATATAAGACATAACTGCTATCGAAAAATTTCACCAATCAACTTTACAAATAGCCATTTATTTTTAGAAGTATAGTTCTTCTGTTGAAATTCTGATGTTCATGATGCATTATTGTTAAACAGATAAAACTCAGTGGAGTGACGGAACAAAATTACCTTCAGCTGAGTAACAAAAGGTCCCGAACCTTTAGGGCCCCCAAGCAACAATTTTGCTATTTTTCCTAGGGGACGAAACTGCTCGTTACCCCAATAATACAACTATTTGGCAAAATGATAACAGCCTTGATAGAGCTGTACCAATGACATACTTATCTAGGGATTTACCGACAAATTCATGAAGAATTGGGGGTGTTACACCCAACTACACCCCCGCGCTAGCTACGCCACTGGATATAAATGTATATATGATTCTGTTTTTCAAAGTGTCATTTTTTCTGTAATTGCATTGATTGCAAATAATTGCAAATATTTTCTGCTGGCTCATATGACTGATATTTGAGAGGACAGCAACCAATTTAAGGTTTTACCTCTTCATCTCTGATGTCTTTCAGTGTGTAGCTGATAACACTGATCCCCATGTTTACCAGGTCTGATGAAGCCACCTATATTCATCATAATTTGTAAATATATAACTAAAGTTTTATATGAATGGATACAAAACATATTATAGCAAATTAGAAATGTGCTAAACACAGATAAAAATTAGATTAATCTGATTGTAACATATTCAAGAGCAACTAAACTTGCTTGCAGAGATGGGAAAATAGCTTCTGATAAAATGATGAAGTTTAATAATATGAATTTAATTGTTATGTTTTAAATACTCTTTTGCTGAATTTGTTTAAAGAAGTTCATCTTACAAGCACTTTTTGTTAAGCAAATATTAAGCAAAACAAAGCATATAGATTATTCTTATACCTAGCAACCTTGCGATTAAAACCATACCTCAAAAACTGATTTGGAAAACTTCTTTCTGTCTTGATAAATTTCCTATTAAGGATTAAAAAGTCTTGTAATCTTTTTGCAAACAAACATAGATAAATAATATAATAATACAATTATTTACATCTCAAAGGTAAAAATAGCACGGCTTTTGCAATGTACGAAGAATGTGGAGGAATGGTACTTCGATATTATGAATTGGCGATGTGGACAAAACTGATGATGATGATGATCGATGATGATTGATGATGATTATGATTATGATGATGATTGATGATTATGATTATGATGATGATGATTGATGATGATGATTATGATGACGACGATGACAATGATGACGACAACGAAGATTCCAAATATATTAAAAGTCTGAACTTTTCTAGATGCGCTTCCAGTCTGTTTCCCAGACAACTAAGAACCTTTATGCTCTATGAGATTGCGATTCACAGACTTAAAATACCTAAAAAACGGTGGCACGAGCTATGACTCGCCAAGATTACAGAACTCATTTATTGGGGCTCTGTGAGTGGAACCTAACTGGGAATCTGTTTTTTTATTTGACGAAGGACATTTTTTGCTTGATAACATAACACGAATAATTATTCTTATTCGGTTGCTTTTTCAAAATGCGTTTCGCAGATTTACACTTTCTTGATAAACAGCGGGCAATGCTAAACCCAGATCTTTGAATTCCACTATCAACCTTTGCAAGAAGGAGAAATCGATGCGTGCCTAACGATCCCTAACGACCCGCGCTGACAAAACGGTTCCAGCATAATGATCTCGCGGCAGTGCAATTACTTGATTACGAAGGGGAATCTTTCGTACGTAATTGTGAGCAGCAAAACTTTTAATTTCGTAAACTTCCTAGTTGCGAGTGCAAAGATTTCTTCAACTCAACTATTTGATGAAGAAATGTAGTCACAGATCCCAAGATTATTAATTGGTCATTTTCGTAACTGTTGGTCTGACCTCAGACTTTTAACAAATTTCCATTGTTTCTATGTTTTTCCTACACCAAACTACCTTATCCAACGGGGTCTGAAGAATTTCGAATGAATTTTGGATCAACCCCAGAGAAAATTGAAAAGTCCCTGCAAGCATTTTGTGACAATTTCGCAAAGCCTGGAAATCTTCGAATAACTTTCACCGACTTTGCAAAACTTGCGAAAAACTAAACAGATTTGAAACACTTACAATATATTTTCCACGACTCATGCATGAAAGTTAATTCTTGCAGAAACTCGTGAAATCGCATATTCCCGCACTTTCTCTTGTATCCTACATAGCAAATTGCAAATTATACGTCTAATTACGTTGACGCTTGACAGGATGAAAGCACCATTCTCAATTACGAGAAGGTTCTGATTTATTCTGGCCACCGTTCAACATGCACGTGCAGAACCAATTTTAACTGCCCAACGTCACGAGCAAATCTAAAGGTGATTGGTCGAATCTAAGAGGATGACCACAAAGGGGATCTCAGGCTAGCAGCCGAACCCAATTTAATAGCCCGATTATAGACCTAAGTGTCGATTAGCGAACCTCAATTGCCCACTTAATCGGGAAAGTCACGATTCTCGATTGTTCGTTTGGGAAAATTGGGAAAATCCTTTGATTTTGCCATTCTATGCCTGCATTGTTTCGATTGTCTCCCGCCTTTGAATTCGGCTTCTATGTGTCCATTGTTGAACTCATCAAAATGCCGATCCATTGTTACACAATTGGCAACAATTCTACATATATATATATATATATATATATATGGATACCCATCGAGCCGAGCAAAATCCCCCCTTCATGTACTCATTCTTCGTACATAAAAATGTACACTCAAAGTTTGTGTATTTTTATTTGTTTCTGCCTATTATCAGAAGGTAGTTTTAGGACACTGAAGAGTCCTTATGATTGTCGTGCAATGGGATCACACCTCATAAATCTTATGTAATTTTCATTTATTGTCTGTTATTATAAGTGTGTTTATGTGATTTGTAGTCATTATATGTAATTAGTTGTAATGTAGTTGTATGATGATCTTGTATGTAGAGGAATCTTTTAATTCAAAAACTAAAAATGAAAATGATGTTTCCTGATGATCATATTCAGCACAAGGCCCGTCGCTATAAGGGGGCGTGTGGGGTGTGCCCCCTCTCCTTGAAAAAAATTCCATTGCAAAAACGAGGAGTTTTTGCTATCTAGAGGTGCTTAGTCGGCAAACGGGACTTGGAGCGCAATCGCAAGCGACGGGCCTGTTCAGCACATTAAGCACGAGACTCTCTACACCAGTTTTAGAGAGGTTACTTGTAGAGAAATAAACACTGTAACAAACAGCCTTGAGCAGGTCTGAGCAGGAAGCCTTGCTGGTTCATATGACTATGTACCAACCAACCTCAACTGTCATCGTTCCAATAATAGCACTTTGGTGGCCTTCCTGAAACACAACAAGGAAAAAAGCTCGATTATTTTAACATCCTTTTACCGAAAACTTTTACGAAAACTATTATACATATATATTCTTGAAAATATTACATGTCTTCAAATAATAGCAGATCATGTTATGAACAAAACAATGTAACTGTGGCCCGGTTTGGTGCAAATCAATCAAATTGGAAACAAGGTAACTTATACACAGAATACAACATCTTTGCCAACGCAAACCTCCATAAATCGAAACTTTTTGCAATTTCAATAAGGAACTGTTAGGATACATTTTCGCTTTCTCTAAACGTCGGTATTTTATGCCGAAAGATTGCTTGATTATCCTCCATGAACCATTAGTACTTTTTAAAATAAGCTTCTGCCTTGAAATGTATGGAGTAGCAACCTAGCAAGATCTTTACACCTAACGCAGTTTTATAGTCTCAATATCCTTCTTTTCAAAAACCTTCATATAATCCCAATCAAGTTATTCAATTTCAATTTTCCAAGTTACACAAGGAGCTAAACATCCTTAAACTGTGTGATATTTTTGAGTTTAAAATAATTTGTTCGTGCATCGTGTCCATTCCAATGAACATTTCAAAACTATTTCATTACAAACGAAAGAAGGTATGATTTTGACACAAGCCAACAAACAAATTACCAAGTCTATGAGACAAACAGACATCAGAACAGACAAAGGCTCTTGCGCAACCGGCATGCTTAGCGGCAGTTGTCTTTAGAAATTGACTGTGCTGTATATTTTCATGAAGTACGATATTAGGCCGGTCTTTTGAATTATAGTTGCAAAGCATGCCGGTTGCGCAAGAGCTTTTAACTTACAAGTGTTTCAAGTACAACTTGGCGAACTTCATCTGTACTTTTTCCAAGAAACAGCTCACATGCGGTTTTAAGCATTTCAAAATTCATACCCTGGATCTTCGCCTTGGAAATATTCAAACCAGATGTTAGTCAAAACAATTTGGCTAACTTGTAATAGTGTAATAGATTTATAAAGGAAACTATATTTTTTCTAACATTCGATAGTTGATGTTTTGGCGTTGATGGTGTTTTGGGGAAATATAACATTTTTATAGCATTTCAACGTCTCCATCACTCCACAGTAAAGTTAAACGTTCATGAGTCTCACGCCAATTCAGTTGGACTTTGCAACTATGCCAAAATTTGCTGAGGCAGCCAAATTTATTTTGCCTAGAAATTTTGACATTCCTTGCCTGTGGCGTTAGGGTCTCCTTACAAGTGTTGCAGCAAAAGGATGTTTAATACAAGGGTGTTAATGGTATTAGAAAAATATCAATGATAGTTTCTAAGATATATTTATAAATGCACTCAAAAAAGTATCTAGGGATGCAATATGCCAAACATATACTTATTCCATCCTAAAATGGTTGGTTACTCATGATAGGTTTTGAAGGAATAAAGTAAAAAAATACTAATAAAACTTTTATATACATACTTCGGCAATTGCAGTGACAGTTATGGGTATACCTTGTACTGTACGGACTTTGACTGACTCAACATTTAGAGTCATCACATTCAGATCCATTCTTTATGAAGAAAAATTGAATTATTATCCAGATACAGAAATTACTTCTGAAAATTTTAATTGATTGGTCAACTTGTGAATCTTATCTCGTTCATAACCATAAATAAGTAATTAGTAAATAGCCTTAGGGTAATGAGAAAAGTAAATTTCAAAACAAAGGTAACACAATAAAATTCACCACCATGTTTAGCAAGAAACCTGATAGGGATTATATCAAACCTGTTTGAATAACAATCCAGCAAGAACCCAGAAGCACCCCAGTAACAGCCAAGTAACAAGCGGAACAACCCGTCTTTCGTGTAGTGTTTTGTACAGTTTGAAGTTTGAGCTTAATGATGTCTGGCATGAGGATGGCTCGGGGGCATCAATTATTATTAACAAAATGAATGTCCATTTAGAAATGAACGTATGACTTATCTGTAATATTGAAATTTTAGGGCAAAAGAAAAACAACATTTGCTTGATAATTCTGTTGTGATTTGAAAATGTTGTTTGCCTTTTGGAATTATAGATATAGTTCTAATCATGTTTGCGGAACTATAGATCACTTTTCTAGATATGCACGGAACTAAGGGTCCAAATTGCGAATCAAAATGGCATGTTCCCGCTCAAAACTAGGCTTAGTTACCCCCAGAGGCCCATGACAAGTGGCCAACAAGACGGTTGCTCGAACTACAGACCACTATCGGTTCTCCGTTTCTTCTGGCTTCAGGTATGTATACTCTGTATGTACATTTGTTTATTGAAGAGTACTGGTAATTAGTGTGTGCATATGGACGACGGGAAATACACCGCAATGGTATTTGTCGAACTCAAGAAAGCTTTGATACCGTAAATCATCAGATTTTACTTGCAAAACAAAAGAAATATAGCATAGATGATCAAGAGCATTCCTGTTTTAAGTCCTATCCGCAAAACAATTTTTGCAAGGTAAACGGCACATCCTTGAGTCTACAGTAAATGGACATGGAGTGCCACAGGGCTCATGTCTTGGCCCATCATGTAAAGTTTTTGTCTTTTAAAATCTTAAGTATCCAAAAGTCCAGTTTTCTGATAGCCTTGATTGGGATCAGAACACAAAATTATTATACAGTAAAATGCTTTTTGAAATATGCCAAAATTTCTTACCTAAGTAAACTTCTATCAAAATGTATCATGGGATCGTAGAGACACAATTCCGCTACTGCTGTTCTGTATAGGGACGCTGCGGAGAAGCCATATTGCCAACCTTAGAAAATTGCGAAATTGAGCTGCAAGAATTGTCACCAATAGCAGCTAGGATGCATCCGCAGCACGTTTGAGTAAGAAGCTCAATTGGCCAAGCGTTACTGATATATATGATAAAAAGCAAGGCAGCTTCTATTACATAGAAAGCATTATTAGGCTTTGCGCCTACAATGCCTGCCAAAAGTCTTGGAACACTTGCTATAATTTACGTTGTGCACGAGCTGCAACATCCCCTCGTACAATGTTGTACCACGGAAATATGAATAATCCTACATGTACAAGTGATACATTTTTACATAGCTATGGTTTTCAGCTAGCGAATCAACATTGTATGCGGGGGAAGGGGGGCAACACCCTCCTTGTTGACATGGAAATAGAAAGGAACACGCGAATTCACAGAAATCTCAGGGTGTTCCAAGGACTTTTGGCAGGCATTGTACCTTTTTTCAAACCTATTCAAGAAAAACTCGGATTTTTGGAGTATTGTTTAAGCAAAAGTGATTCCGATACAAAATGAATCTGGTATCGTGTGAACATGGCCTTAGAAACGACAAAAACTACCCAGGACAAAAGATTTTACGCAACAGAGCTACGTTATGACTCCAGTGCCATTTTCAAAACTACTCAGTAACAAATACCATACCTTTGAACTCTTTGGATTTTCGGCCACACAAAAACTCTTCCTCCTACGATATGTAGTGGCCTAGAACGACACGCACCTGAAAAACACATTATAATGGTTGTAGTAAATGATAAAACTGGTGTGTCAACACATTTGAACGTTCTAGCTCTTCTTGGAAAAAGTAGATTGAGCTCCTTCATTCCTAATTTCGAAAAGATCACAACTTTTTAGAAATCGGTGTCATAAAAATGGAAAAAATCTTACAAATTCCATATGAATCACATTTCAATACTTATAATTACGTAATGCTAAAGTTACCTTTTTTGAAACAAACATAATATGGATCATTGTGGAACACCTCTTTTAATATCGAGCCAGCTGCTAAATCTGTAGGCGTTTACAATCAAACGTAACGATTTAGCTTCGGTAGGCGTTTACAATCAAAACACAAAAATGTTAACACCAGCATACAATTTGTTTTGCAGATAGGTTTGAAGAATCAGGTTTAAAATTTCAGCTCAAACTCTAGGACTTAAATACATTGCAAAAACCCCTTCAAAAACCTATGTGCTCAGTATCAGGCACAATTCATTCAGACCATCTCTTGTTCTATTAGGCCAGGAATTTTGACGTAGGGTCTAGACTCTTCATTGCGTATTGAAGAAGTGTATTGCATGGTGAAATAGCTAATCTACAGAAAACAAAAACGCAATAAATAACTGCTTCAATTCAAATTGTAAACTAACCTGAAACAACCATTGCTTCATTTGGACCACAACTTTCAAAACACATTTTCTGACTCGGTGAAAACTACGAGCTGTTGAAAAATCTTAGCTTTTGTTAAAGGCCCTTGGTTTAACGAAACAAAGGATAGATATTCAATTTCATTGAATTTTCAATTGGTATCAAAGGAGGTATCTTAATTGCTGATTGTGTTCTTCGTTTACTCCGATTTACTCTTCAAATTTGACCAGAGTGATTTCTGTGATCACGGGGGCTGGCTACAGATCCAAGCAGAGATCCAAGTGTCTGTTGTTCGAGCCCCTGACACCAGTGGCGGCACCAAGGGGGTATAAGGGGGTAAGGGGGGGGGTAATTACACCCCCATTTCCTTCAAAATATGGTCTACATATTTCTTCTGAAAACGGATTAAAAAGCGCTAGGTAGGAGTAGGTCAAATTTCCTAAAATTAGCACTGAAACGAGGCAAAATTACCCGCCGCCACTGCCTGACATGACGAAACTTTCAGAATGGAGAGGGGCCCTCATACCCACAAGAAACGGACACACCGAAATAATGCCCCCAAAATGTCCCTCGTGGGTTTCTGGCTGGTGACTTTATTCAAGGAGCACCAACCACCGATCTTTTGGCAACCACAACCACTCCCTGTCTGGGTTCGAGGTTGCTAACCTAGTGGAAGTAGCCACTTCATTATCTCCTCTTTTCCCTTTCGAATTTTAGATTTCATTTACATACCTTGGTGCCTCAGTTTTTTACCTTCTGTCTCAACAAACTTTTTACACAAAAATAAGAACTGGGGGTTTTGGTTGGGGCAGTTGCCTTCAAACTTCCATCATTTCAAGGTTTGGTGAGTTGTTTCTTTTCATCATGGCTGCTGGCTGTTTTTTTGTCACAACTTCTAGATAATGCTCCAAAGGATGCTTTAAAAATTGTTTTACCCCAACCTTAATTTGTGGCCTAATTAATCTTGAAACTGAATTGTACCACAAGCAAGGAGAGGTTGTTGCACTCAAGGCATAACAACTGTCAAAGTTTAAACGACTGGACCATGATTTTGAATCAGCTTTCTTATGACAAAATGATATAATTCCATTACTTAAACAAATGTTTCAAATTTGGATTGATTTCTAAATTAGATTTCTTCAAACAAGACTTTTTTTGGAGGAATTTAACTATATGCAGCCTCCAAAGACTTGCTCTCCGTTCATATTGACCCCAATGCTGCCTCTTCAGAATGAGAGTGCATTCACACAGGCGGAGCCTTAATTTCAGTTTTGATATTTGATTTAAAAAATATTTTACTTGTCTTGCCTTATAAATTAAAGATGATCTAAGACAAAACAAAGAAAGGAAACCACTTGTTCAACTGACTTTCTTTCAATACATTGCTAAATACAAGTATTAACGGTTGGATTTGGCAACACGCTCTAATTCATCCTTCTTTTTGATTGCATATGAATTGGATGACCCCTAAAAATCAGAAAGTCATATCAATTAATTACTGGGTGGTAACAGCCAACACAATTGTCAAAAATTTAAAACAAAGCCAGTTATTGAACATGCAAATTTTGTATGCTGTAATAGCTTATAAATTTCATTTATTTCATGTCATAGTCATGTCTTTCATGTCTAGGTTGCAACTCCTAGTTTCAGGCTTAGATTACTAGGCAATTGTGAATTATATACAATAAATAAATATATGTATGTAAACATACACAAAACAAATTCACTTTTGATACATAAACATAATCCATGAAAATTTTGGTAGCAAAATCCAAAGAACTTTATTTATTGACTTACAAACATTTTCTGGTTATCTCAAATTTATATAATGAAAAAGGACCATTAATGAGTTATAAAACTGGCCTTAATGTAAAAAAGGCCAGTTAGAAACAACAGTTGTTTCATGCTTACCTTGGATGCATTGATGAGCTCATCAGCAAGACATTCAGCAATAGTTTTGATGTTCCTGAAAGCAGCCTCACGTGCCCCTGTGCAAAGAAGCCAGATAGCCTGGTTGACCCGTCTTAAGGGAGCAACATCAACTGCCTGACGTCTAACTGTCCCAGCACGACCAATACGAGTTGAGTCTTCACGAGGTCCACTGTTAATAATAGCATCAACCAAAACCTGTACTGGATTTTCTCCTGTGAGCAGGTGGATGATTTCAAAAGCGTGCTTCACTATCCTGACAGTCATGAGCTTCTTTCCATTGTTTCTTCCATGCATCATCATTGAATTAGTTAGTCTTTCAACTATTGGACACTAGGCAACAGAAATTTTTTTTGAGCAAATAGATAGCATGGCTAATAGCCAAAATAAAACTTTGTAGGCATATTTAGGAATTTATTTTTGGAGATAGAATATTTTTCTGACTGCAACCTGATCGCTTACGGAAACAGCATCTAAACAAAGTTATTACAACTCGAAATGTGATGTGAGACATAGCCTTACCATTTCTTAATTCAATAACCCAACAACCTAGAAATAACCTATAACCTTATAAGATTTAAAATTTTTTCAAGAACCTGACTGTATTTAAAAAACAATAATTGTTTTCAATGTTTCCAAAAACCAATGAATGGATACAGAAAAAACTGATACACATCTTTTATAAAGAAACTTGTTATAAGATATTTGTGCCTGACAATCAAATAAACTCAAGAAACTTCAGTACTTGAAGCAAAGAATTGAGATTCTTAAGAATAAATTAAGAACAATTCAATTTTGAAAAAACTTAGAAGTTCCAAATTTTATGAAAATACATCACCATGATTAGCTTAATGCAGGCCTGTTCATTTGAGGAGAGCCACAGCTCTTGCTCCTCTTCAGACCTCCTCAAATTCTGGAAGGGAGCTACAGATTTCTCTCCTAAATTCCTTTTGAAAGCAAATTGCTCTTCTTGAAATCAATTTTATTCTTATAAACTTTCAATTAGTTCACCTGGAAATTACTAGGAGAGCTGTTCGCTGCTCCCCTGGTAAAATCTTATGGCAAGGCCTGCTTATCGGCATACAATTTTAGAAAAAGGGAACAAAACAAGCTTCATTTATCTAACTTCAGGTTTAGAACAAAAGTTAATCTCCTAACAGAAATGTCACAAGCATTTGAAAGCATTAGAAACATTGATAATTCTCACTGTTTCCAGCTACCAAAACCCTCCAAAAAAAATTCAGTTGGGAAATTTCTTGCTTGATAAATTAAATATAGGACCCAAACATGAAAATTAATGGTGTCATAATTAAGAAATTCCCAAGAAACAATGAATATTGGAATAACTCAAAGTGCCAAGAAAAATGTTTATAATATGATAAAAGCAGACTAAATACAAACACAATGTAATTGGAACTAGTTTATAAATAAGCTTACTTGTGCTTTCCTGAATCTTTTTACAGCATATCTTCCAGAAGTATGTGGCAAAAAAGTGGAATTCTTATCTTTGACAGCAATGTAATCCTAGAAGTATAAAGTACCATGTGACTGTATGTCAAAGAATAAAAGTGCAAAATCAATAACAATGAATACTCCTTTTTGCAAATTAAGGTATCACCTATCGAAATTTTAGAAAGTCTATAAGAAACATTAACAAGAATGGGAACAGGTTCTTAATTTGGTGGGTGGCACCAGGGTCCAAAAATCTGTAGTGACCATTTTTTACCGGTAACCACCTTAAAAATGATAGATATACAGGAACAAAGCAATACGACGACGAGAATCCAATGTCACGAAATAAATTTTCAAAATAAATTAAATTTAAGAGTATACTAATATTTCGCCCTGGCATACAGGGCTTCATCAGAGTAAAAGACCTTTATTTACTCTGATGAAACCCTGTATGCCAGGGTGAAATATTAGTATACTCTTAAATTTAATTTATTTTGAAAATTTATTTCGTGACATTGGATTCTTGTCGTCGTATTGCTTTGTTCCTGTATATCTTTCATTTTAAAATCTCATTGCAAGATTCACAGAATCCAGCAGACAGCCTATCCTGCGGTTCTTTCTTCTCACACTTAAAAATGATAGCTATGTCATTTAAACCTTATAGTTCTTATTTGATAATAAACAAAATCTTCTAGACCTGAGGCTGTCAGTTAGTTTATCAACACAGATGGTCACTCAGTATATTACTGCCCTCCATGTTGAGTACAATAACAGGAACCAAGATATAAGAATATTAGACAATAACACCACAACTGTAAACATTTTCTTACATTATCCTCCCTTATATCATCTTTATACTTTCATACCTGATTCAAATTATTCTAATGGCTTTCTTTAAATGATTGACCTATTTTGTTTAACTTACTGTCAAGCTGATATCGCTGACTTGGACATCATCAGTACTCCATTTGCCAAAAAGCCTAATTTCTGGTGCAGCAACCACTGCATACTGATCTGCTGCAGTTTCATCTGCACCCCATTCATCACCCATTTTTCTGTCTTTTTATTAAATGAAAAATCCTAGAAATAAGATGTTATTCATCATGTACAATTAACGTGATTCATTTTAATAATCTAAAATATTACTATAAATGTTTTGTAAAAATAACAAAAAAACAAAGTTTATTGACTAAAATGCCTGAATAATGTAAATTTGATGATGACTTGCATAAAAAGCAGGTTACAAATGCGAAATCTTGTAACCTTTAATGTCAAATAACAAGTGAAAATTATAAGGATATTGCAATGATTGTCATCTTGAAATGTTAAATTTAAAAACTTGCTCCAATGTAAAATTAGGGATTCTTTTAGACAGTTATCACAAAATAGAGTGACATTTATGTACATAGAGCTTTATGTGATATCATGTGAATTCTGTCTTATTAGACGCACAAATCTGAAGACATCAATCAACGGTACAATTGACAACGCGGCAATCCAACTAGGCCGTTCCTTCGCATTCTCATAATATCATCAGCTTCTTGATTTTATAAAATTTTCCCATTAACTAAAAATAAATGATCGGTGAGAAACCTTATTCAAGATTTAGATGATTCGCAAGAAGCATCAAAGTTTATAAAAGGGGGCATCAAATTGGACTGCACGAAACTCTGAAACTTCATGCCTTACCGAAAGATGGTGGCGGAGAAAAGAGTGCTTCTGACGCAAAGCATGGTCATCAATGTCCCGGATGGAGGTTGCGCGGCCATTTGCCTCAGTTTCACACGACCTCGCTCGCATAAACTTAGAAAAACATTGGACAAGAGGAACTTTAGATTTTTTGAAGTAATTTTTTCAATAAAACACTGGGTGAATGGCTGGCAAGAAAACTATCTGGCTGGCTTTATCATCATTCTTTTCTTCTGATACTTAATTGCATGAAGTTTGACCTAATTTTGCTTCGACAGACTGAAGTTGGTTTCTGTTGGCTGTCACTGTCATGTTTCTTTCGATTCGATGCCGCAGGTTGTACAACCATTGTTGTGAGGGACGGTTCTAGTTTTCTTGATATTCAGCTCAAAAAGTTAGTCAGTGACTTCTTAGGGGCTTGGGAGCTCGAGCCCTCTCTGGGCATTGATGATTACTATGAGACTACATCAAATAGAATATATTATAGGATACATACCGTAAAAACTCTTTTAAGCCCCCTTATCAACCAAAAATTTAAAATAAGTCCCCCTCTCTATTAAGCCCCCTCTTAAGCCCTTGATGTCAAACAAATAAAACATATGCATTGAGTGGGTTTCTTGACAGTTGTGGTAACGATAAGATTGTGTGCATTAATTAAGGCCCATGTAAATATTTTCTTGTGCTCCTTAAAAGTCAGTCGAGATTTGTTTAGAAGATGTCCCAGGGGATATAAATTGATCCTGGTGACTTTGAGGAAGATGGGGACATTATAATTGAATGATTTTAAGAAATTTTCGAAGCTGCTAGCAAAGTTTTTTAAAACATTTGTATGACATTCTCATAGCAAAAAATTGCACAAGGGCGTTGTTATAAAGCATTTTTTACATTGAATTATTAATAAGCCCTCCTCTCTAATAAGCCCCCTCTCTAGGACTGAAAAAATAAATAAGCCTTCCAGGGGCTTAGTAGAGCTTTTACGGTATACAGAGAAATGCTCCTTAGCTTACAACATCTTTACTTTGTAGAATGATGACCGTTAAACAGCTTTTCATTTTTAAAGCTGGTCTAGAAACTTTCATTTGAGCTAAAACATATCTCCACAAATTCTGGTCAAATCTTTAGAAATTTCTCAATATTCAAAACGGAATAACTTGTGACCCAACAGTCAAACAACACAACCTTTAAGTACAAACTCATTTCAACATGACAATTTCAAATCTCAGGTCCATTTTCAAGATGACACAACAACAATGCTAAAGGTAGACATTCATCATAATGTTATTTACCTGTGTATTAATTCCAAGAAATTTAGTGATGTATGGTTCCGAATTACATTCATTCAAAGAAATCTGGTGATGTGAAATCTAGTACGTATTGATAATTGTTGTGTTCTTTAGTTTAAAAAAATTGCTGTGCTGTTTTTCATATCTATCTGTCTTTTATTACATGATTTAGATAGCACAAAGAATGTGTTTTGGGGTTCCTAGTAACTTTGGTCTTCAGGGTAAAAAAACATGGGAATGTTTACATTAATATGAAGTTGTGGGTATGGAATTCTAGGCTCCTTAATCCTAGGACGGCAGATAATTGAGGGTTAGAGAGAGGAATAATATTCAAGTGTGTGGGTGAAAAGGCCATCCACTGTTCATTTCCAATTGTTTACTTTTGCATGCGCTACTTTTGGCAAACATTCTTGAACATTACTTTATTACAGTGAACTTTAATGTTCTTAAAAATGTTCTCTATAAATTGAAATTGAAGTTTTGTAGAGAATGGATCATGCAAAAAATAAAAAACCAACAAGCTGCATGATTTATGCTATAAACATATACCAAAGTAGTTGTACTTGTCACAAAATTCCAAAAAAGCATGCACATTATCACTCTAGGAAGCTATTACTTTATTTTTCATACTGAGAGATAAAATTTTGCTTAACTTTGTGTATTAGTTTTAAATTTGAATGAAGCTTAAATCACAAATTCCAAATACCTTCTTTTACTCTACTGCCCTTAAGTTGGACATATAAAGGGGCTTCAAAGAATTTGAGAATCATATACAAAGGGGTATATATTGTTGGTATGTGAAAGTTAGTTACATAGGTGTCAGCTTGTACTGTGGGCTAAGAATTGCAAGGATTCCACAAATGGAAGAGATCAGGCCAAGAGCACCAACTATGCCATCTGAAATGTCAATTTTGCCCCAGATCTTTAGTGGTATAGCAAAATCAGCCATGTTTTTTAGTGTATCCACAGCAATGTCTGGTCTCTGTGTGACACAGTCTTGAACTGTAGGTGTTTTCTGCTTTGCTTGAGCTCTTAACACATAATTGATAATCTCATAAAGATCTCTTAGGAGGCAAAAAATAACAGCAACCAGCCAGAAGGGGGCTGCTCTGGTGGCATACTCTTTTGAACTACCCTTCATCAATGATACACGACAGCACCAGTTCAAGATGTCATACACAAAATAAATGGATCTGGACAGCCTTGCAACAACAACACATATTCGGATGAGTGGGTCTTGAATTTGACTTCCTTTTACAGCACCCAGAATCATGTCCAGACTCTTGCCCAAACGAAATGCTGGAGTAGATAATACATTTGTTGTAAATGATCAGCATTTATCAGAATGGAAGGAAATTAAAAAACTTAAGAGAGCTTAAGAAGGCTTAAGCAAAAAGTTAAAATATTCCAAAAGGAGTTACAGCATTAAAATAAACTGAAATGAAACGGATAAACAGGACTTTCTGTGAAAAAATATTCACAAGGGTGACAACCTGCTTGTGTGGATGAGCTTACGAGGGGGATAACCTGCCCCACAATATTTGGTAAAAAAGAAGTCTTCCAGGGCCTGAGGAGGGTAATTAGGCTATCAACTTTCCACCATTGCCTAACCTTTCATTGACTATGTATGCATAATTACAGCCAATTTTAAACAAACTTTTTGATGTTTTGTTTTCATCAGAAACTTGTCCTTTCACTTAGAAATACTGCAATTTATGGAAACTAACTTTTCCATTTATATTCAAGTGATTTGGTGAAGGCCTTGCAAGGGCATTGAAATAATCTACTTATTTAATCTACAAACATACTTTTTCTGCTTGTGCTGAAGGTAACTTCAATTTTTTTAATTCTGGATGCCAACTCTGGATCAACTTTTCTTTGAGTGCAAATGTAACCAACCAGTTTACTTGCATATTGTGCAGCTCTGCAGTAACAATATTGAAAGTTTAAGAGAAATTTGGTAAAGATCATCAAACAAAGATAAAAATGGTGAGCAGGAATAATGCAAAATGACAAAGAATTGTTAGAGATTCTGGTAAGGCCCATTTACCTTCTTTTTCCTTCTCATTCATTCCTTCACATTCTCACAATATGACATCTTCTAAGTCAATCAAAATATAACGTATCGACTAACTAAAATTTTTTACTTTCTTTTTGGCCATGCCATTAATATCACACATTGAATAAACTTGCACTTTTGATTTTTTGCTTTTCCTTTTGTAACTTATGTGAACTTAAGAAAACCATGAAGGTTTATAAGTATGTTAATTTCCAAAGTCAGGTTTGAAACATAGCTCTACAGAAAGTATATTTCCTCTTTCTCAGTCCTCTCAACATGTTAAGTAAAACTATCTTGTTAGGAAACATAATGCCATCAATGGAAGTAAACACTCTAGAAGCATGTTTTTAAAGAATATTACAAATAAAAAGAAATCTGAATAAGGATTTTTGTGCATACACTGGCATGAAATTTGAGCTGTTGATACAACAACTGAAGGACTCAACCAGCGACTTTGTATGTTGCTGCTTTCAGAACTGAGAACCAAGTCACCCCCCAGGGGTACTCCCATTAAGGCCTAACAGGGAGGTTCAGTCGATTTGAGGGTCATACCAAATGGTCCAGTTTTGATATCAACACAACCGCTTTGTGTAGCTTGCGATTTATTATAGTCAATGAACAAGGTTTTATCTTTCCTGAATCAACAACAGTCAATTGCGAAGAAATTTGTCAAAGAAGGACCAGGGGCGTACAAAGAAATGGATGCTACCAATGACATAATTTCCACCCTTGTGCTACCATTTGAGGGTTATTGTAAAAAAACACGGCCACTTGAGGGTAATTGTTAACATTTTAGCTTTGGCCATCATTGACGCTGACTGGTCCCCCTGTTAGGCCATAATGAGAGTAACCCCCTGGGAGTCACCCAAACCACCCCTTATCCTAGTCTGCAGAGTGCGGCACTTCCACATACAAGATTACAGACTATTGCTGCACATTTCCTCATTTGCCCATACTTCTATTTGCTGTTGCGCACACAAGATCTTGCTTGGAACAGACATGCTTTGCAGACGGGCCTTTGCTCTCCCCCCTCCAGGTGGTGCTCTCCCCCCTCCAGTAAAGAGGGGTTGGTGTGTGGGGCACAGCTCTGGGCTTGGATCAGAAAATATTACAGGGTAGCTTATGCAGGGTTCAGAGTGTAAAGTATATTTTGTGTACAGGGACTTATTTTCTGCCGTTTGTGCTTGTACGGGAACTAATCATGCTGTAAATTAACAGGTTAAAAGCTGTGGGATTTATTTTTAAAAATCGTTTGTGAGCATAGTGGTGATGATGTGCATGGGATTTACATGAAAATATGAGCTGTAACTGATAAGATTGATCTAGATTTGAAAAAATACACAGATGGGATTTGAGGAAAAGGGAAATTGCAGTAATTCACAGTGATTACCCAAACTTTGCAGTATGATGCAGGGTTAGTTCAGTTTAGATTGTTTTCTCTTGCAACATCAAAGTCTCAGTGTGTACTTAAATTTGATATTTTTGAAGTTTTAAAGGAACTATATAGATGTTACTTATAGGAACTTACTTTATAAATTCTGGTATTTCATGGCAAAAAAACTTGAATTCTTCAGTCTAATCTCTCTAATCTTTAATAAGTCTAACCTCTCGTCTATACAAATGACATTACAATAATTTCACACTCCTTCTCAAGTGTGGACGCTCATTTTGGAAAGCAAGCCAGCGGGGCTCCATCGTCCCCTTGGTTCCACGGCCTGTCTCTAAAAGGCTCAAAAAGGAACATCATTGGTTGTTATACCCGATAAAAACTTACGACAGATACTCCTAACATAGGCGTGTTGCATGGTGTCAAGCAATACAGGATCCAGTGAATCCTGATAAACAGAAAGAACGGAAATTGAAAATCGACCTTCGACCTTTCTTACTACTCATTGAGCTCCTTGTTCAAGATTACAGGAAAAGCAAATCTCGAATTAATTACCTTGACAGCTTATCTCTTGCAGCTGTTTGTGAGGTAAATTTGACAAAATCAGCGACAGTTTCCATGATTTCAATCAGAAAATTCCGCCTGGAATGTTGTGCGACGCGACATCAATCTTTTCTTTGCCGCCAACATCGAACAGCGTTTTGAAGACGAGGTTCCACGTCAAACCTACTCTTTTGTTATAAGAATGTTGTCTATAAGAATTATTCTTATTGAATATTCAGGCTCAAGAGTCACCCAGTTTCTAAGAATCAACATTATAGAATATTTCTCAGCCCCAGCTCCCAATTTTATGTCTCTTTCGATGGTATTAAATTTTGGAACTCCCTACCTATAGAGTTAAAAAAGATGGATAATAAACACCACTTTGTGAAACAGATGAAATATTTTCTTATGAACAAAATTTGACATCTGTAGGCTTGATTACTTTATGATTATTTTATAATTGCACTTAGCTGTTATTACAATATTACACATAGTCTTATTTTTATTTCGTTCTACTTTATTCTATTCTTATTATATCTTACTGTTATCATTCAAACTTAAAATCGTCATTATAAGCACGTCAATTTGGAAACATGGCTCGATAGCTTGCTCAAAGTTCTTTCCATGTGTCCATCAGCCTAAAATTGTTTAATTCTCATTGCTGAATTTTAAAATATTGCGGTTGTCTCATTTTTTAGCAGTTGCCTCTTTGCGATCGCATGATTGACATATCTTACTTCTCAAAAAAGCATGGTTTCTATTTATTTATGGGTGGACAGTGTTCCCATGAAACCATAAGTAATAATACTTTAATGAAAAAGGTTCAAAACTTGAATTTCTTGAGAAGATTAGGGCTGGGCAAAATTTATAGTATTCTTACAAAAAAGAGTGTAAACTATATGGAAATGTTCACTTTGTGCACAAGCCTGGGACTAAACATTGTCTCACAGCTACATTTTGTTTCAAAAGCCAATTTCTTGGAAATTAAATAATAATGATTTTTCTCACATCTAAAATATTGGAGGTTTAACTTAACCAATAAGGAACACCAATCATTTACTCACAAAACAGTAAACTGCAGTCATCACAGAAATATATTTAACGCAAGGTGATTGACAGATTAAAATTCATCAAAATCTGTGTTTACATGGCGTAGCTCTGCAATTAATAAATGTATATATTTTGCCGTTTATAGTATATTTTGTCAGAAAAGCCAGAAAATTCAGAAAAAAAGAAAGGAATACGCAAGATAATTTGATATCTAAGAAGATAGACTATTATTTGCAAAAATTTTGAAATCTCTTTTTATTACTAAGCCCAGCGGTTTAAGATCACAAGCCAACATAGAAAGATTGGGGATTGCAATCACAACAACATTTAAGTATCAAGAGTTGGGATTGCACATAAACCACAACTAAATATCAGAAGTATATGAAAGTGACATGCTTTAAGACTCTGAGCACCTACAACTTTTCAAAATCAACTGCTATTTGCTGTTCTGAGTAAAAAGGTCCTTCTGCCACATATTTACAGATTCGCTCATAATAATCCATGCCAATATTTTCTTTAGCTGTTATTGACTGTGAAATAGTCTTTAGTATTTGATACTTGAGCTCCTTTCCCTCTTTATCATGCTCTGTACGGCGATCAAGCATATACTCCAAAAAGCCTAAAAAGAGTAAAATAACTTCTTTTTTGAGAATTAAAGAATAGATTACGTCTTTGGCACATGGTGTAGAATGTTGATAGTGCTGTCGTACGTGACACTGCAGTACAATACAAGACAGCATCAATCTATCTAAATTAGTTTAGCACAACTAAAGAGAAAGCAGGAACATTTTTCTAATAATGGTTGAAACAAAAAAAAGGGGGATGCCTATTCTAACAAAAATGATGATCGGCCTTTGTTAGAAAAAAAACTTGACATCCTTAATAATAGCAAGAAGTCTTAAAAATGTTCAAATCTTATTCTTAATGCTGATACCAAAATTGATTCCTTTTATCAACTTCCAAAAATGGAAATGTTACCTCAGGATAACAATCAAACAATTGAAATTCCAGATCCATCCAGGGACATAACAGCTGTATAATAGCACCCATGAGAGGGAGAAGTTAACAGTATCCTGATGATTGATTTAAGCATGAGACTCAGATCTGGGACTTAGACCCATTCTATTTCACACAATAAAGCATTTGTTACAAAAGTTGGCCCTTTTAAGGAAGACATGAAAAAGCGACTGAGAAATTGTAAGTTGGCAAAAACATTAGGAAGATGGCATATTGGCAGTAGTGTAGCTTGATCTTCCAGACTAGAGGGTGAGTCTCATCAATAGTAAAATTTATAAATGAAGACAAACATGAAGGAAAATCTCAACTCAACTCTTTCCAACTAATGAAGAATTGGGGGGGGGGGGAGTATGAAACCTCCCTACGCCCCTACCAGCTACAGTCCTGCATATATGATGTAGTAGAGCATTATATCTTCAATATTATAAACTTCATATGGCAATAAGAATGATAAAGCCTAATTAAACAACATTTACTCACAAATCAGTGATAGCATTGTCCTATTGAAATATCTTACCTGGAGTCAATGCCATATCTTGCTCCGACCAAGAAAAGGCTGCAATATTAGCTAATGCACCAAGGGAACTTAATCTGATATTTTGAAATGGCAGCCTGGCACAAGTCATAAAGGTATTGATTGGTTGCTTATTAATATGCTGATAAAGTGTTTCTCTGATTTGAAATGACTCTTCACTGCAGTTGGCCTCTGATATTGCGAACAGATGAGCTAATGCATCAATCAGTCTAACCTTTAGTGCCTCATCCATTGAAGATATAACATCCCTGCCAAGAATGGTCATTGCATGGTTCAGCCTTTCTGGATTTTGATATAGGATTTTTAGGCCATCTTCTGTGCTACAAATGGCAAAAATTGTTTCGAAGCAAAGAACTTTCAATATTGCATCACCTTCATTGCAGCATTTAAAAACGAAGTTAACAAATTCTGGGTAGTGTAATAAAATTTCTTCAGGCATCTTTGTTGCAGTTTTTCCAAAAAATGTTATCGTCCCTGGAACAAAAATTATCCAATTGTTACTTGTGGCGAAACAACTTGGAAACTCTTTTATGTTCTTTATATAAAAAATGGTACATCATGTCATATCAAAATACTGCATTGTAGGCTAAGAGCCTGTTACAGATCAGTAGTCTAATAAAAAACTATCTAAAAACACTGACTAAACAAACACCGGGTTAGAATTTTTTGTCTCCACAATAATTGTTCAGTTTCGGTTTGAATAAGTTCAATGATTTGGCATCTACTACTTCTCTTGGAAGACAGTTCCATTCATGTGCAACCCTGACACTGTAGGCATGCTTCCTAACATTGGTGCTCATTCCTAACATATCTTTCATTAAATATCTTTACTTTATATTCCCTTGATTTCCCATAGGTGTTTACCCTTTTTCACATCAGTCAACCTTCCTAGAGTTTATCAAAGACTTCTCAAAATTCTCTATTTAATCCCTAGAGTATTACAAGGAAAGTGTTACAATGAGAGTATAAAGTAGAGTACTGGAGTATTATTACAAATTTGCAGAAAATTATACTCAATTACAGTTACTTCATTCTACCTTGCTGTGCTGTGCATATACAATTGTATGTTTACAATGAGAAAATCACAGACAATTCTTTGATGCACTTCATATCAGGGCAACCCAGAGGGGGGAATGAGATGCACATTGCCTCAAAGCCTAGGGGGCCTCATTAAGTAGTTAACCCCATGTTGCGGTAGGAATTACACAAAGGTAACAAAGTAATGCCTAAAAATAATAAAATGTTTTAAGTGATAATAAGTAAATGGAAATATTCTGAAATGCGATTTAAGCTAATCTAAAGGGCCTGGTCACAAACATTTTCTACTTGCTTTGCTGACAGGAAGCTTTGCTTTCAGTTTCACGCCAGTGCATCAGAAATGTATTGTGTGGCCCTAACTGGCATCTGAGTTAAACAATTTATTTTTTCAGCCAAATTTCTAGAACTTAAGTGACTACTTAAGTTCTAGAACTTAAGTGAACAGTCTTATATTCTTCAGACACATTAACCACCTTACCTGGGAGAAGAATCTGCTTTAATGGGTCAACCTCAACATCCTTGAAAACTGTGTTTAGTTGATGCAGTGTTCCACTTTTGGCTAGAAAATCCAAACAGTTTGAGGATGATGTGGCAATAGTGCTTAGCATTTCCAGGCAATTAACCTGGGTTAATATGTCATCATTTTGCAATTCCAGGATCAACTTATTAAGAATCTGCTGGACTTGCTTATTTCTAATCAACTCAGAATCTTCCACCAAGAGGTCAGCAAACAACTGGTAAACTCTAAAACGCACCAAAGCACTTTTCGAAAGAAGCCCAGTGAACAGTTCTATTCCATTATCTGTGAGGAAATACGAAATTCCATGTGGGAACTTCAAAACATTGTACACAACGATGGATGCATTTTTCGCTACACTAAGCAACTCGTGTCCAATGTTTCTTACCACAGCTTCAAGAACTGAGTTTCCCGCTTCTTGAATATTTTTCAACATGAAACTTGCCCCTTCCAAAGTTGCTGATGATATAGCCAACTGTTTCAAATAAAAAAGTTTGAGCTCTTCGTCGCCTTCAGCTAGCATCTCTGTCACAGTATGTAGATTTTTGGCAATGATTTCTGTTGGGCCTAGAATATGAAATACTTTACTTGCCAACCTAAATCCATGGTCCTTTGCTTTTCCCTTTAGTGTATATAAGAGAGCTAATAATCTGCCAAACTCGTTACGAACAAATTCCTGTTTAAAATCCGCTGCATTGGTTCCAGCGAGAATATCAAGCTCAAGAATTATATTCAAAGCTTCTTCTTGAGAACAGTTTGTCAATCTAGATAAAAGTGAACCAATTTCCTCATTTCTATCAACGTCCATGTTGAAATATCCCAATTTAAATACGACAACACAACATGAGCTTTCTCTCTCAGTCCGCCATTATCCGCCATTGACAATCTCCACCTCAAAACGAGGCCAAAATTATATTCAAAAGTGTGACGTCATAAAATCTACGTTCAGAATTTTTAATTTGTAATCTGATAGTCTAAAAAGATGATATATTTATCATGCTAAAAATTGAAAAGATAAATAAAGTCAATAAAAGATTTCAGCTTGATAGCTACTATCTTGTTAGCTTTGAAGCCCTGGCAAAACGAGTCAACTTTTGTTCAGTGATGTAATTTCTTATTGTGCCCATACTGATGTTCGGAAGGTAAAGACCGGGAAAATTCCCTTAAGATATATTGTTTCGAGGACTTTCATTGTCATATATTTCATTGTATTTAGTTCTTTACTTTTACTGTTCACATTCAATGCAGCATTCTTTATATGTTAGTCCAAATTTAACTTGGCATCAGTAACCCATATGCTAAACATTTTTGGTTCTACATAGTATATAGTTTAGGCCGAGATCTCCTAGTTTGATAGACTTTCAGCTCCAGTTAAGGGCTTCTTGATAGCAAAATTGCAGGATGTAGTGTGGGGATGTTTGGTTTCCACCATTACTAATTTCATCAAGAGCAGTTTGTATGTTGATTGTAACTTTTTCCATGATGTCTCCAATGCAGAAGAACTCGGTATCATCAGCAAACATTTATAATGAATCGTCACTGGGGGAACATCAGGTAGATCGGTAACATGTATACAAAATAGTTTAGAGCCAAGAGCAGAGCCCTGAGGTACTTCTAACTCTACTTCGTTTTATATGGAATGTTGACCATTAATTTCTACAAACTGCTTCCTGGTTGTAAATTAAGTAATGATTAATTCATCCAATGGATCGGCTATGCCTGCACCTGTTAGCTTTAACTAGCCCCCCCTACGAACCCCGCTACGTGGGCACCCGATAACCCCAGCATATGTTATAAAGGCTAAGATATGTTAGCCTCAGAAAGACAAGAGGTGTACTAGCCTCGATTTGAAAATAATTAGATCAGTATATGTCACGTGATAAAAAAACTATTTGCACTCTTCGTCATCTTCCAATCAAAACATGACGAGGTTGATATTATTCTGAACATTGGTTCAGTTGCAACGGACATTAATCGGTTGAGCAGCAGCCGAGATTAGGAGATCGGTACCACGGGCTGGATTATGGAAACTTTGTAAAAGTAGTTGAGGGGGCAAAATGTCACGATTGTTCAGAGACCTAGTAAGGACCGCCAACATGCATGGCTATAAAGAAAAAAATCATTGAAGGGATGGTGAAAAAATGCATTTGAAATAATTACAAAATTGATTTAGACCAAAGTCAAGTCCTTAGCAATATTCGTAAGCTTTTTTAAAAACTATGTCCTTTAGTTCTATTTGGTTTGACTTAAAAATGACGATGAAAACGGCCTTGCATAGTTTTAATAGACTTTAAAGCTTAATTAATAGACACGGTTCAGCAATGCGAAATTGAGAGAGAAGATTTAGAGCAGCCTGGGGGGATTTGAAGCGGGGATTAAAGTTGAAGAAGATGGAAAAAAGATGAAAAAACAATCAGAGCCTCAATTTTCACAAAGAAGCCCAAAATTACGGACGGCTTGCAGCACACCCTCACATCCCTTACCTCGGTACGCCCTGTGAATAATGGTTGTAAAATAACGAAAATTCGGCAGAAAATAAAGGTGGTTTCAACAAAGTTTTGAATACTCTCTAAGAACTCCTTTGCAGCAGTTTGCATGAAACAGATCTCTTATGGCAGCCTAAATATCTTTTACTTAATTTAAAAAATACAATTAAGTGTTTCTGAATTGAAAGTTGAAGAGTCAACAAGATCTGACAAACATACAAAAATCACCAATTATTTCAAAAGCTAGATAAAAAGATAGAACAGGATCAAAGAGTTTTTAAAACGTACCACAAACAGCGTTAGAAGATTAAATTTAAAACAAATCTTAGCCTTAAAATACATGCATAATATCTAAAACGTATTTACAATATTCGATAAGTATATTATATTCTAATTTTTAATATTTGTCCCTCAAACACATATTTTAACAAAATCTATGATAATCCAACTTGGAAGCAAAGCCAGTAGATTTGCGTCAAATATTGACAACATGATTAATGCTTAAAAAAAATCAATCGATACGCAACATTCTGATTGTCATAATAACCGAGGATGGATAGACCAAGTTTCTACACATCTTTCCATGGCGAAAACGCAATTCACTTGATAGACGTCAGCCTAGCAGGGGCTACAGCAAAACTTACAACTAAATTGTCTCGCAGACGATGCATCTTTACATGGAATACAAACTTGTCGGATAATACAATAAAATATTCCAGCTTTTATCGAACTCTTTATAAACAGTAAAAATATGTAAAAATCCTGTACACTGCTATATTATATGTCGAGGTATTTACAATTTGCGGAATCGCATTGGCATCGAAGACCGCTTTTCTTCTTTATTTCCCAAAATTTATCACCATAATCGAAACTGAAAAAGAAAAAGATGGTTAACAGGAAAGCAAAATAACGGCAAGCTAGGTAATGATAATTTCTTTTTATAAAAGTGCTACAGTTAGATGTTTGTTAGTTGACGGGGGTGGGGGAGGGCATTGCATGATGGCCGGGACAAGTGGACGTGGCCACTAACGATAGACAGGTAATGCTTAGTTATGACAAGTATGGATTTTCATCGACAAGCTTTTGAATGGGATTTTCATCTGCTCCTAAAGTCATATCTCTAGAAGTCGTTGGCAAAGAAGGCAGACGTTGAGAATCGGGGATCTCACTTAATTCCTCAATAATATGGATCTATAAGAGTAGGTTAGGTACAAGTAGGATTAGGGTCAGGGTAAGGTAAGATTAGGGTCAAGTAGGGTTAGGGTCCGGTAGGGTTAGGATCAGGTAGGGATAGGTAGGATCAGGTCAGATTAGGATCGGGTAGGATTAGGGTCAGGTAGGGATAGGTAGGGTCAAGTAGGACTAGGGTCAGGTAGCGTTAGGGTCAGGGTCAGGTAGGATTAGGGTCAGGTAGGGATAGGTAGGATCAGGTAGGATTAGGGTCAGGTAGGATTAGGGTCAGGTAGGGATAGGTAGGGTCAGGTAGGATTAGGGTCAGGTAGGGATAGGTAGGGTCAGGTAGGATTAGGGTCAGGTAGGGATAGGTAGGATCAGGTAGGATTAGGGTCAGGTAGGATTAGGGTCAGGTAGGGATAGGTAGGGTCAGGTAGGATTAGGGTCAGGTAGGGATAGGTAGGATCAGGTAGGATTAGGGTCAGGTAGGATTAGGGTCAGGTAGGGATAGGTAGGGTCAGGTCGGATAAGGGTCAGGTAGGGATAGGTAGGGTTATGACCAGCGTTGGGCTAAAAAGATTTTCAAACACGATGTGCACTTTGAGTATCGTAGTAAAGAGCTGTGTTGTCAAAAAACAAACGAATAAACTTGAAAACACAGATTCATCTTTATTTATAGAAGAATTCAGTAAGATATTGCATTTTACATGTTTTATCAAGCGAAATTAATGGCCACGAGAAACCTCTTTTCCAATCGCTCAGCTGTGATAATGAGCAGCTTTGTTTTAGTTTTTAGTGTTGACCATAGGCTTGGATAACGCTAGAAAAAGGCTTTCTTACAGAAACTCTTAGAGGCTTAGTTCACAACAAACCCCTTGCAAATTGTTTAAGATAACAAGGCAAAAACCTTTATTACACATGGGGTAAAAATAATTTTCCATGTTTAGGAATCTTGCTAAACTTTCCATGATCAAATAGAAGACAAAATAGTCGAATAATCTTTCAGAAATACCTTAGACCCTCATAGGCTTCGATATCGCGACTTGCAAAAAATGCTATTCCTGGAAATCTCCAGTCCTGCGACAAAACAAACGAGGTTATGCACTTCAAGGAAAGAGAGGCTGATCGCCAGTGGTCCTATATTCCCGAAGCTCTTTAAGCTCAAAGCTATTAAAGGCTCTTATATTCTCAAAGGAAATCGGTTGCGGAAGAACCTTTAATATAAATTAAGAAGCGATAAGCGGTTTTATATATAATTCAGCAAATCCACTTTTTAATATGAATATTTATTAAAAGACAGCATAAAAAAGCCTGAGAAAAGTCATACGAAAAGTCATGACGTCATAAGAAAGTTGTGAGAAGGAAGAGCCGCAGGATAGGCTGTCCGCCGGATTCTGTGAATCTTGCATTGAGATTTTAAAATGAAGTCCTGTATGCCGGGGCGAAATATTAGTATACTCTTAAATTTAATTCATTTTGAAAATTTATTTCGTGACATTGGATTCTCGTCGTCGTATTGCTTTGTTCCTGTATACCTTTCATAAGAAAGTTGCCTTCATAACAATCAGTCCTTTGCGAGTAACTGAAATGCATTCTTGGACACCTTTCTGAGCATGCATTAATATAACCGTAGCTGAGTCAATGTTACATATAACCACTTGCGAGCTTGTTTAATTAGATCATCTAAAAAATTTCTCAAGTCAGCAATCCATCTTTAGTCTATCGAAATATACAAAGCCAGACGAAGCATCGCATAAACTGAACTTTTCATTGCAGGTGGGCAGCATAATTTTGCATTCCAGTCAAACAATTTGAAAAAGAATACAACGAGGAGATGGAACAAGGAGGGATTTTGTTGTAAGGTTTTTCCTTCCTGACGTTCACGGTAAAAGGCAGTGTCGAAGCTTAACATAGGAAACAAATAGTTATAGTATGTATCTAATTGACAAACCCGGTGATGTGTAAAAACCCTAACAGGAACGAGGTTCGATTCACATGAGTGGTTTATGAATCGTCCACAGTTGCCATAGAAATTTGCATCGAGACAATTGTCTTCGTCATTCGAGTTCTGCAGAAACCGAAATATGAAGCAAATAAAGAACGCACTGGTGATTTAAAAAATGGCTAAGGGGGTGGGGGTTTGTTTAAGTGGGGGGGGGTGGGGGAAATGAGAATAATCCGACTCAAAAGATTCTGTGCAGTATATCTAAATTTCCGAAATACTATTAATAAGTAAGAAATGATAAATGATTTCCTTGTATTTCTTTGCAAAATACATTTCACTTTTACGAAAACCTATGTACAAGATACCTCTTGAAATGCAAATAAAAACTTGGCCTGCAATTTTGAAATCTTGAATGTTCTTAATAAGGGTTAGGATACCATTCTGGTTTTTCAGTAATTCTTGGGAGTTGAGACTTGGAGGAACTGAAGCGTTTGGTGATGAGGCTGTACAAAATCTGACACTGAAACATTTCATCTGAATACATCAAAACGAGAACGCACCTTCATATCGAGATCAAACAAGTAGGAATCGTCTCCTCTTCGATCAGCTTCGTCATCTGAAATCACTTCACCAACGTAATTCAAAACGAACGACCCTTTCAAGATAGGTCCAATCGTGCGAAGACCCCAGCCTGTCAAAAAATCACATAAATTTTGAACAAGATATTAAAATTATCGCAGAATAAATGTTGTAGATACTAACGGAAGATCTGGATTGACAACGGAAGATCTAGGCAAATCATCTGCCATATTCACGTCTGTGTCTAGCAGCCAGGTTTCAAATAGCATACGTCACGACAGCTGCAACTTCCACGTATCCAAGATGGGCATTACGGCACAGTGTATGTAAGAAATTTTGACATAGAAAGATGTCTGCGTTTCGAGTTTAGAAAACGTCTCAACATTCCTCCGGATGAAATTTTGTCCTTTCTGCCTTCCTCAAAATTTTCCTTTTTCCTTTTGAATAAATTTTTCTTAGAAATGGAATTTCAGTAAAAAATCACTGCTTTGGTCTTTACGCTGTGTCAGGACAAAAGAAATGTTCAAGCACAACAACAAATTCCTATCACTTTATATACTCTTTTCAAGTTATGCAATGGCCTTGAAACGACTGCGTCGTTGGAGAACCTTTCTCCGGCTCACACCCATGGAATCGTTCAGTTTTTCGACTCTACCTGCACTTATCTGATTTACATTAAGAAAATTGTATTTTTTAATACAAAAACATGACTTCGCCATTCCAATTATAATAACGACAATCGATACGTCTTTCTCTTCACTTAGAGCTTTGACGAAGCAAGCGGAGAGACACTTGGGCGTAATAAAAAGCTGTTCAAGGCTGAGTGAAAGCCAGTCTTGTGAAGTTGCAGAAATCAATGAAGTTGGAAATGTGCAACTTTCTACTTAATGGTTTGCGTTGAAAAGTCAGCATCAAAAAGACTAACTGGTGTACAAATCGACCTATGGATTTCAAAGCGTCCGCCCCTAATTAAATCCAAGCAATACCCTGTTATCTCTATTTACGACTCGTCTCTCAACCCAGGAACCTCATATCCCCCCTAATCCACAACATGAATTGCATACCAATGACCCTGTACTGATACGATTTGCGCAAAATAAAACATGATTAAACTCTTAGTTGAACTACTAATTAATTGACTCTCCTGAAACGATTCAGCGATGAATATAAATTAACATGCATAGTACCCATATTGGCGGTTTTGTAAACTTGCAGCGGGAACTGCAGGCCTTTTTGCACCACCCTGTTACTACAGTATGACCAACAATGACAAAGCTTTGAGCACTCAACCAAAACAGGCTGGTCAAGCTCCATAAAGGACATATCAAGGACGCCTTCCTAAAATGAAAACAGAGAATTAATTCAGGTGAGAGAAACGAGTACAGTAAATCTCAGCAAAGAAGAACGTGCTTTTTCACAAGTCAGATTATTCTTGGTTCTCAGTCTAAATGTGCATGTGATCGTTTCAGGGTTACTTGTTATTATTAAGAGTTTAAAGGGTTTTGTAGCTCAAAATTGCCAACACGCAGACTTTAATGGCAAGTGATCCTTAGACAATATTTCATGAGGATAACTGTTGTATCAAGAACTTTATGGCTCTCTCAGCCTACAAGGTTCTTGAATACAAAATGCGGCCTAAAGAACCTTAATCTCTTAGGTTTTTCTTTAAGAGAATTTACTGCAATGGAACCAAATTATGAAACGACTTATGGAAACGAAAAAAGAGAATGAAGAAAGCTGGAATACATTGCGCCATTTTGCTGCGCAAAGAACAAAAACCTCTGATTGACAAGACAACAATATCGTACAGTGAACAAAACTTCTTTTACAGAAAAAAACTTCGCATATTATCGATTTGACGTACATCGTACCAGCACTTGGTTTCTTCATTTCTCTGAATACACTCGCACATTTCCACCGAGCAGTCATTTTGACATTTGCATCCCTTAAAAAAAGAGAATCCAAGAGTTATCTCGTGGCAATAGCTTTGCCATTAAACAAACAAATACTTGTATTACAAAGATAAAGAAAAGTAGCCTAGTAAGTTGATGTAAGTGTACTGCACTTTGTTCTATTATATTATGGCGTTTAGAAAATATCAGGGTTTTATTATTCCAGTACCAACCTTTGGAATAACTGGACGGGAAAAAGAAGCTCATTTCTTGTTTTACTTCATTTTTGCTTACATTAGCATATATTTGCAAACGTCAAAGAAAACAGTAAAATTTCGTGAATATGCTTAAAAATTCCAGGTTTTTAACTTTCTATATTTTGCGAAATATAGCCGGCAAAATCAAATTGGTGGGGGGGGGGGGGGTTGTGTTCGAAATGAGGGGGGCGGCGTAAAAGAGCAGAGGAGACTAAACAGAGCTTTCATGGCATAATCTTGTTCTGTTGAGGTTATACCAAAATGCAGTTTTCTGTCTTGAGTAAGTCAAAAGGAAATTTTTCAAAGGGTAATAATTCAAGAACAGGCCCATTTTCAAAGTATTAATTCTTGAAAACTCTAAAACTCTAAAAAAGGCAGCAACCAACTGAAAAATTTTGCTGATGAACATGGTACCCCTCTAAACGGGTTGTTGAAGTCAGCTTTATGTTATCTTGGGGCTGGATCACCTTCATCCCAGCCTCAAGTAGCAACCATTAAGCCAACCAAAGACGTTTGCCCCGTGTAGTGACAACAATGGCATATTCTTTGCTGACCGGCAATCGGACTTGAACCCACGGCCTACAAAAATTGCTTTTGTACTTTTCACCGAGTTACAATAACAATGTTCGTAAACAAAATCAGTAGAAAATGGACGCAAAAACCAACCTTAACAGTGAGTAGATCTTTCATGATGCTGACGGTATGCGACTCAACAGCCTCAGTTATGTAAGTGAAGCTCAGAGGCAACGGCTCATCGTCCACCTTTAATAAACAACCAAAATTCAAAAAGAGACAATTTGTTGACAGAAATGAAAAAAATGCTTCTCTTTTAATAACCAGGAAAACCTGTAAGATGGCACTTGTATAAAGCACGGACCTGGCGCAAGTGTAGTGCACATGTGGAATATTAATCCCCTGCAGCATTGTGGGGAAAATACCCAGTTCCGTCCCTCACTGGATATTACCTTTTCTCGCTACCAGGTACCAATTTGGTGCTGATAGGACAGACGACGAGGGTCAAAGTCACCATTTTCCCATAGATTGGACCGCTTTAAACACTTGGCTTACGTGTTTAATGTTTATTCTGGAAGTGCTTAAATGTGAATCTTCATTTTCATTGTAGCTTAATAATACTTTTATTTATATATATCATATACATTTTACTTTCATTTTATCTTAATACAAATCATAAATGTAGAAATAAACTTACCATAAATGTAGAATATTTTATCAAAATACTTCATGACTTTTTGATTAAATATTTTAAATTGATAGAAAATATTTATAAAAATAATTTCTCTTAAAAAAGAACTCAAGTATAAAACAAAGCAATAAATATCTTTGGATAGCAATCAATAAGTTTTAACAAGGATTGTACTAAAATAGATTCCAAGCATATTGACCGTGAATGAAATTCCTATTTCGATGCTGAGCATGTAAATAGAGACGATTGGTTAATGCACATTAATTAGTACGATAGCCAATCAAATGGATGGATTCTATGTCAGCCAATCAGGAGCCATTTACAAAAAGAATAACGACAGCCCTATAGGAGCTGGAAATCAAAATGTGGAAACGTGCTCAAGAGTGCTGCAGCGGAACAATGTCAAGTTGAGTTGAGTTTGCAGGATAAAAGAAGTTATAAAGAAAGGAATTGTCAAAACATAATTAAGGTGGCTTGTGATTAAAGACAAAACTAACTTCGTTTATGCAGCTGATAGGGATTCTTTCTTTGCCTCTTGAAATGTCGCTTTAAGAAATAAAAAAAAACAAAAGATAGTTTAACAAATGTTACGAAAATATTGAATAAACATATGATTGGAGACCTTTGGTTTTTCCCGAAATGACAGAAGTTGACTGACAAACAGTAGACATAAAATGATGGGTTAATTGATGGTTAAAATATATCATATTAAGATAAAAAATAACATAAATCTATCACAAATAAGATAAAGCTGCATGAAAAAGGTAAAACTACATTTAACTACAATAACAAAAGAATATTCATGTAAAAAAGGAAAACAAAGCTACAAGCTAAGGAAGATATTGAATAAGTTTTAAAATGCTAATCTTGGTGACATTGTTGCATTTAAAAGCATACCAAGCCTCATTAGCAACACATCTTGCAGGGGATTATAGTATTTAGACGATAATAAAATTATCATCTTGTTATGATCATACACAGCAATGAGGAAGAGCCTGTCTTGTAATTGGATGTTAGAATCTCGTGGTAGAATTTAGGCCGTGTGTTATGTTATTGTCAGGCATGGAAGATTAGCCTCGTCAATTTTGATGTTTTTGTGGAACCCCGTTATATAGACGGGTAAGAAAAACAACGAAAGAAACAAAATCAAAAGGAAAATTACCAATCATATTTTCGCCTGATGTTCACGTGACCTATAGCATGCCTCAGTCTGATTGCATCCCGCACTTGGGGATTGTTGACGCAAACCTGAAGTTGAAAAACAGCACAATAACAAATTGCAAACATGATCATCAAAATCATCGTATTATCTCGGTTTAACGCCGAGTCTCAAATGAACCCCTGTCTCTATTAAACGCCCTCTTCAATAAACGCCCTTTAATAAACGCCCCCTCTAATAAAAGAAGGAAGATGTCAAAAAGAAGTTAGGCTTAATCCTTCACAAATATGTGACAATTACGAAGAAATAAGGTGCTTTTTTAATTTCCACTTTCTTTAGTCTATGCGTCAATTCAAAGTGAAGCAGTTTTTCTTTCCTCCCTTTAATCTCTTTGTGAAGGGCTATGCCTAAATTTCCCTTGGACCTAGCGAAATTCTGAAAATACAAATATAAATACATTAGGACAATATTATGGTCTAAATATTAAATCATTTAAAGTATTTACTCTATAGTCTTTTATCTAAAAGCAACTTGCTTATCTGCTACAAATGTGTCTTAAATAAATCTGAAGTGTAATTATAAAACTTATTAAAGGCGTTTATTAGAGGAAATACGGCAAGGCACATTAGAATTAAGGTTCTTAATTAAGCATTATTGTGCCTTAAAGCAAGAAAAATGTTGGCTCCGGTGTGCAGATATTTGTTGCTGTCAAATTCTGGAGAATAGACGAGTTCCCCTGGGCGAAAACTTACATCCATAGGCATTTTATCCTCTTTGTTTTTAACAGAAGTATCAGCACCACGAAGCAGGAACAGCCTAAAACAGCGATAAAGCAAATTTTAAAAACTACCTCAAAGTTCTGACCTTCAAATCTAGGACCAGTAGCAAAATATTGTTGGTGTTTCAATAGTCATTTCAACAGTTATTTCATTAGAAGTCGGGTATGAACCAAACAAATAATGAAATGTGTTTTGCTACCTGCCAAAAACGTTAAGTAGCATTAAAATGTTCAAAACACTCAGACTTTCCACGGAAAATTTTGGTTGAATTGATTCGACTTTTGTGTAAACCATTTGAGGTGCGGTGGAGCAAAGTGGCATGGCACCGAGCCTGTGGAAATTACGTCATTAGATCTACACAAAACACATCAAAGGCTCAAAAAACCAGCCCGAGAAGCTAATTTGACTTGGACGTTCTCAACAGAAGCTACAAAGAATGCAAAAATCAAAATGCTTTAGAAAAAATGGATTCCACATATTCCACATCTTTAAATTAAAATGCAAAGTCACGTTGCCAAACTTACTTGACAATGTTAAAATTCCCTTCCCTAGCTGCAATGTGCCTGCATGAACAAAATTAGTTATTTCAGTCCTGCATGAACAATGTGCCTGCATGAACAAAATTAGGTATTTTCTAAAGATTAAGAAAACACAGCTTTCGGGATGCAATTAAGACTGGACTCAGATTTCCATGGGAAAATTCTAATATGTGCAAAAAATTTTCACACACAATGTGGCTTTCTATTTTAATTTCTGCCAAATTCAGCTACAGATCCTTCGTCTTCTTCCAGCTTATGGTGCTCTTAAATGCCAACTAGCGGATTAGATAAAAAGGCTTTCTTAAACCAGGTATTTTTAATCGTAGACAGATGTTTTGATTCCCATTCAGACTGTACACAAATTAGAGGAGGTTTCTACTTTAGATTCACTTTGTCCTGAAGGTTAAGAGTCCAACCTCAAAACATAAAGCGCTACTTCCTAAAATGCAAAGCAGTATCACCTTAAGTTCTAAGCAGTCCACCTTACCTTGACAGCATTGCCACCTTAAATTAAAGCAATTCCACCTTCAAACTGCAGCCTAATAAATATACTTACAGCGGCGTGTCTCCATACATGTTAACGCAATTCACGTCGCATTTTGCATCGAGCACTACTTCGCAGCCCTCTAACGCACCAGCCATGGATGCCCAATGCAGCACTGTATTCTGCTCCTGTTATCAAACTATCATAAATTAATACGGTACAAGAGCTAAATTCTGCAAAATTTCTGTGTTTAGCTACCGTATATCCTAGAATGAGCGCCTGGACGAGAATTTACGGCAAAAATCAAATAAGCGCCCCGTTCGAATTAGGAACTCAAAGGGGGTGCTTATCCAAGCAGGGCGCTTATCAAAGCAGGGCGCTTAATCAAGCAGGGCGCTTAACCAAGCAGGGCGCTTATTCAAGTGGGTCACCTATTAGAGCGGGCGCTTATTCACGGATTTACGGTCTTACTTTTATCGGTAAACAGCTTATTTAGACCAATGACAAAGTACAAGGCTATTTTGGCCTTAGTTCCAGACACCATCCCTTAAACGTCAAATGAAACAAATGAGCAATTTAGCCAAGTTGCGCATACAGAATATTTGCACAAACAGCGAATAAAGGAATCAAGTAACAGCAGTAACTAGGGTGGCAATTGGCACATTAAAACAAAAAACACAGTTTATAAACCTTGTCTCGAAGATCCGTTCTCGCTCCTTTTCTTATTAGAAGTTGCAGTGCCTCTGCGTTGCCATCCTCCGCAGCCCACATAAGAGAGGTCCAGCCGCCATTATCCTTGAAATGTAAATTTGAAATGAAAACAAATCAATGCAAAAAAACTCTACACGGGAAACATTGGCAGCAACAAGGAACAAGGAACAGACTGTGTTCCGTTATCAACGAGTTGACTGCTCAAACAAAGCAAAAATGGTGTCCTGATAACTCAATGAAGTCAATTAAAAATTCTGACTCTATATATGTCCAATTATGAACGACACTTAAGGTTCAGGTAACAGTACAGTCAGAGCAAAAACCCTGAGTTTTTTATGCATTCATTATCAGCAAAAAGCTTTCCAAATTAGGAACTTTCCAAAATTTATTAAACAAAGACAAACAATGAGCGAAAACTTCACAGTTATTCACCTTTTAATGTCTATTCAACACGAAAGGTAAATCTTTTCATTACGCATGCGACATTCACATAAAGACATTGGGTATTGATAAGCAATTCACGCACTGCATTTTATTTCAAGGTGCTGGTTTACAGCTTTTTTTTACAAAGAAACCTTAACAGAACGCAGTTGTAGATCGCAGTTATCGCAGTTATCACCTGCTCGTTCAGCGATTTCCTCCGACTCAGTAACCATGCTAGAATATCTACATGTCCTTTGTGGGCGGCAACGTGTACTAAACCCATTCCATCAAAGTTCTGCGGAAAAATTAAACTAGATTAAATTGAGTTTGAGCTAAATGTGGTAAAAGCTACAATTTCCACAACTGATACAGCTGAAAAATCACAAGATGTAGATAACTAAATTATCAAAAGATCAAAAGGGCAATGTGCGATATACACTCTTTTTTTATAAGAACCAGTAAATTTAAATTCAGACGGACTGTTCTTAATTTTTTCGAAAATCTGAGGCTGGATTGTTGTTAGCTTGTTCTTAAATATGTAAGGTGAAAGCACTGCGTTTGCTAGCTTTTTCACTCTAGGGAGGTGTTTAGGCCTCATTTGCCAACAAAGTGAGTGAGACAACCTTCATTCGCCGACAAGCTTGAATATTTACCGAAAAAGCACCCACACATGGCTGAAAATCCTCGTCTTTGAGATAAAACGTTGCTCAAAATTGCATTTTACTCTAGCTCAGCTTGATTTGTTTTAACTTTTGACCAATTTCGAAGTTCGTGTTCTTATAAAATTGTTATCATAAAAAAGAGTGTAGCATGATTGCTCCAAAACTAACTAACCATCGAAAAACCCAAGCAAATTTACAGCAAAGTTTTTAACTGATAAAATGCTCAACAGTCGAGTCTGTGCCCTTATTCAAAAAACTTTGATCCCTTCTCCTTCTCCAAAGTGTTTTCAAAGCAGGCTGTCGATGAATGGACACATTGTCTATTTGTCACCTTTTCGGTTCTTGGGTGTGTTTCATAGGTTGCTGATGTTTTAAAACATCTTTAAAACAGTCAAAAACATGACATTTCAAGCGGAAGCAAATTTTTTTCATTTGATTGCTGTTTAAACAGGATATTCCCTTCAGCTCATAAACCTTACACGAGAATAATAATTACATCGAAAAATTCCATAAATCAAATTGGTAATAGCTAGAAAAATGAGCTTACTGAACGTCAAGAAAGTCGTGTTAAAGGAATATATTTCAATTATGATAAGTTCATTGTCACTCTAGGATTGATTGCTCAATTGAATAACTTCGTCATTTTAGCAAATATTGAATTATTCTCCACCGAACACTGGAACATATTAGCTGGTTGTTGAAGACAAACAGCTGCACCGGTACAGTGTAATCAGAACTAAATTTATATCAGGAAGGGGAGACGCTGAATCAGAATTCTTTAATTAAGCAATTATGAAAAACAATTTGAACCCAACACAGGTAATATTTTGTTCATGTTAATCAATTCAACTTGGGTTAAAATTGGCAAAACGTCAGCTCGAGGGTCGGACTCAGCCCGGGATGAACCTAGCGAGACCTTGATTGTGCGTTGTGCAAATCGATCTTAATTGCTGAAACAAAAGAGGATATTCACCCCGCAGTTCCCTAGCCCGGTTTGTTGGGTGGATTCCTAATCTCCTATTTTCATGATACCTTAATCTTCTATGAAAATTGGAATTTGGGTTTTCTTCGAGTGCTAAACAATACATTTCGAAATTATGATGTTCTGGTTTTAGGCTGAGCAGGGTTGCCTTCAAAGATAGGATTTAGATTCTGTGAAGGTGCAATATCGAAGCAGTTTCGATAATAAATGGCCCATAGACATTTTTTGTGAGCTGTATTTTCCTATTAGGACATCAAGAACCAAAGCACGTTTACGTCAGCAAAACCAAAGGCGCGTAAACAAGCTTTAACGCACCGTTATAAGTTAACAGAGGGTTTACAAATACCTGTTTCATTTATCCTTAATTGTTTAACCAATCTGATTTCATCAAAACGAACCTGGTCAAATAACGTTTTTGTTTTCTAGTAGAGTCGATTTGCTTTTGGTCTTGTTAGATTCCTCGCAATCAATCTAACATTTGGTATGAGCGTTTTGGTCTTTTGATTCCTCGCAATCAATCTAACGTTTGGTATGAGCACAAAGGCCCCAAAATAAACATCCTCTTAAAAACTCTCCTGTATAAATCCAACATGTTATCTTTTCAATAGCACAAGCAAACACGTACACAAATAAGTTAGTATCAGCCTAGGTGTACAACGTTTCGATTTCAAGACTGTATGCTTTTTGATCAGGGGGTAAGCCAGCAGGACCGAAAGCTCTTGGGTTTAGACCTTTAAAATACATCAAAACAATGTTATTGCGTCGTTCAGCCATGACATCATATGTGAAGCCTGGCCCCCTTAAGAGTATTGAATTTCTGAAATAAATGTATTCCATCCTTCCTACTGGCACACTGCTGCTTTTAATAACCAAACCTTAAAGGTCATCATGACCCTTCAAGCGACTGGCAGTGTTAGCTTCGGCCTCAAACGCGCCCAAGTGACGCAGTAACGGCGTTAAATAGCTTAAAATGAAAGGGGGGGGGGGGCAATAATAAGGCAAAAATGTCTCACCTTGCACAGAAGCGAGGCGCCTGCTTTATGGAGGAACTGGGCAGCTTGTAAGTGCCCTTTCTCCACTGCAATGTACTAGGGAAAATTGACGAGGAGGCAAAATTAATAAGATGAAAACAAACGTAGATCAACAAGACGAATTCGCAGTTCCAGTGTTGGCTTATATCTAAGATCGCATGGAAACAACTCAAGCTCGAGAAACAAATAAGAGATAGGCAAGATATGGCAAATAAATTCACATGCTCCGACATGTTTTTATCTTACAAATATCGTGCAGAATTCTAAATCATATTTAGATCGATCAGGATATCATACTCTATTACCTATTGGTAAATAATCAGCTTAAATATTTAATTGCATACAAACATTCCATATCTTTGAATCGTTGCAATGTCTAAATCTTAATTCTCAGTCCAACAGCCCTTAAGCATTGAATTCTACAGTCGCCAAACTACCACATCTTCTGAGAGGAAGATGAAATTCGTGACTGAGCAACGTGACTAACCGTGTGAATTTCTCTGCTATATTAATGATGTACTAACAAACACTTTAGATGACAACCAAAATTAAGCGGCTATCAAGAGGCCGAAATCTCATCATCAAACAAAAGTGCTTATCCTTATGCTTCACTGAAATCCGATAAAAAATATAAGTACCGAGTAGTACTAGATTGCTTCTAAAAACGGCCCTAACCTACCAGCGGTGTCCTTTTGTATTTATCTGTGACGTCAACATGCACACCTGCCTATAAACGAGGTAAATCGATCTTAAGAATTATTTTACATGGAAAATGACAACCTTAAAAAAGAGAACCACAAAAATTGCGTGCTTATAGACAAATATTGCCTTTCAATTCTGTTCTCTCCTATACACCGTAACATCACACCGTAACCCAGTACAGTCATATCATTACTACCCTATCATGTCATAATTTTTACGCTAATAGTTTCGTGAATACAGAAGATCGATTTGCAATGAACAATCTTAAAAAGCATGGATTGATTCGATTTAGATGATGGAAGCTCAGCCAGTCATATGATAGTGGATCACCCAATCATATGACAGCATGTCAACCAATCAGATAATGACAGCGCAGCTAACCATAGATGGCCATTTGTATGTTGATTCATATTATGGCTACAAGAGCAGCTCCAGGTGTGGGGATTTTAATAGGAAAACACAACCCATTGTGTTGCTATCGAAAAAAGTATATTTTCTCAGAGATTCAACTAATTTGAAACATTTTGTTCTAGACTCGAGGAAGAATTTCCGAAAAACTAGCCATGAAAACCGCGTTTTGCAGAAATATCGGCTTTTTGGTCGGAAGAAATGAAAGGAAGAAATGGAAGAAGGATGGATAGAAGAAAGGTAGAGAGGAAGGAAGGCAGGAAGGGGGGAAGGAGGAAAGGGAAGAAGAAATGGAAGGAAGAAATGGAAGAATGAAGGAAGAAATGGAAGAATGAAGGAAGAAATGAAAGGAAGAAATGGAAGAATGAAGGATGGAAGAAAGGTAGAGAGGAATGAAGGCAGGGAGGAGAGATGGAAGGAAGGGAAGTATAAAGGAAAGAAGGAAGGAAGGAAGAAAAGGAAGGAAGAAAAGGAAGGAAGGAAGGAAGGAAGGAAGGAAGGAAGGAAGGAAGGAAGGAAGGAAGGAAGGAAGAAAGGAAGGAAGGAAGAAAGGAAGAAATGGAAGAAGGATGGATAGAAGAAAGGTAGAGAGGAAGGAAGGCAGGAAGGGGGGAAGGAGGAAAGGGAAGAAGAAAGGAAGGAAGAAATGGAAGAAGGAAGGAATAAATGGAAGGAAGAAATTGAAGAATGAAGGATGGAAGAAAGGTAGAGAGGAATGAAGGCAGGAAGGAGAGATGGAAGGAAGGGAAGTATAAAGGAAAGAAGGAAGGAAGGAAGAAAAGGAAGGAAGAAAAGGAAGGAAGGAAGGAAGGAAGGAAGGAAGGAAGGAAGGAAGGAAGGAAGGAAGGAAGGAAGGAAGGAAGGAAGGAAGGAAGGAAGAAAGGAAGGAAGGAAGAAAGGAAGAAATGGAAGAAGGATGGATAGAAGAAAGGTAGAGAGGAAGGAAGGCAGGAAGGGGGGAAGGAGGAAAGGGAAGAAGAAAGGAAGGAAGAAATGGAAGAAGGAAGGAATAAATGGAAGGAAGAAATTGAAGAATGAAGGATGGAAGAAAGGTAGAGAGGAAGGAAGGCAGGAAGGGGGGAAGGAGGAAAGGGAAGAAGAAAGGAAGGAAGAAATGGAAGGAAGAAATGGAAGAAGGAAGGAAGAAATGGAAGGAAGAAATGGAAGAATGAAGGATGGAAGAAAGGTAGAGAGGAATGAAGGCAGGAAGGAGAGATGGAAGGAAGGGAAGTATAAAGGAAGGGAGGAAGGAAGGAAGGAAGGAAGGAAGGAAGGAAGGAAGGAAGGAAGGAAGGAAGGAAGGAAGGAAGGAAGGAAGGAAGGAAGGAAGGAAGGAAGGAAGGAAGGAAGGGAGGAAGGAAGGAAGGAAGGAAGGAAGGAAGGAAGGAGGGAAGGAAGGAATAGCTTATTAGTCAGCAAACTCTGATTTGTTGGTCTGATGACAGTTTTTAAGAACTGTAAGCTTTAGAATGAAATGCTCTTAGATATTTTCCAGCCATCACCCTACACGGGATCTGTAAATTTGAATTATTGACAAATACTCACGGCGCAGTTGGCGAAATATCTGATGAAAATTATTTGCTGACGAATATTTATCGAAAATAAAATGGACGTGTTCATGAATTTCTTTGTTGGAGGCTTAATCTCCAGAATACTGTTTACCTGAGCAATAAAGACGAAAATTTCCTCTTCATAAAACAGCTTGCAGATCAACAGACAAAAAAGATCAACAGATTGAATGTACGTACCTTATAAACAAGGACAATAAGAACGTCTAAATGCCCTTTAGAGGCTGCTGCATGCAATGCACTCTTTCCATCTTCTGAATGTACTGGAGCAGCAGGACTTATATCTTCAACTGTCGGCAAAAGAAATATCATTCAAAACGTGATTATATAGCCAGGAATTCGAGTTCTAAAGTGATGACGTCACAATGTCTATTTTTAGCCTTTTTAACTCTGAACGCATAACATTAAAGAGCATCGTGGAACACCTCTAAAAGTCCAAATTAGCGACATATGTACGACATGGCCACAAAAGCAAAGGCTATATCCCTCATCAAATCACAATAACTTTTCTCTGTCATAACCGTTGTGAACTAAGCCTAAAAACTGTCAGCCAACTCCAAATCTATCGTTGGCCATGTTCTAACCAATCGTTAGCATATTTAATCGATTATTCATGCTTAAAAGTATTTTATAGTGTTTTGCTAGGTAATGTTTATAAAAGCCGAAAATACTAAAAAAATATTTGTATCACGTCATATTTAAAAGCTCAAGTAATAAAGATTAACATTTACCAGGGTGTTTTGATACCAGAAAGGCAGATCTATACACTCCTTATTACATGGAACATGACGAATCTAAGTTGCTAGTTTGAGTTTTGCGATGCATGCCTTGAACTAGGCAGCAGAGAAATCACAAAACTAAGTAGTCATAAAATTAGATATTATCTAAAGCAAAACTGCTAAAAAGCCAAATTTATTGAAAGAATGGAATGGAAGAGCCAATTAAAAAAGGAAACCAAAAACGAAGAGTTTCAGGCGAAATGTTGCAATCGATATATCACAAAGTTTGATTTTATGATGTTAATTCTGAAATAAGACTATTAAGGAGATATTAACTAAAAATATGTCAGCTAAAACAAAGCAACAATAATTAAACTGCTCAATACTTACGAAGAATCGATAAAACCTTGCTCAAGCAACCCATCTTGCTATATAAATACAAGCTTCGTAGATTGACTCTAAGTCTTGTAGGTCTGAGCGAAAAAAAGGTATCTGACAAAGGATTTCTTGGAAATAAAAATAGCATAAAAAGGTAACACAAGTCGCAAAATGTACCCGACCGTCGCTACGGGAGATGGGGAGGTGGTGGGTGTGACAACCCCTCTTAAAAAAATTCCATTGTGAAAACAAGGAATCTTTTACCATCTATGGGTGCTTCATCGGCAATTTTCAAATTTATTGGCAAATAAAGGATGGTTAACCAACTTTCTTGCTAAATAAAATCGGAGCACTTATCTGCTATATTTAAACGACAAGTATAGATTTGTAATAGCAGGGTAGGTCGATTCAAATAAGTCAATGCGATTGGCGTGGGGCCTAAGCTCTCTCAACATACAAACCTGTCTCTCAGGACTTCCTCAAGTGTATCGAGAATTTTTCGAGGATTATCGAGAATTGATAAACCATCTGGAAGAGAGAAAATAAAATTATTTCAAGATCTACAACCCCGGAAAGAAGGTTTTAAGATCTTGTGCTCTCTTTATATCTTTACAACAGTTCAATGTTGACATTTCTGATATTAAAGGATAGATACATGCCAACTTTAAATGAGGGAGTGGGACTTCACATGCATGGTACAAGGCGTGCGCTTATGGGTTTGTCTCAATAGCTGTGGGCAGGTGATAGGTGAGGTAAGCCCTTCTAAAGAAGAGTAGTTACAAGGCACAAACCTGGGTTTTTTAAAACCTGGGTTTGGTGACCACCATTCCAGGCGGCAAAAAGGTCCAGAACCGAGAATGGATAACAAACACCATCCAAGATTGTAGATAGCACAAAACAGACTGCTCCATACTAATAAAGTCAACAAGTTGAGACTACAAGAGGCAATAACAGTCTAGATTTTTATGAGGCACACTAATATCAATAGTTTTAATAAAAAGTTAAAGTCTTTTAGTTAAATAAGGGACAAGTTTGAACTAGCAACATCTAAACAATCAGAAAATGTTGCATCAATGTTGCTTGCAATCTGGGCTCAACTTACAACTAAGGCTTTCCATGGTCGTGCTTCTTTGTGTTTCGTCCGAAGTTGTTGCAGCATTTGGGAGTCGCTCTGCTATGTTACTGAAGTAAACAGAATGTAAAAATCACAAAAAGCAATCAAAGGTCATATAAAAGGCAAGAAAAGGAATAGGAAAAGGAAAGAAGGAAGGAAGGAAGGAAGGAAGGAAGAAAGGAAGGAAGGAAGGGAAGAAGAAAAGAAGGAAGGAAGAAAGGAAGGGGGAGAGAAAAAGAGCAAAAGGAAGAAAGGGAGGAAGGTAGTTGAGACTTGGAAATATCTAAACTTTTTATAAATACTCACTTCGCAGTTGTCGAAATATCTGATGAAACTTTCTTTTCATTTACAAATCTAAGTCTTGCGCCTAGAAGAGAAAAAATGTTGGCATCTATGGATTTACACACGATAAAAATGGTTACTATAATTGGCAGCCTCTTATGTTTTTGGGGGAATGTAATAAGAACTAAAAACTTTACAGCATAATATTGCAATTTTCTTATCAGATTTAAGATAAAATCGAGCTCGTGCCAAACGGAACTGTTATGACCTGTAGTAACAACTAGTAATACACGTGTATGTAGGCCATCTTTTAATCACTCACAAACTACCAAAGGTCCCGTATGTGGGGAACTGGGTCTAGTAAATTATGATACTTAGAATAATAGGATAAGCCAAACAATTTTGAAGGACGTCATTTTTATTAAAATAATCTCGTGAACTGTATCAGCAAGATTCTTTCGGTCGTTTTCGAAAACGAATCAAAACGAGGATGGTGGTCTGGACTTGAGTCAAACACGATTTACCAAAAAAGTCTAGAGCATCTAAAGAACATTAAAATTGGTTTTGGAAAATTTTTACCATCAAAAACAGCTTAATGAAGAGGTAAGATCTTGTATGACAATCACAGATTAGATCACAATTATAAGCAAATGGGCTACTTGATCAGGACATAAAATACAGGGCCAACTACTTCTAGTGTAGTATTCAACAATTTCGTGACAGTCGGTCGCTGTTACAGGATATAGTAACAATGGTTTATAGTAACAAGATCACATCAAACAAAATCTAATTGTTGTAACAAAATTTCAATAATATTGCAAAATACAATAACTACAAAGAGATCCGGGGAAATTGTCCCCTTCTTTTTCTAATAACACCCTTAACAATTAGATTTCAGACCCTGAAAAGGGTCGGTAAGGAAATAGTTAAAAAAAGGGGGTTTGGGCATGACACTTTGGCTTCTTTTGATACAATCCCCCCCCCTCTCTCTCTAACGGTCCTTGACCATGAAATCACCATGTTTTCTAGGCTATATAGAAAGACCTCCACAAATTTACGCTTCCACTTGTTATATCTACCTTGGTTTGCTTGGGTTGATGTTTTTTCCTTGTTATGCGAATCATTGTCTTCTTCATCAGATGAAATCACAAGGATTGGGGGCGGTGTCGACTGCCTTTCATTTGAGTTTTTTCCTGGATTGAAAAAAGTGATTTTCGAAGAGCTAACGAAACATCACGTAAACAGCAGGCCGAGAGAGCAAAATTGTCAGCTAAAATCAAAGAAAGATTTTACCCTCGAAAGAATTTTCCCATTTCCTAGTACAGAAGTAGCGTTATCAGTTACGCTACACGAATGTGGTACAGACCCCTAAACTCATAGTTGCACATTGGCTAACAAAGAAGAAAGACATGGAAAAGAAGCTTCAGTAATGAAGTCGTTTCTACAGTCATTGACGCAGAAGAGGCTCATGCAACGAATTCCTTTATTTACCCATGAAACGCGTAGCAGAGGCTCAAGTTATGGAGACTTCTCTGTTGCTATGAGCAGGTGTTGCCCGTCAACGACGTTATCCAAATTTCACAATTTTAGCTTGACAGATGTCCGATCAGAGTTTACTATATGGACATATCCGGATACCAAATCATGGAAAAGTACTTGAACGTAAAATGAAGCGGATGTTTTGAATGTAAAAAAAAGTCAAAAACTGTGAAGTCAGGTGACCCAAAATCCTTTCCATTTGCAAGCGACTCAGATTGTTCATTCTTGCCTTAAAGAAACTGCTTAAAAGCAAGGTCAATCGTCAAAATCTAACTACAAAGAGGATTACTGAAGGAAATAGAGGAAAAAGAAAACCCGGTTGAAATATTACAGTGTTAAATAGAAACAGTTCTGGGCTTATGTCGTTCTTCGCTGTCAAAACAGGGGACTTAACCTGCTAGAAACGTTCGACTTGATTTTAAGAGGCTTGAAAATTGGCTGTGTTGCACTCAACACTATAACGAGGGAGTGGGCTGGTTATTTAACAGCAATTCAAAATGTACTGATAAAAAATAATACTTTATAATCAAAGCTATATTGCTAAAGGCTCGTTGCACATGCTGCTTTTGAGAAATCATTTGGACAAAATGTTGTCTCATATCAAGGTCTATAAATCTGCTTTCATGTAAAACCATGTTTGTAACTTTTAAAACTAAGTTTTTAACTTTGCTTTGCCAGTGAGCCCTGTTATTAAGAGTTTTTCTCTTTGTAGATAAATTATTACAGGCCGCCCAAACAAAATATCTTGAACTATCATAATAATCATTTTTTCTCATATTTTATGTACGTCAACATAATAACAATTAAAGTTACTTAATTCAATAAAAATGTTGTAAATCATGTATGATCCTTACGTTTTCCAGGGCTCCATCCGATTCTAACCCGTTTACTATTACTGTCAGTTGAATGTGCTTGGTCAATCGGTCGTTCTCTCTTTTGACCTTCAAAAGATGCTTCTAGGTTTTTCTTCACGGAGGCTATACTTGCACTGATGTTATTGACTAGATGGTTGAATCTCTGAACCGAAGACAATGCAGACTGCTGTTGACTTGGGCTACCTTCTATCTTCTGGGGGTAGATTGGCACATAGGCTGGGTAACTGCTTCGCTTGGAATTTTTTTGAGGAGAAAGTCCTCGTATACTAAAAGGGTTAGTGAACATTGTTGGGGCCTGATTGCCAGCTGAAAAGGACACTAATCCAACGCCATTTGCATTGGATGAGGTACCAGAACTTGTCATTGGTCGAACATAAACTACTTGTTGAATTGCATTTGATTGTGCCGGTGCCCTGACCATTCCTATCACTGAAGGAAATTGGTTACCTCGATTTCCCGGCATTGCAGAACTTCCAGTTTGATATGTTTTAGACACATTAGTTTGGTTTGAGCACTGGAGAAGTGAAATTATATTTGTTCTTCCTGGTGCCTGGGTGTCTCTGGCAGGATTTGTGTTCACTCTCTGGTTTGCTAAAGATGCAAAAGGAAATGCTTGATTTTGAGTCTGCATGCTGTTTGAGAGTTGACTGGCGTTAAATCTAGGCTCAGCACGATTTTGTAGCAGACTAACCAGGGATGATGAAACTGCAAAATATGATCAATTATTGTTTATCATCATTTAAGAAATAATCACCACTCCTTGGGTAAGATATGGCCATTGTGTGCCTCAAGAGAGTATCAAAATTAAGTATCTGAAACAGAGCGAAGATAGCTCTTAATTCTGTCAACTGTAAACATCACAATCATTGTTGACAATAGCTACAAAGAAAACTCAGTCAAAAGTCTGTATGAGCCGGGAGCAACCAGTGGACCACAAGAGACATTATAGAGTAGAAGCCATTAATTATTTGCATCCAGACCCAACAAATAGCATCAGCTGGTTAGCACAATTTCATAAGTGCGCTGGAAAATGGTTGAACTATAGCATGCCCCTAATAAAGAATGCCTGATAAATTACTAAAATACATTTTTTGGAGCGCAGATGGAGGCTTTAGATGCAGCTGTGAATCTGGCTTTATGCAAATCCTTCTACACTTCAAATGTTGTCTTTTGAGAGCAGTGACTCTCTTGACTGCAATTGGAACTCACAAGAATACTGAGAGCGCATTAATTATTCATTTTTATGAATCAAAAACTCAAAAGTCTAGCTTTCCTTTTCTCTCTAATCTCTCCCCCACGCTGGTCCAATGTGTTTTGCATAAAAATAGACTTTGAGAAAGTCACAAGATAGATAGAATTGAGCTTATGTAGCCTATGGCCTCGACTACAGTATTGATATCTCTGTATTAACAGACAACCTAAAACTTTGAGATAGTGGGGGCAGGTGATACATATAATATGAGTATTCAGCCCTGTTTCTGTTTAGAAAATTGTATCAACAATTTGGTCTTCGATTGAAGCGTTAAGAAGCATTTTATTTGAAGAATCACTAAAGTAGAATCCCATTATAACGTACTCAATTATTACATACTTTCGGATATAAAGTACTGGTGTGCTTGGTCCCGGCAAAAGGTGTGCTTGGTTTTAGTCAACTTTCACTTACCCTCGTTACAACGTACTTCAGATATAACGTACTTAATACGCTGGTCCCTTAAATTATGTTATAACCGGATTATACTGTAGAGAAATGGATAAATACTATCTTAGTCATGGAACTACTGCTCTGTTGCTTAACTTATTTATTTGTTATTATTTGTTGTTAACTTTTTGTGTGTTTTTGTTTGTTTGTTTCCTTTTGTTTTTCTTTACATCAGCAGAGCCTTCAGTATTGAAATAGTTGATTAAATTCGTAGAAGTAGAAGTAGAAGTAGCATTTATTTAGAGCATGGCATTCAGGACACCTAGGTTTGTTGACAGAATCATCCCATACACTAAAGCAGTGGGAATTACTTCTAACTGTAAATTCTGCCTAGTCTGGTTTACCAACAACTCCTGCTCCTAGCATAGGCTAAGAATAATCATCAAACAAAATTCTTACACACAATAGGTAATTGTTTGTTCCTGTAAAAGCAAGGAATAATTGCTTTTCCTAGAGATTTACCTGGTGTGGGACCATTTTTCTTTTCCATTTCTTTCAGATGCTTGAAGCCTCACCTGATGGACAAAGGCAAAATAGATTTCAGGAGTAAAATCAAATAAGTCAATAAGATATAACTTTTTCATGAAATTTGCATCTAAATTGTTAAAGAGGGTGCTCCAAATAGACTGTATTTGGAAATGAAAGTGACAAAAACAAGGTTCAAGCTTTAAAAAGCCAGAAAAGTTCATGTTTATGATTTTCCTATCTATATAAACAGAATGCAAAAACGATAAGCTAGGGATCATCCTATGCATCCAGGGCAACCATATATTTTCTAACTAATTAACTTCTAAATTCTAACTAAAATCTGTATGTTATTCTGTGCAGTGCCCCATTGAAAGAAAACAAGGAAAATAAAGAGTCTGCATTTCCAGGACATTTTAATTTCAGAGTAAGCAGCTTTACTCTTTGCTTTCCATGCAAAACATCTCCCTCAACATGAATAATTTTATATAATTGTCAAGACAATGAAAGTATCAACAAGGAGATATTTATTGACGATAAAGACAAACAACATACACAAGAAAAGCTACTGGTTTATTGACCAGTACTTGATTGTCAGGTGCCTTAAGGCACTTTCTAGTATAAAACAACAGAATCATATCATATTAAAGCACTTTTTGTCTAGTACTCATCAGTAAGATATGAATTGATGTTGTGATATAGAAGAGATGGTAAAGGCATTTATCATGCCATACAATGCAAAATAATTGATTGGCTTTCCAACCAAACAACACAAAAATTATCTTTATCTAGAGTGCATTCGAGGGTACATCTTTTTTGTTCCTTATGTTACAGATTTGTTCAACCATTGTCAAACACATCGCAAGTTCATCTAAATTTTATAATGCACTATGTCTTTATATAGGCAGATATAAAAATGCAGTTCAATCCTATTTACCCTAAGGCTAACAAACTTTGTGTAATGCCAGTTTTTGTGTTCTGTACTGTAGCAGATAAATAAATAAAAGTCAGACATTCCAGGGGGCAAGAAAAAATGGTCTGATGTGGCAAATCTGGGGTACAACTTTTGACTTGAATTCGAAAGGAATAAAAAAATTGCCAAACTTGGCAAAAATTCAAATTATTCCAGGGTACATCTGAACAAGATTCTACTGTATGCTGATAAAATTTTATTCTCTTTGTCTGTCTATCATTATAATCACAACAGTTTACTATGGGATTATTTAGAAATGTTGTGCAAATCAAATAAGTCTTCAGATCTATGGTCCACAAACAGCTTAAAGAGCAGGGTACTGAAAGACCAGTTTTTCTTGGTTTAACCAGAAAATGCCTCAAATTGAAATATAGGCTTATTAAAAGGAAATAGATATTTCCCAAGGCGAAAGCTTTAAATCGTGTGTGAGTACTTTATCTAAACACTCCCACAGGGAATTTCTATAGGGATTCGAACATTTAGTTGGCCTAGTGCTGAATTCAAACCGCAATGTTTTGCAAATAAAACTAGGCAACATCGGCGGTAAGTAGGGAAAATGCACGTTAAACTTTAAGTCGGGGTTCAAAACTAAACCAAAATTCACTGCATAAATATAAATTCGATAATATTCAATGTTGGTGACAGAGAGATCCGTTTATTGAATGCCCAAGAGGCAGGCAGGCCTAGGCCTAGGCCTAAAGGTGTGCCTGGACATCCACTACATACCTCTTCCCGGAAAGCGAACCACGCTAGTAGCTTGAATTCATATATTTGAGAACATATAAAACGACTTGGATCGAAAGCAAAGAAGTAACAGGAAATAGAAGAAACGTTCATTTACCAATTTCTTCTCCCCACCAGCCAACTTTTTATTCCATTGAGCGGTATTGGAACGTTAGTAACTTGTCCTGAGTACATGCTCCTCCCCACAACCCTATTTACGAATTTAGGCAACGCAAATTTTTCCCAAGAGGGGTGTCTTTGTTAGGCCCTTTTTAGGGGCTTCAAAGACTTCAGCAGGCACCGCGGAGCATGGGGCCTGGGGGGCTAAAGCTCCCCCACTTTTTTGCAAAATATGCCAAATATTAAGTAAGGAAATACCAGTAAAGCCTCTTTTTATGCGGTTTTTAGCCCCCTTCACTTCTTTTAGACCCCCTCATTTTCCTCAGTGCTCGGCGGTGCCTGATCAGCCCCTGGTTATCCTATGGATCGGTTCGGTAACATTTCCTTGTGATTCGAAAGCAAAATTAAACAGGCAGTTTCTTTGCTATTAATCTACGCATTGTTTAACTACAAAAGGCGCTTCAGTCTATTCAAAATGATTGCTTTCCTACCACCACCCAAATGAGGTCCGTTATCTACGAGTTTACGTGCCATTGTGATTGTGGCGATGTAGGACGCAAAACCCAAACATTGGGGGATAGAATAAAACATCATGTCCCTGTAGCATTAGAAGCAAAACCCTCCCCCAAATAAAACAGCCTGCTCAGTTTTGCAGATAAAAAAGGACAACCAAAACCTGAGATTCCTCTATCGGTCTCTAGGACAGCATTAAATAAAAACCCAGATTGCGCAAAGTATTATAATGGCCATATGATTCGGATTATTGGTAGAGCCTGATCGTCGTTCCATTTAGCAGTGCCGTAATCTATCTATATAAACATGAAAAAACCGCTTTTGTGTAGACAGAAGGAGTTCGTTTTCGCCTTAGGACTCCATTGGCTATATTTTCAAGAGGCAAGCTTCACTGATTGGCAGCTTTCACAGTCAGGTTCTCTGGTTTCTGATTAGCCTATTTTGATCCACAACTGGGTATATATATTTCCTAGCGTAGAGTTTTCAATCTTTGTTCTGATGTTTTATGCTCTGAAGAGTGTCCGACAAAAAGCTTTGGTAACATGTTACAAATTTTTTGCTTTTTTCAAAGCCATATATAATTCCGCACTACGAAAAGATTGCTTTCTTTATTTTGTAAAAAACATATACACGTAAAAGTTGTTATTGGATAGTTTTTGTCGGTAAGTTGTTTTTTAATTATGTTCAGTGGACAGGATTAAATTTTCTTTGTTAATAGATGTTGTAAAGAAATGTTCAGTCGTTCTGCCACTCTAGTGAGCATTGTCCAGTTCGCGCAGTTGCAATTTACGTAATGGAGTTGCAATTTACGTAATGGATTGGATTTGCGCGAATCTATTTCCCATATTCAAATTCAACATTAATATTCAATTCAACGAAGAGCAGGAAATGTATTTCATTAGTAGCGACGAGTCTTCTGAAGAAGTTAGCTTTAGTTCCGACGAGAAAAGCGTTGGCATAGAGCACGAATACGGTGGTTTTGATGAATCTAGCAGGCCTAGCTCTTCTTCAGAGGTAGTTTTCCCGCGCGCGTTCTTCTACAGTGCAAAGTTCACTGGACAATGTTCAGTCGTTTGGCCACCACCAAAATTTTCTGGATGTCTACCCACTGAACAAAGTGTGCAATGTTCAGTGAATGACCAGTGTACAGTCGTTTTGCCGGGGCTTTACACAAGAGGCAAATCCGTCGTGTTTAAGTCCATTTACCCCATGCTTTCCAAGTTTTTTCTGAATGTCAAAGTATTGTGTAGCCCACTGTATCCAATGCTTTCTTTAAATCAACTGAGTAGAATAATCATTCGATAACAGAGAGTTGAGCTTGTCAGGAATTCTTTTATTTAGTTTATGTTAAATGGTGCAAAAAATATTCATCGAAATTGCTATCATAGTCGATGCGATTTTTGTTGTGTAACGTAGATTAAATAACTGAGCAGTTTGAATAATAACGGTCCTAGCGCAGAGTCTTGCGATGCATCAGGTTTTATTCTCAAATAAAGATACGTTTAGCCAATCTTTCACTTTTATTTCTTGCTTAAGATTCATTCTGCATGCTTTCAATGTAGCCACTAAGTCGATATGGTCAGGCAAATAAACGCCTATTTTTTATAACGGTTTCCTAGTGATAATAAAGAATAAAAAATCCATTCGTCCATCTAACACTCAAAGCCTCTAACACCACGCGTCTAAGATATGCCCCGCGGTCCTTGCAGCCCACCCCGTTTTTTTTTTAATTCGATCTTTCAACTTCTTGAAATCTTTTAAAACATCTTATAGGAGATGAATACATTTCAAATTCTTTCAAGTTGTTTGGATAAGTGCATTAAGATGAAAATTATAGTTAATTCGCCCCCAAGAATCCCCTTATCGTATACTCGTAAAGTGGCTTTTCTAAAAACATTAGGAAGGCGGGGGCAATAATACTAAATTTGCTGAGAGCAGCAGAAATTTAACATGCTCTTTTTCTTTGGGCTTCCATATAAACTATTTTGTTTCTGATTGGTTTCAATTTAGTAGGTGTCAGCTAGCCAAAAATCAGCTACATTTGATTTTGGCCTACTGTGAACAAATAAATAAACAAATAAACAAATAAATAAATAAATAAATAAATGAATGAATGAATGAATGAATGAATGAATAAATAAATGAATAAATAAAAAAATGAATAAATAAATAAATAAATAAATAAATAAATAAAGGAATAAATAAATAAATTAAAAAATGAATAGAAAAGTAAATAACTAAAAAAATAAAATTTGATAAGGTCTTCAGAGTCATTGATACTCAATTGCAGAAGGTACTTCTATTACAAAAATCTAAGAACAAACTAACCCTCTTTTCAAGATTAATTTTCTGTATTACCCGTTTGACAATGTGAATTGTATGGTAATTAACTGGCTTTTTCTAAACTTTTTAAAAAAATGTTGTTATTGTACGGCAGGGTTTGTTTTAAAGATATTTATCACTGCATATATTTTGGTGTCACCTTTTCATGACCACACCCATCAAATTAACTGGATTATGAACAAAACTCGATAGCTTTTAGATACTGAACAATTTTGAAGAGATTTCATAGATTATGATCACTGCTTCTGTTATGTTCTCGTTTTTAATATTGTAATGCTCTTTTATAAGCTTTACGTTTCTGCTGGTAGTTTGCTGCAATTTTTAATACCAAGTCTCGTCTTTTTTAGTTTTATCACTGCACAAAATTTGAGTTTATCACTGCATAATTACGATATATCATTCACAAATTGGGTATCACTGCATTTCAAAACAAATCCTGTTGTAGGGGTATAAAAAGATAAATACATTTTTTGATCAACTTCATATTTCATTTAGGACAACGTTGAAAATTTCCGGGTTGAAGGAAATGAAAAAAATGAAAGAAAATCCCCCCCTCCAAGTAAAGAAAATTACTGTTTTTACTGAAAGAAGTATTTGGTTTTGCATAAAAGCATTCAGTTATATGAAGAAGTGGCTTGTCGTAAAGTAGAACTATGAGAAAAACTATTACCTTGCATGAGTAAGGTTTCACTCAACTCTAGTTCTGTAAACAACATAATCTGTATATAACACAAACGAGAGGTGTAAATGTCCTTTGAAACTAATAAAAAGAGGTGAACAATAAAGTTCATAACCAACACAAAAGTTCTTTGTTATCACAGTCTTCCCTTCTCTAAAATGTCTCAATAGCCTAATCGATCTGGTACCCGGTGTACTCTTTCTGATCGTCTTAGCTGAAGTTGATTTTGTGTACTCTCGTTTTCTGTTGGCAACTGAGGCAAATCTTGCAGCTCAAATTTGCACTCAGGCTTTGCCTCTTGCGTCTCTGGCGTTGCCTCTTGCGTCTCTGACTTTGCATTTTGCGTCTCTGGCTTTGTATCTTGTGCCTTTGGCTCATATTGGCATTCAGACTTTGTATTCCCTTGTGGTGCTAAATGCTTGAGCGATACCGTATCTTCTCTACCATCTTGAAACCTTATATGGGCATATCGAGGATTTGCTTCAATGAGCTCTACTTCATCCACAAGTGGATCAAACTTGGAGTCTCTGATATGTCGCTGCAAAAGTACAGGACCAGGCGTAGTTAGCCAAGTGGGCATTGATTGTCCGCTAGTAGAATTTCGTTGGAAGGAAAACATGCGTTTATGTGGTGTGGCAATTGTTGAAGTTCATACCTTTTTGACCTTTTTGTGTGTAGAGCATCACATATGACTTCTTGCCACCATGTCACCGGCAGTTGACGTGTCTTTAGCGCCAAAGTTATGGTTCTCCATATAATTCCATTGTAACGCTCAACTTGCCCATTCCCTGCTGGATTGTAGCTTGTAGTGCGGCTAGTGGAAATACCTTTTTGATGAAGAAAGTTCTTGAGTCTTTGCTAACGAAGCCACTTCCACGATCGGAATGAATATATGCAGGCATTCTGAATGTAGAAAGCAGCGAACAAAGGCATTGTATAACAGTATTGCTGGTTAAATCTTTGCAAAGAAAAGCGAAAGGAAATCTCGAAAATTCATCATTAACTGTGAGAATATACCTATTCTTATTACAGCTTGGCAGCGGTCCTTTCAAATCGATATTTAATCGTTCAAATGGCTGTGTAGCTTTTATTAAGTGTTTGGGCTCCGGACGAAAGAATTGTGGCTTGCATTCAGCACATATCTTGCGCGTGCGTGTCACTTTTCTGATTTCTTCCATTGTATACGGTAGATTGCGAACTTTAACAAAGTGTGCCATGCGGGTAACGCCAGGATGGCAAAGTGATGCATGCAGTTCGTGAAGTTTTTCTTGATGCACCGTACCAAGGCTCATAGAAACTCTCGATAACGTCTCGACTGGAATATTCTCAGCTCCTAATCTGTATGTAATATCAAAGCTGTACGTAGCCAGTTCTAGTTTCCATCTCATGATCTTGTCTTTTTTTATTTTTCCTTTATGTCTTGTGTTAAACATAAATGCAACTGACTTCTGATCTGTTATAAGCTTGAAATGCCTTCCCGTAACATAATGCTTCCAATGCTGCACAGCCTCAATAATTGTAGCTGCTTCTTTCTCTACCGCATGGTGCTTTAATTCAGATCCATGTACTGTCCTCAAGAAGAGTGCCACAGGATGACTATTCTGGTTAAGTGCAGCAGCAAGTGCGAATTCTGAAGCATCTGTTTCCAACTCAAAGAGTAGTGATTCGTCAATGGCACAGATGACTGACTGTTCAACGTTTTTTTTAATGCCACAAATGCCTCTCGAACTTTTTCATCAAGAGGAAAATTTTGATTTTGAATTAACGGCGTTGCCTTCATTGAAAAATCTCTTATCCATTTCGAGTAATGGGAAAAGAGCCCGATAACTCGTTTTTGACTCTTGATATCATTCAGCGGCGGTAGCTTTTTGAGTGGTTTTAACCTTTCTGGATCAGGTTTTATTTCGCCTTCAGACACCACACATCCTAGGATGCTGAGGCTTCTTGTAGAGATGACACATTTCTCCTTGTTGTAGGTCAGATTCTTTCGATTAGCTGCAGTTGGAAACCGTTCAAGGTTCTTGTTTTGATGAAGCAGAGAAACTCTTGTTTGCTTCAATCGCGGTAAAATGTCTTTCATCTTCTTTGATTGGAACCTGATGATATGCACTTTTTAGATCGATTGTGCTATAAACGCTGTACTGTGCAATCTTAGTTACAGTTTCATCTATTCTTGGAAGAGTATATACGTCCAACTGGGTGAATCTATTGATCGTTTGTGAATAATCAGTAACCATACATTTCTTGTGCCCTTCATTTTAAGTGACGACGACCTGGGCTCTCCACGGGGAGTCACTGGGTTCTATAATGCCTTCTTCTAGCAGCCTTTTCGTCTCAGCTGCGATGAATTTCTGATCTTCTTCACTATATTTTCTTGGCGTGGTAGCAATTGTTTTAACATATGTAGTAAGATACTGAAACATAGTTGGTGGATGTACATTCAGCGTTGTTAAGTTGCACAGCTTTAGTGGTGATACAGATCCTCCATAATTTATTGTTACGCTTTCATGTTGTTCTTGCCAGTCTTGGCCTAGGATCATGTGCGCACATAGATCTTGTAGAATGAAAAATTTGACATTTTCATATGTCCTGTCGTTAAGCTTGATATCTGTTATACAGTACGCTTGCATTTTAGCTGTAGGTGATGAAGTCGCCATGGACACATTTTTATTGGTTTCGTGCTTCTTTAATCCAAGTCGCTGTGCTATACGGGGGTGGATGAAGCTATCACTACTTCCAGAATCCACTAGAACTTTTTTAATTTTTTCATTAATTGAAATATCCACGCAAGCTTTGCTTAGTGTTTTTGCAGCAACTGTAGCTAAGGACGGACGATTCAGAGCTGCTTAGGCTGGCTCATCGCGGCGCTTTGATTTGCAGACTTTTTTGCAATGGCCTTTCTTTTGACAATTACTGCACGTGGCATCTCGAGCAGGACATTTTGAGCAGTGTTTCCACTTTTAAGGAATTTTTCTTAGATCAAGGATTTTTTGACTTCACGAGGATTTTTTTAAGTGATTACAAGATTTGAGGAATTTTTCAAGGAATTGCAAGATTCAAGCAATTTTTAGAGTATTAACTTTTTTTCCAAAAGTTCAAAATATTTTCAATGTTTGCTTTTTCAGATGTGTAATGTAACAGTGAAGATATAGCGTCTTATGCGTTAGCAACGAAAAAGTTGCGGTAGAATTGTCTTAATGACGACCCAAGAGGTTGTCGGTTCTTGATTTTCTTATATCTGAAGGTTGCATTTATAGAGCTTTTAGGTGATGATGATCCATCACCGATTCTAAAGGAAACACGTGATTTTGAATAACTTCATCATCATTTGAATCCTCGGACCTTGTCATGTTGTCGTGGCTTCTTTTGGCTCTGAAGAAATTTCTAACGGAAACAATTTTTGAAATGGTTGTTCTATGAAATTGCAGTTAGCTAGCTGAATTCTGGCATCGCGGGTCACATCATCGCGTCCTATGATTAAGTCTGCAACTCGAACAAGTTTCCATTCAATGCGATTTCGAATGTTTTCATCTTGAACCGTAATGACATCTCCGATATTTAGTCAGTCATGAGTCTTATTTGGCATCTTGTGATATTCCCAGAGATCGATTAAATATTCTTTCTTCCAGCGACGCCAATAATGCTAAAAATCTCGAGCAACATGCTGTTTCCTTTTTCTCGCAACGTCTGCCGTCTCGTTGTAGTCGATATCTTCTTATCGAAATAGCGTTATGGTAGGCCAAGTAGTCTTCTCCCGATTACAAGGTTGGAGGGCGTTAACGGTTCTTCGAGTTCTGATGAATAAAGGTATGTAAGAGACCTTGAGATTTGTACAATAACTGTCTGTATATCACCATAGGAGATTTTGCTTTTGATAAATTCTTTTTAAGACATGATTTAATTCCACGTACGAGTCTCTCGTAAAATCCACCCCACCATGCGGCCTTAGCGAGGTTAAATTTCCACCGCATCTTCCTATCTGTAAGATAGTTGCTTTCTTTGACTTGAAGAGCTTAACGAGTGTTTTGACGCCGCTCAAGTGGTAGCACACGTAAATAAAGATCTATACACCTGCTTCAATGAATGGTCTTCCGTTCTTACGAACAGAGGGCCTGCAAAGTCAATGACGACTGAATCAAACGCGTGCGCCTCGTAAACGCGAAAGTCTGGCAGTTGGCCCATTTTCGATTGTCCGTATGACTGGCCTTAGATACGAATGCACCATCTGCCCGGTCTTCATCACAAGCTGACGGCCCTTGATAATCCAAAAACGTGATCGTATGTCTGCTAGAGTTTCCTTCACGCCGTTATGCATGACGTTCGAATGACTTTGAAAGAAGATGAGGATGGTCAAATGGCTGTCTTTAGGTAGTAAAATAGGATTGATGTAGCTAAGATCTGTGTATTCTTTCATTAAATTTGAATCTGCCTTTAATTTGTGAGGCAGTCCTTGAAATATCTTGCGACACAAAACGTGGTTACCTGGCAGAAGGGATGGTTCGGCTTCCAGGGGAGCTTAACTTTATAACGCCCGTTCTTGAATTGAATCGCTTCTTCGAACTGTTGATAAACCGAGTTTTTCTTCCTTTGATCTGTTCAAAGACTCTCTAAATTCCAGAAATTAGATACCGTGTCATCTAGGGTACGTTCTGCCATCTTTAAAACGTGTGTTTGCATCACGTTCGTTGGTACCGGCCTTAATTTGTATTTCCCCGGACAATGTCCATACAAATGTAGATTCAAGGGCACAAGGTTGAATTGTTTCCGTTCCGCTAATCAAAGCGTTGTGTACCGGATTGGTGTGGCGTAGTGTAACTCAAACCCCTATCCGATATGAAAGTTACTCCGCTCCGATAGCAATCCGGTATAGTGCAACTGGCATCTCAAATACCATTAACAATGTGCAAATGTATCTTTAACTACTCGGGTATCTTTTTAATTAAATGATATAGCAGTCGAGATGACTCATTACTTTGTAACAGTGTAACTCTAGCCTAAGAATGCTTAACGTCCATAAAAAATCTTTAGAAATCTTTAGAAATTCCCAAGAAATCCATAAATCCATGTCAAATCTGTTCAAAAATCCGAAAATCCCAATCAAGATTTTGGGGATTTTAGAAATCCCGAAAATCTCGTACGCTATTCCAGGTAGTGAAATGCCCCTCGGTTGGAGCTGGCCTAGACGGAGCTGTGGCGCTGCCGCTATCAAGAGACATTGTGGGATACAAGCCTATTTACATCCCTATAAACATTCAAACTCAAGTAGAGAATCAATAGCAAAAATCCGGCGAAGGTTAAGACAATTTAGAATATTGTCCCTGCTTAGGTGTCACGTTGGAATAGCTTATATTTAGATATGCTTTATGTAATTTGTATTTTTACTAGTGTACACGTCTTTTCAACTGCACAATAAATATATATATATTTATATATTTATATTTACATATTTATATATATTTATATATATATATCTATGGCAAAATTATAGTACGACAAGTATTACTTGTCTGTTCGTTCACTTTGTCTTTGTCTTTGGTGAATTCAATTTCGCATAGAGAGTTCCAACGTTCGAGAGTGATCTTTTGCAATTTCGTGAGGGTTCCTTGCATACATTCGAACAATACTGAGAGTTTCAACTCAAAAAATCATAAAAAATAAAGCTATACAAACGGGTTTGGCCCCAGCCTTAAGCCCCAGGACACGTGTCGTGAGCAGCAAAGTGCCACCGCAATTTCTTACAGAATTCTAACATCGACAGGTCTTAACTTTGATGGTGAAATATGCACGGAGATGTATTATTAATGTACCGTTCAGTCTCATTAATTCTTCCAGCAGTGAATCTTTTCATAATAAGAGATTGGTTCACTTTTGCTGTTCCATCGGCAACCTTTCAACAATGCCCCCTGTTTTTGAAAGAAGCTAATATCTTTGTCCATCGTGCGGTGCTAGCATCTGTAATTTTCCCACTCACGAAGCAGATGGCTTTTTAGGTCTTATGAATTGGAGAAGGTCAAGACAGTTTCAAACTTCATTCGAGTTCAGAAAGTTAACCGTATTATATACACAGGGCTGTTGCAAACCCAAGGTCAACGGAATATTGGAGGTATGTTTCTATATTAAAGTAGGTGTACTTTAGTTGCAGCGAACTAGAATATTACTTGATAGAGGTCATTCTAGCTATCGTAAGAAAGCGATAGAGCTAAACAGCTTTTCAATTTTACATAGAACAAGTTACTTTAAATCAAAGATTTACTTCCTCTGTTAAATTGTTGAATCTGTTTGAGAAAGTGATAATAAAGTTACATCTTGTCGTTATGTATTATCTGATAGAAATTCTGTAAAATATTGCATTCTCTCAAAATATTTTTTAATACATGCTTCTGCATTTGATTCGAAGCATTGATTAGCTTCCGTTAGGTCTTTAAGTTGTTTTTCAACGTGCTGTAAATTTACTGAAGACATTTACAGTAAGAAAAACTAGAGCCAATTCATCAAGTTGCTTTTACCACGATTAAAAGATTTCATCTCATTTCATGTAAAATCTCAATTTTTAACAACGTTAATCAAGTTTTAACAAAAGGTAATGATCTAATAATAGATTATGACATGATAACATTTCTCGTTCATTCAATATAGAGCTTGGCCAGGTTGAAATCGAAGAATTCTGCGGTACCATCAAATAGCACGAAAGGATATGAATAGCAGCATAAATAAATCTAGCGACACCAGTGGGGATATCAATTTTACCGGTTCATGGCTATCAGTAATAAGCATATCATTGTCACTGACAACTGTAGTTATTAATCTATCAGTGCTACTCATTTTAGCCGTTTACAAACGATCACGACCTCAGGGTTCAGTTTTCATCATCAACTTGATCGCATCGGACCTATTCTTCCCGACTTTTGATATCATTTCATACACAAACTCTCGCAGATCCACCTCGAACACTGATCTTTCCAAAAGCAATTGCAGCGTCTACGTGTTCGTGTTTCTGTTTGCCACATTTGCTTCAACAGGGAACATTATTATGGTCACCTTAGATCGTTACGTGGCTGTAACTCGTCCTTTCAAGTATAAAGACATTCTTTCCACAAGCCGCATTGCTCTATTAATAGTGTCTAACTGGGTAATTGCTGGCACACTGTCTAGCATTGGCATGACAAGCAGGCAGACACAAATACCAGGAGGCGAGTGCCTTATCTATCAAGTTTTATGCAAACTTGTCGCTCTTTTTATCTGCTTCGTCCTTGTCCTGGCATTCGTTGTCCTACTTGCAGCCTACTGCGTTATAGCTAAAGAGGTGAGGAGCAATTTAAGGAGAACTCGGCCTGTCTTGCAGGGAAGATTCGAAAACACGAACTCGGCTGCTGATACAGTGCGGAAATTCCCCTCACGCGAAAATAGTAGTTACGCGAGACACATGGAGCAGCAGCAATGCAACGAAAGAGAGGACAATGATAAAAACGTGAACGAAACGGCTAGAAAGAGTCGCAGTATATGCGTAGGACAAGATGATCGAGCAATTAATGATACAATTTTGCTATTTCAAGCTTCTAGCAGTAAAAGAAACACAGTTACAAAAGCAGATATGTTTGATGTACTGAATCAACAGTCAAAAGAAGAAGTACAGTGCAAAATGCCAAATGAGACAATTAAATCTCTTACTAACCAAAACAACAATTCACCCAATTGCAAGACTAGCACAGTCCGTGGAAAGGATCAAGTTTCTAGGCTTCAGAGGAATATTTCTACAGATAAACATCTTCACAGGTTCAAGAATCCTGAAGACTTCAAAGGGTTAGACGATGAGAATGCTTGCGGCAATTCCACTGACAGTAAAATTAAGCAAAAGCGATCTTTTTATGCGGAGAAAGGCAGCGAAAAAAGAGAACCGACCAGAATGGATGCTGCTCTTAGGTGGCGTAGAATAATCAAGAGTAAAAATCTTGTGAACAGTACAAGAACACGAGAGACATTATCAACGCATTCCAAGCAAAGTAATGTAATACAAAGGTCAGGTTCTCTGTCAGAAGGAAAAACAAAAGTTGAAACTGAACACATCGAGGTTCAAACAGCAGAGAAGTTGGTTTTAAATATGGAAAGGAAGAATCTGAATCAGGATGAAAGCCCAATGTGCATTGTAACTGGAGCCTCGTGGATGGTGGAGCAAAATCCATCTTGTGACAAAGAACTCGTCCCAAGGCCGCAGTTCCAAGGACCGTCAAACCTGCCGATGCTGAAGGGTACTAAAGATATTTTGTCATTTCATACATTAAGTCACCGCTCGTTCTCAGTTCCAAAGGGCAGTCACGACAATCAAGTAATGGAAGAGGCTTTGCAAGGTCCTGCACAAGGCCGGAATAGCTTTCCAAACATCAACCAAGGTGTTCTTTGTATTTCAGATGCCCCGCTTAGTATAACACCGACTGTTCTGATACAAAAAGGACCAAAAGTCTGGGAGCCATCGCGTGCCAGTGAAATAGAAGACCAGAAAATTACTGATAAGTCCTTTGTGAAGGATAAATCCTCTGCGAAGGAAAAGCGCCAGGACTACACCGCCAATCGTGGATCAAAGAATATAGAGGAAGCTGGCGAAATTTTTATCGTTACGTACAACAAGAGACTAAAGTTTGAAACGGGAAGCAGAGCTGGAGTAAATGAGGAGAAAATTGTATCCGGATATGTTTCCGATTCACAAACGGACAATGTGAACATTAGAAGAAAGTACTCGATTTCAAATGGCATTGTCGAAGGGTTGAAAATATCAATTGTCGTGTCTAAAGGGAGAAGAGGAAACCAGAAGACGATTCACGCGGCTGCAGCAGTTTTGGGCATTTTTCTTCTTAACTGGACTCCGCTAATATTCTGCTTGATACTTAAACTGAACAACAACAGCCTTTCAGGACAAGGAGAGACGCTCGCCCATTTTGCCAACTTGTGCGTGCATATAAATGCACTCTGTAACCCGTTTCTCTACGTTGCTCGCACAAGGGGATTCAAATCGGTTCTTGCAAAGATCAGAAACAAGCTTGTGGGATTTGAAATTGTTTAGTTCGTTCAACAGGGACGAATATTCTGGGGGTGCGAGGGTGTAGTTCTCCCTCTCTTAATGTTCTTGGAATTTTGCTTTAATTCGGTAAAGTAATTTTTTTAACTTACTATCTTCTAAACCTTATAGTTAAAGATGGTATTGTAAAAAGTGGCGTTTCCATCATTTTTAAGGCATCTGTAGGGTGTGGCATTAAAATCCAATCATTATCAAACACCCCACCCACATCATTGTATCTAAAGTCCGTCCCTAAAAGTCGTTCACTTTGCACAATGCGCATTGAAAATCATTCTGAAGTCCGATACTTGTCGTCGTCAGTTCAAGTAGAAGTTAGTCAGGTCAAGTTGAAGAAAAACAAATAACAAGATGTCTCTTTTTGTTGCGATACTGGTCATCTGTTTTATCAGTAAGCATTCGGAAGTCTTAACGAATTCTCGTTGCATAACTGTTACGAATTATCGTTGCATAACTGTAGACTGGTACCACGTCCTCCCCAGTTCTCGGCAGGGTCAATTTCGTCCTTCTTCTAAATCCGAAGGGAAAATGTTGGGGAGGGGTAATATTTTGGCAACGTACTTTTTGTGATGTAATTTTATGGCTTTGAAACTGCCTTTACGCAGCCAAAATTTAGTCATTGGCGTTCCCTTTAAAGTGAAATAGGCGTCCCTTGTTGGTTTTGTGAAACCTCCTTTGTTGGGAACTTGTCTCTGGTCACTTTCCTGTAGCTTTTTCAGCAAATTGGGGATTTTTTCTTTAAACTGTTTTTTTTAAAGAACATCAGGGGTCATTTTGCCAAAAAATAAGAACATCGTTAGAAAGTGCCCAACCTCAGATAAATAATAAGAAAAAAACAATGTATTTTTGAAATCTTTATCTAATATTAACAAAACAATGCAGATTTTACCAGCAAATCAACCGTTCTACCAAAATTGTCATTCAAAACTTACATCAAATGGACTTAGACACAATTGATAGCATGCAGTTGTAAACACACAGGCCTAAAAAATTATCAACAAGAACATCGAGCCTCGTGAAAAACTGGCCCTTACAAAAAACCAGCGTGTCGAACAGAAACACAAACGCTACCTCATTTCCAACTAAGCTACCTTATCTTTTGGTGCGGCAATATTTTTTTCTCAGTCTGCCTGCCTATTATATGTTTTGTTCTTAATCTGTAACCAGGGATGCTAGAGAAAGGGGGCGCGGGGGGTCAGCCGCCTCTGTTGCCTTTTGATAGAAGGGGTCAACCACAACGAAAGAATTAGTTGAAGCTGGGAATTATCTTTCAAATGGCCTTTTACTCAAGCCAGCCCCCCTTGCCCCTTGGTCATTCCGGCGTCCCTGTCTGTAACCTAGGCTAGCCAGTAACATATACATATGTATTAGAGAAGTTTGTTATTGTTGCTTAATGGGATTGACAATGCAACGTTTTCACTGTTAAATCATTAAGCAGGGATAGAAATTTGGATGTTCAAGGACAACCGTTGGAAAACTTGATATTTTCTATGTCGACAATCTGGGCAACTGCTACGTCAAAGCTAATATCTTGGAAGACAGAATTGGCCTGTGCTTTTTTGAAAACAAATTTCTATCATCGTCTAGCATAATTCGTTTCAACTGGGGTGATACTTTTGACTGCTTATTTGACAGTCTCGCTTTTCCGGACTCGTGTCAATCCACGTGCAGCCCACGCCTGCTGATTTTCTAAAGCCCACGCCTTCTGTTCGAATGCGATGTCACCTAAGAAATAGTTTTAGTCCATGATTATTAACATATTCAACCACAACCACACTCTATAACGGACAACAATCTACAACGGACACCTTTCTATAACGGACAACTTTCTATGACGGACACCTATGTACAATGGACATCATCTCGGGCTTTAAAAGCGTACGAAACAACGAAAGTTAATTGGAACCATTTGTTTTGATTTGCACAAACATATTTCACTTGAAACTTCGTGTTTGCGCGTCACTATAACACGAGACAATGACGCAATCACACCGAGTTTCAGCTGTAGTGCCATTGTTCATTCAAAGTATTGAGAACAGCAGAACACAACGAAGAGGCTTCATTTAATAACGTCAATAAATCGCTATTTACTCTCTGCAGATGTCTCGAGTAAAGTTGGTTGAACTTCCAATGTGCTTCAACTCTGGGACAAGCAGTTCTGTGCGAGATAAATCAATTCTAGGGCAAGCAGTTTTGTGTGAGATAAGTCAATTCTAGGGCAAGCAGTTTTGTGTGAGATAAATCAATTCTAGGGCAAGCAGTTTTGTGCGAGATAAATCAATTCTAGGACAAGCAGTTTGTGTGAGATAAATCAATTCTAGGGCAAGCAGTTTTGTGTGAGATAAATCAATTCTAGGACAAGCAGTTTTGTGTGAGATAAATCAATTCTAGGGCAAGCAGTTTTGTGTGAGATAAATCAATTGTGTGAGATAATTCAAATAGGCCTACTACCAGGAAACAGAATGGGGAGAAGTGACTGAATTTTTGGCAAGTGACTAAATTTTTCTCTGATTTTTCTGTACCCGATTAGTACTTTGCCCAATTTTGTAAATAACATTTTCAATAAAGACAAATTCGAAACACTACGTGGGGAAAACTGACGAGTCGTTAAGAGTAAAAAGGCCATACTCGTATAAGTATAAAGTAAACAAACTCAAATTAACTTGCATGTTGGAGATTTTCCAGTAGAGTTTAGACGCGTTTTTAGTGTTATACAGGTTTATGAAATTTCTATTTTAAATTTCCTTCCTTGCCAAATGCAAAGTACGAAAAGCAGAAAGATTGCGCCGATAAAACAGCTCTTAGGAAGCAGCTTGCTCTTATTGGCACGGCGAGGTGATAAACTGCACTACTTTAAACAAAAAATGCATCTGGCTGTGAAGCATGAAACCGTATTTTTTGACCTATTTAATACATTCGTTGAATAATTCTTTGTCGTCCAGTTGGAAGTCGATCGGCTAGCAGAGATAAGCACAAACCAAACGGTGACATTCTTTCTTGGATGGTATAAGAACAGGCACGTGTTCTTTTCCGGTTTCCAGTCAAGAAATTGGTTATAGAATTGCCAGTTTCCTAGAATCAACCAGTCGAGAGTAGGGATAAAATTATCAGCACACTGACGTCAGCCCGACGTCAGCCAGCAGGAAAAATACCGGTGCCTCGAGGTTTCCCGCGTTTTCCTGCACTTGGGCCTACACTCGCGTGTACAGAATTCACCTTGAAACTACAACCCTCAATTACCTGGGTAGAATCTCTTTATGTAATTCAGCTATCCTTGCTAGTAGACTCCTAATTATGTCCAATGTATTCAGAGAAAGTTGCAGACTCTAGAAGATGAGAAAAATGTACAGAACTAAAAAGTCATTCATCATGTATTGAGTAAAGAGCGGTTTATAGCATTAGATGACACAGAGAAACGAATAAGCAAGCAAAAATATCCTCCTCAATAAAAATAGTTTATCAGGCATAACGTCACAGAATGCCGACAGCCGTCTCATAGTCAGAACGAGGTTGCTCAAAGACTTTGTTTTGGCAAGCAAAGGGAAGTTTTTCTATCTATTAAATAAATGAAAACTTTCCCGTTTAAAACATCTCTAGTTGGTTTCAAAATTGCAGTCAACTAGATTGAACGGCGAAAGTATTCGTTGAGCGGCGAAATTGTTAGTTTCATAGACAGTCTGGACTAACCTCTATATTCCCGCTTAATTCAAGGTGTTTCAAACTGAAAGAGCAATCCGTGCTCGCATCTTCTTTTCTTTCCGAAGCTGAAAAGGAAACAATGATAAGAATCAACAGTTCGAAGATGCAATCAAACATTAAATCGGCCTTTTCTGGCAAAATTCTTAATGAACAAAAACGCATACACAATAATTATAGGAGAATAGAGATTTCCTAATGCGTTAGATATCTCATTATTTAATTGAATTTTGCATTGAGGTGAAACATCGTAAATTGTCTGTCTTGTTCGCGAGAGGGGTTGTAGGTGATGGTCTTCTATACGAGAACCTCCGTCAAGAAAAGCCAAACCCGAGAGAGGGATACGGGGGCTTTGAGAGAGACAGGGGCCCTGTCGACAGACTGCAAGGAGATCCCCATCACCAGAAAAAGTTTTTTGGAAGCCCCTTATTCACTGTAATTTTTGGTGATTGAAGTGGTCAATTTTAAGACATTTCATAGCATCAAAGACTACTATAGTATCTTTGAGAATTTCCAACTCAAAAAGCATTGTAAAATAGTTTCACTTCAAAAATCAGACTGATATTCTATACACTTTCAATTCTCTGTGAATAAGCAAACTATAAAAAAGACTCGTTGCTAACAATGAGCCATTGCCCTAACGTTTTCTGGATGAAAACATCAATTTTTCAATTATCTCACATTCAAGTAGCCGAACTTTCAAGGCACACATTGATACCAAAATTGAAACTAACAGAAATCTTGAAAATGGAAAAAATGCCATGTAAAGGAAGGTTTCCATAATTTCTTCATCAGGACTTTTAGTTGAGGCCTGAAAATCTCTAGACCTGTTAAGCCGATTATCGTTGCTTTGCAGTTGTGGTCGCATGTCTCATTTACAATATCGCATGGCACATCCATGTATCCAATGTACGGTTGTGTTTATTTAAACAGGCTTATCGATCTTGAATTCTTCAAGTGACTTGACCCGGATTACACTGTGGTTTACGAGTGTACCTGGCAAGCGAGATCAGTAAGATCCCGTTTTCTCCGGACTAACAAGTCGTCTGCATACAGGTACGAAAAATCTATTTTGTACCCAAGAAACCAATCGAATGGCTCAAAACTTTGCACACGGCCAGGACAGATGTCGGGTAAGCAAAGTATGTCTCAAAATTTTTGTATTTGCTCTGGTTCGTCTTTTATAGCCAAATACAGCTATGAGAGGAAAGAAAAATTGTTTGCCAATTTTTGACAGGGACAGTTTCAAGGGGAAGAGGAATTTGAAAAATCTGAGACACTTTGGTAGCTTAGGATCTGCGCTTTCTGCTGATTTAAGTCAGATTTTTTTACCTCGAACGCAAGGGTGCAAAATAGCTTTTGAAGGTGGTACACTCATTTAAGCAGTAAATTTGCCTGGAAAGTATCATTTTACCACATTTGCCGATTATTTTGATATGGTTGGAATCGCCATGTTCTTGTGCATCGAATGATATATAGTTTAATCTGATTCTGTTAATAGTTTGGTTTATAGGGAGAAAAAACCAAATATCGTGTCAAAAACGTTTACCGCAACCTTAATCCGTAGAAGTTTACTGCCATTGTTTGGATCGTCGCCATGCTCGCAAAGGCTCATTGTTAGCAAGGAGTATTTAAGGGCTCAATTAAACCTAAACAGGGAATTTGTCTCTTTACTTCAAGCAAAAAAGAAGAAGAAAACGTGCTCGAGACGAAAAACCTCAATCAATCAATGGCCTGATTATAATATTCATATGACCTAGAAGCTCCAGGGAGAAAAAGTAATAGGGCCACTTTGCCACCCGTCCTGGCTCATCTAAATTTTATGAACAACCTACGAAATGACCAGGGGGCAGCTAAGACAGAGGAAATCACTACGATGTGTTCAAAGATCTTCCAACAAAGTGTCCTCTTTTTATTTTGGCGACAGCCATACAACCTTAAGGTCAAACACCATGCCAGCATCAGTTTCTAACCAGGCCCAGAAATATCTTGTGATCATAATACACAAACTATTTCTCAACAAATAAACAAAATAGATTTCTGTGATGATGTACGAAAAACAACTGATATTGTGATAGCAAGAAATGATACGATGATGGCGATTATGTCCATATAATAATGATTCATGATTGTGCAGGTTATAATCATCATTTTTACGATAATGATTATGTTTATAAAATGACGATTAATGTTGTTAGTGCCGACGATGCTGATAATAATGTTGGTTGTGTGGATTATGATGATCAGAAATGGCCATTGGTGTAAACAATGATTACTTACTAGAGGATTTAATTTCATTTCTTGATTCATTCAAATGGCAGCTAATTTCAGCATATGAATCTTCGGTTTTCTTTTGTAAAACTGATAAATATCGCTCTTCCATTTTGTGAAAATTGGCCAGGATGTTAAACTGAATGACAAAAGTTAATTACTGTTAGAAATTTAGCTTGAAAATATTAAATTAAAAAAAGGGTTTAACAATGAAATAAAGAGAACATATCATACATTGACATTTTAGAAAGAGAAATAGCTGGATCATATTTGACCCGTCCCTGGAAGCAACACAATTTCAGAATGGTAAGTGAGAATGACAAAATATTACCAATCACAGCTCAAATAAAAATCAATTGCTATTTTCTGCATAAAGTATTAGCAAAGTCCAGGGTTAAAAAGCCAACATTAATCCCGCTAAAAATCCACTTCACATTTCCGTGTTCGTTGTATGGAGCATGTTTTCTGAGATTTTGCTCCATTGGCGAGAAAGATGTGCAAAAGCTGAGGAATTTTTTTAAAAACAGGCGTCGAAGGGTGTCAGAAAGAAATCACAGACCATTTTCGAAGCATGATATTGTTGCTGATGTTAGTAAGGGCTAAAGATGAAATATTTGATTGAAAGTATGGGGTCGCATGACAGAGGCGTTTTGATAAAGGCATTTTTGAAAGGGGTATTAAAAGGGAAAAACTTATACACATAAAAAGCATAAACAGAATTGCTCATCAAAAGGGCTGCTTAATCAACCTTGTTGAACAACTATCTACAGTTTTGGTGAGACGAGAACCGTTTCAAACAGTCTTTCTCTTTGTACTCAAGTGTCCAAAATACAGTGTTTCTCACGAGGAGCAAATCACTCTAAGAAAATCTCGTACACCTTTTGTGAAAATCCTATTGTTTTACACGAAAATCCCCAGAAATCCTTTTGTTTTAGGCACAATCTCGTACGCTATTTGCAAGAGTGAATCGCCCCTCAGTTTCTCATAACAATATTTCATGGCACTGTCTTACAATGTAACGCATTCTCTTACAGAAAAATGCACCAATGTTGTTCTAAAGAGAATTAGAAGTGATATTGAAGAAAACAACCTTATCGTTGTTTTCGGCACTTCTCAGCAACAAAAAACGTAGAAGATTCAAAGCAGCAATAAATCTGAGAGTAAAAAAATGTTTTTGTTAGCGATAGTATCTCAATGAAAACAATAAGCAAGCAATGAAACGTTACAGTGTCATATAACTGGGGGAGTCTACGTATATCTAAGTCAAGCAGTCAGACTTTAGGCATAATTCAAACGACTAATATTGATTATTCAAGGGCTTAGCTGATAGACAGTTGCTATATGCGACTCTTTGCTATACTTTAAAGGTTATACTTTATAAATCCTTTGGTATACAGGCAAGTCCAAAGAAGAACGGAAATTCAAAACTATTTTTTCACATGCTTGTGTACATTTAGCCTTAAAATTTGTCATTACACACACAATCACACATTATTAACACACCTCTCGGCTTCCATGACAATGTCACAATCGTGTTGCAGTATGGGATCGAATGACAGATACGTCAGTTCCAAGAAGGAAGGGGTGATTTTTTTCACCAGAGACTGATCACTGAGCTGTCGAATAAAACAAACCGTGAGCCAAATATCGAGAATAACAATCGAATCCATTCGTGCTAGGTACAATATAGAAGAAATCCCGTTCGCATTTCTTGATGATTTGGCACAGATTAGGAATTTGGTATAAGGGTAACACTTTTTAGCGCAAGTGAATACGAGGTTTTTAGCGCAAGTGAAGACGGGGAGTTCAGAATATCTATTGTGTTCTTCAGACTTCAGCTTGACTTAAACAACTTGAATCCAAAAACAACAATGAGAGTGATTAGATAAGAGCTACCCTTCTGCCTAATTCTAATTCTGTGCATTGGTTAATTGGGAAGGGTTCATTATCGTCATTAATATATTGCGTTAAATAACATTTACTGGTATCTACATGGAATTAAACAGCTTGTCTTTTACCAACTACATCTGACGAAGGTCTTACTGTATCAAACTTCTATATAAGAGCATTTATGAGCATCCAAATATCAAAAGATAGAATTTCCGAAGCCAGCAGTAGCGGTGGCCAAAGTTGCCAGATCGGCTTTTTCAGGCCAAAGTTTCCAATTTTCGCCATCTTCAGAGTTAAAATGCCAAGAAGATTTTTTCTGGCCTACTATTTAAATTTAGTTTTTTTGCCTTTTCAGCAGAAATTACTGGTGACGTTACTGTGTTATACAAACTTTAACGCCCTAATTAACAAATAAAATTTGAACTGGAAGAGCAGCACTACAGTGTTAACCGCAATGCCAAATATCATAACCTAACCAAATGATTAGTAAAGGAATTTTTTGAAGGAGAAAGTTTCTTATTTTTCTGTTTAGGTTTGGAAAATAATTTGAAATGTGCTTGCGTGGAAATATAAGTTGAGGATGGCTTTGTGGAAAATGATTAATTAATTTGATCGGTTATTTACAGATGGCAATCAAGGTTATTATACAAGACGTCTGTTGCAGACGTTAGTGGTAGGCATGTGGTCTTCAAGGGATACTTTGACACGTGACTTCAGCGAGCGAAGCGAATGGTTCGCCATCATTAGTGTTCTAAAAGAATTATCGAGTGAATTGCTCGCAGTCATTGCGGTTCTCAAAGAATTGCCGAGTGAATGTTTCTGCAATCAGAGCTCGAATGCCGGATAGCTTTTCAATGGAAATAAATATTCTATTTTGCCTTTGGCCCATTTACTGCTTCGGCAAGGATAATCTCTTGTTGAGAAAGCAAATATTTCTCGTCGCAATCTTACAATACATCAAAGTTTGACAGTTTGTGAATCATCGTAGAACCATTAAGTGGGTGGGATCAAAACAAAGCCATCAAAGCTAAAACACTGACCCTAACCATAACAGTACAGAAAGATTAATGGAGAAGATAGCTTCCGCGGGTGGCAGGGGCAAATGCTCTGATTCATAACATTGTTATCTCATTCATATTATTTCATTCAATCATTATCATAACAACCAAATTGTTGGACGCACAACACAAAGTTTTCGGATTGAATAAAACAGCATGTTCCTCCAGCATTAGAAACAAACTCTTTCCTACAGAAGAACCTCCTCGGTCTACCAGATCAAAAACAACAACCAAAACATGTGATTCTGCTATCGGGCAGCATTTACTGGAAAACCCAGATTGTGCAAAAACTATGATGGCGACATGTTTCGGATCATTGGTAAAACCTATTTCAATTCACAACTACAAATATATATTTCCTGGCATAGTTTTCGATCCATGTCTAAGAGTTTTATTCTCTGAATAGTGTCAAACGACAAGCTTTAGTATCTTTCAAAATTTTTGCTTTTCTCAAAGCCAATTTTTAGATTTTTAGTCTTCTTACAACATATTCAGATAAAATAATGTACAAAACTTAAAATGTCAGAAACAGGAAGAAGTCACAATTATCAAAAGTTACAAGACTAACGAAAGGTTCCGATTAAAAACACATTAAAAAAGAAATATATATATATTAATCTTGAAATCTCGCATCATTGCTGAACCTTTGCTCTCTTGATTTCCTTGGAAAGCTAGCAAGGGTCCGGATACACGCATTGTCCTTAAGGCTCGTGATGCAAATAAACCTATTAATTTTGTAAAGAGACTAGCATCTTCCACAAATTGCGTTTGACAATTTTAATAAGTGGACCTTAAATTACTTAAAGTACACTGCGTATTCAATTTAATAGATATAAAAAATAGGATAATATCTACGCCGGGACCCTCAATTTCTTTTAAATCTACCAATGCATGCTACGTGCCATAGAAAACAAAAGAATTTATAGATCTAAAATCGATACCTTGGAATCTAACTGGAGTACCTCATCCTTGATGCACTGGACAATGAGACTACAAACTCCCGAGTGCTTTATGCTGCGCAGCAGTTTCCTAAACATAAGAAGGAGATATCAGACATCAAGTAGGATTGCGTTTATAAGCAGGCTAGAGATGACAATGAGATTCTGTTCGTTGTGACATACATGCACAACGAAAAGACTTGTGCAAAATTTGTGTCCAAATGAAACATCTACCCTTCATAGTGTAAGCTATCACTTGCCGCACTTGCACTGGCACCTGCCGGACTTTATGACATCTTAATGACTCCAGAACCAATTTCTTGGAATCCCTTGCCAAAAGAGATGTGGCTCTGTCTGTCTTTTCCAAAAAGAAAGTTGCTTTGGCACTTTCTGGTCAAAGTTGGCACAAATGGTGCAGTTTTTCGACTATTATTACGTCGCCTATTTTTAACTAATGTTTCGAAATTCTCTTAGGTTTATTGCCTAAAATTTTAATTAATTAGTAGGTTTGCAATACCTCTGTTTTGCTGTAAATAAAAACCATTTACCAAGAAAACAATTTCTTATATCTCCAAAAGATATAAAACAACAAACAAATTGTGTAATTTGTTTACCTGAGTAGTATCGAGCGGGACGGCGTGTCAAACCTTTTTAATGAAAATCTAAACAAATGCAGCGAACGGTTTCTCTTAAATGAAGAAACGATAGCAAATATATTCATACTGCCAAAATAACCAAACATTAACTTAATACATAAATCAGTTTAGATAAAAACAAAGTGAACCAATTTAAATAGGAAAAGAAGTATTGGTTTAAAAAGAGGGGTTTAAAGATTATGTTAGAATCTCTTTTCAGAGACATTTTTCGTAACTTTTAGGTTTGTTAGAATCTCTGAGACAAATCGCTTCGAGTATCGAAAAACATTTCCACTTTATATCGTTTTCAGATCCATACTGCACAACAACATTTGTCAAACTCATTAGCTGGATTTTGAGCGAGAGCTGGAATATATTAGTAAATACGAGAAACCCGATAAAAAAAGCATTTGGTGTGCAAGAAAAGTTTTGCACCATCTTGAAACTTCAAGCACTTTTAGAATCGTATGCAATTTGACTCTCCGAGGGCTATGACACAGATGGGGTTACAGCTTCATTTCAAAAAGCATTTGGTGTGCAAAACAGAAGGTTGAATGAAGGGGGATGTAAAAGAAGAAAGGAAAGCTGCCGTTGATGGATGATATAACATAACTGAGGTTCTACTAATTTCGGTCAAATGAACAAGGGTAAATGGGGAATCAAATGAGTTATTACTAATAACTATGAAGCATGTATAAAAACTGCGATAGGACCTTACTAAAAGATCGACAAACCCCAAACGTTGTAGTTACACATAAAACTGAGTGATAGGTTTCAAAGAATTAAATAAAAAGACTCGCTTTGTCAACTAGAAGTAGTGTATTATACCGCCAAGAATTTTTGTGTGTGGATATTTACAAAAACTCGACTCAATCGAAAAGATGACATAAAAACGAACTCACGAAATCTTGATTGCTGTCCGAGACCATAATTTCAGTAAGGTTCTGGCAAAGATGAAGATACGTTGTAAAATTTCTACACAACATCAAAATATTTTAGGGTATACAGTATAATGCACTCGAGAATAAGGGCCGAGAACAAACTGAAAGAACGTGACTTGTTTCAGATGCAACTTTTGGGAGATGCAGAAGCCATTTATGACAGGTGGAAATCTTGTGAAGGGTAGGAAGATGAGTTCTCGGTCGTCAAGGTAGGGAGAGTTTTGCAGGGGTAGGGGGGGGGGGGGTGAGAATCTCATGCAGTGTACCAAGACTTTCGGCTGTCATTGTACCCTATTCTAAAGAATCAAGATTTGGCTAACTACATACCCAAAGAGATAGAGGATGGTACCTGAAAAAGCGAACAAGCAGCTATAGAATCCAGGAACTCCAACGACAACGCAAATTCACGGACTCGATGAAGGAGACTTTCCGCCAAATCCTGCATAATACAGAGGAAGATTAAAGTTAGGTATTGAGAATGAGGCGGCGAATGAGATGTCAACGGGTACAACATGCGTATAGGGTTTCCGTATGATATCATTGGATTATGCTAACGCATAACTGCTGACCTTATCAACTGGCATGTGTGTGAGCACCATTGTCGGGAGCATTATATAATAGAGTTCAATACCTGGCTCTCCGATACAAAAACAGAACAAACTATTTGTCGTACGTTGTTGTATCGTGAAGAGTTAAGTGACGAGAAATATCAATAGAGTAGAATAGATGCTTTTCGCTTATAGTTTCATTGACAGTTTGATGTTTTAACTAAAAATCAAAACATACATTTCTAAAAATGGCCGGACTTGAAAAGGCAGTTTTTATCGAAAAATGTTTGAAATGAAACCATTTTTACAGTATTGTTCTTTGGAAATCATCTCGTTAATCTTATATGACAAAAATTCATACACAATCATATTACCAACGACTTCTTCCTCCCTTGATAATCATTCCTGGTGAAGATAAGGACAACAATTAATGCAAATTCACAACAAATAAAAAATAAATATAATCAAAGTCTTTTGAATATCATATCCTACATAAGTTGCCTTTGATATTTCTAAGGTTTTACTTGGAATAATATCCTTCGAGCTTCTATTATGGCCTTATGCAAATTTGTTTTGGTTTTCTTTTGATAAAGTAGCAACATAAAAATAAAATAACATCTTTAGATGAAATATGAACGCTGTTGTCTTTCCTGCATAAAATACAGGCTTTAAATTGTCAGCTGATCGCTTCACTATCTGCCAGCACTGCCAACGCACTCTTGCTGTTTAGCTGATTGAGTTTAGAAGTGCCATAAGAAAATAATTCTCTAAACCAGCCTTAATTAGCATTAACACCTAAGCATACTGCGAAATCCTACATCTAATGCTGGATAATTGTTTCTTATGCACTGCTATAATTTGAGACGGAAAATAATTTGAAGACATTTGACCTTGTTAAATTTGTCTAGCTCTTTACGATTCAAAGTGTTTAGCGGCAAAGTGTTTAGCGGCAAATGTGGCTCATCATATAAAAGTAATACCCTTTAAAAATAAAAAGTATCTTCTAAGGGGTCAACTAGAATTCAAGTAACTGCCATTGTTTCGACGCTTTAAACTTTGGCAAAGTTTCTATATATCAATAAAAAATTAATCTCAAAGCTAAAAGTTATGACATTTCAAATAAAGCAATGCTGATATATTTATTGCTTAAACCTTTTTCTTCTATGATGATTTTCCAAACGTAATAAACATGATTACAAGTTTACACGCTAGTTCTCTGAAAGATCAGATTGTCGTGAATGGTGGATACTACGAAGTGCCTTGTAAAACTGACGCATTCTTTCTAAATGAACTTCTTTCCAAGCCCATTTGATATGACAATGAAACGAAGTTGACGGAGTAAAACTAATGATCACCTTTTCAAAAACTGCAGCATTGGTTCTAAATTTACTTTCAGCAAATACTCGACGCTGTAAAAGAAATATTGTTTGCGATAAACTCAAATTATCGCAGATACATAATTATCTCAACTACCCATCAATTACGAGTATAGATTCAACATTAATGATACTCCGAATAAAAGTTTATTGCAAAGTTAGCAAAACATGTTGAAAGAAACTGCAGTTTTTCGGGATTGGAGAAAGCTTTGTCAAACTAAAGTCATGCACGCAAAAAAATAAATCATTTATGACAAAAAAACTTGTTAACAACATCGATGCTGATCATAAGGTTAGGTATGCCTGTTTGTTGACGATAAAAGGTGTTTTGAATGGCCATTTAATCTACAGCAAAAAGCGATTAAGGACAGTTGCTTGAATCTCACGCCAGAAACAGAATTCAGGCCAAACCCACTCGAAATATGATAAGTCAACTGGGCCATAAGTAGATAAGAAATCTATCTGAGCGGAAAACTTTTTTGAACAAAGAGAAAATGACTCTTTGCTTTCCTTGATAAATTCAAAGTAGTGGGCTTGCTGCTACAAAAACCTGCTTTCGAGAAAAATCCCTGATCTTTAAAAAGCTTGGCGATAAAAATTTAACAAATCGTGTTTTCATACAGCATTTTTCCACCATGACATAATCTGTCCCTTAATTACAATCAGAAGGAATAACGAATCGCCACAAAAAAACTTATGTATCGTGATTTTACTGAGTAAAAAATATTTAATTTCCTGTCATTTTATGCGTTAGATCATGTATTGCAAGATTTCATTTTAATGCTCCTGACTACGACATTGATCACAGAGTTAAAAATCTGCTTTGTTGTATAACTCTATTAAACATTCATTCTAAAAACATGTTGACACCATCAAACTAAATATACAATCTTATCGCAGGACGAGTAAGATAACAAGGTGAATAGGAAGATAAAAATGAGAGAAGGCAGCAAGGTGGATCCGCCAAAAATTATAGACAAACTCTACCTTTGCATGAGAACTAAAAAACTTGAGATAAACAGAATGCCAAGGGCCATGTTAATGGTATTTATTTTTCAATTATTTTGTTTATTTATTTTAACATGATTTCAAGATAAATCCCCGAAAGATAAAAGACATGGTGAAAAAAGGTTGAAAACTCTTGATTTCAGATAACTTTTTAAGGTAATTTGCCGATAAAGGTAATGTTCTGTAATTAACTATCTCTAGGCTGGCCTAAATCCAAAATGAAAATAAATGTTACGAAAAACAGACCTGCCAATCATTGATTGACTAATGGGTTGAAGTGTTACGTTGAGGACCAATCAGAGACATGAAGAGCACACCTGCCAATCATTGATTGGCTAATTGGTTGAAGTGTTACGTTGAGGACCAATAAGAGACAAGGAGAGCACACCTGTCAATCATTGCTTGCCGAATCGGTTGAAGTGTTACGTTGAGGACCAATCAGAGACAAGGAGAGCACACCTGTCAATCATTGGTTGACTAGTTGGTTGAAGTGTTACGTTGAGGACCAATCAGAGACATGCAGAGCACACCTGCCAATCATTGATTGACTGGTCGGTTGAAGTGTTACGTTGAGGACCAATCAGAGACAAGGAGAGCACACCTGTCAATCATTGATTGACTGGTCGGTTGAAGTGTTACGTTAAGTTAAGAACCAATCAGAGAAATGGAGAGCACGGCCAGTCGTTTGGAAAGTTGTGGCAGGGGCCAATCAACGTTATAGAAATTACACCGGCCAATCACTAAGTGACAATTGCACCAAAATACTTCGAATTCAGCGTTCACCCTCACAATGCGTATTATCAACAGCAATAGTAAAATAGAATTGGTGACATGAAAGAGTGCTTGTGTTACCTTAGCACGAAAGGACAATATTTTGTCCCAATGTCTTTGACAAGCATCAGATAGGAAAGGGTTGCTTTGGCATCTGAAACAAACAAAAAACAATTGCCATTGAAAATTACTAAAGAGATGACATCCTTCAAATCAGGCAAACCAGCGCAATGTCACAAATTTTAGGCCTTTCCACATCATTTCATATTTTGTTTTCAGGCTTCTGCTCGCAAGAAAATGTTTTCTAAAACAGCAATTAGCAAAACATTATTTCTAACCTGGCGGCTTTCGCCATTTTTGTAAATTCTTATCTATGTAAATTTTATTTTGATTAGTTGCCAATTGGATAAAAACTCGTGTCAAAATAGAAATACAAAAAGATGTCTGATTATCTACTTTCTGGTTTGTGGTGCGAGAATGGTTCAGTTGTTTGAGGCGCTGACTGCAGACCCAAGGGTCCGTGGTTCGAGTCTCTGGCATGACCAAACTTTCACCCAGAGTGAGAAGAATCGCCAGCTCCCTGTAATTCCAGGCGTAAGAATCACGGGGTATGGTCACATCGAGAGGAAGGACCAGGACACTGCTCGATAAGCATAGCTTCTCATTGTCCTAAAACTACCTTCGGATGCTAGGTAGAAACAATTACAAATACAGTTTGCTGGAGTTCATTTATTGGGGCACACGAGTCCATGCTAACAGTAAAACAGAAGTTGACCGAAACAGACTCTAGCAGTAAAAATTATCAGTGTGCCTAGGAACTCTTTATTGAGAAGTTGAAGCATTCCTTGACTATGAATTATAAAATGGGCTGATAGATAATCAACGCGGCATATTAATAAAAACTTATCTTATTTAATTATCACTTAAATCATGATTTTGGAATAACCTTTTCATCCAGCTTTGAAGGGTGTATGAAGTGTTGTGCTATTCTATATTCATGCTACCGCTTACGTGTTTAAGTGTTTGTCTCAATAACTGTGTCTAGCATTGTAGACCAGTCGATCTCCAGAATACATTAAAAACTTAGAAAACAAACTAGAAAAAGCTTACCATTTTCTAACACCCTATCTTCAATATTCAGACCCGTTTCTAAAAATTTCGTGTAAGGAATTTTGAAAGATGAAAAGGCATTCTACAAAGAAAAAAACGATTTCAGTTATTCATATTTGAATTTGAGCAAAAACTGTAAAAATTACGACTTGCACAAAGACATGATATATCTCTCAAAATTAATTAAGAAATCTATTTGCTAAATTTAATCTTGCTTACTGGAATAAAAATAAATCAATTCAATTGATGAAAACAGCATTTCACATTTGACCGATAATTTCACTACTGTTCCATCATGATTTGGCTTCTATCGTCAATCGCCATTTCACGATAATTACGTTAACGCAATGTATGACTACTTTGATAAAAAGGAGGGATGGACAATTAATATTTACACGGGGCCTGAATCTAATCTGAACTGTGGTAGAGGGCCAAACCAATGATAACTCCATTCTGCGGATTATTCATTTTCTTCCAATTTCAAAAGCAAAGATATAAATATTACCAGAAAAAAAAATATAAATATTACGTCGATATCTAAATAAATAAAAATAAGAAGATTACCAGAATAAAATACAAATAAATAGCATGAGCATCATAAAATAAATTTTCTAAAATTTCTTCTATCATGTTCAGATTGACCACACACTCATGAAGGCCGGACATGTGGCTGGCGGCCGTAAGTTGCCCAAGTCTGATACAAAAGTTACAAAAACTGAAAATTTGATGAAATCATTATTTTTGCATAATGACTCAATCATATATTTTTGCCTGAGCAAAGTATCTATTTAGATCAAAGGTCTTTCGGGTCCAGCGTGACGTATTCAGAAAACAAACAACGCATACAAACCATTATACAACTTGATATCGAATCACTGGTTTGACTACAATAGATGCATCTGGTTTGTGTCCATTCTGTTTTTTCCTGGCATGTGCCAACAATTTGATAGGATGATACAGGATTAACAAGCAGAGTACATAAACTGAAATAACATTAATAATCTGTTAAAAGTATAAACAGATTATTCAAAAAGATGATATATTATCCAGACTGACTAAAATATTGTAACGGGATTTGTTAATATTCAATGTGAAAATATTTTTTAACAATAATAAACAAAAATTTATAATTTTGAAATGGTGAATTTATAGAGGATACTATCATGATCATCATTATTATCATAATCTAGGCCTGAGAATCTGAGCAAAATGTTGTTAACAGTAAGACTCCTTTGACCTAGAGAAGGATTTAATTTAATCCTGTTTTCAATCAAAACAGACATTTGACCACAACACATGATATTCTCATTAAACTGACACAAAGTTTTTAATCCCAATCATGGCAGAAAAAGAATTATCTTGGCTTTTCTTCAACATAAACCAGCTGCTACACTGAACTGCTATTCAGGCCTATTCAACGACATATGCATTGCAAAAAGTTTTTGCTACAACAAGAACCTGACACAAATAATGAATAAACAACAAAACATCTGCTTGTGAAATTTGTCTTTAATTGCTTTTGTCAAAAAAAACTGTTGACCTAGCACTTTCAACTATATCTCCTTTCATTAAATTATTAAAGTGTACTTACAAATTAATGGCAATAGCTTTGATATCTTTTTCATCAAAGTTACACCCAGCTATTAACTTTCCATCAAGAAAAGGACCTATAAACAATAATCCAATTTTGACCATACAGCAAAATCTCTTTTGCACCATCTCATCCACGTTGTCACTTTCATTTGAAGCAACTCCACAACTGGATCTGTCTTTCCTAGTTTCTGCTTCCAAATTTCTGCTGACCACCACATCATTGTTTAATTTGCTATCATCATTGCTGTTCTGTGAATTTGAACAAGCAAGATCAGTTTCCATGCCACGCATTTCAATTTCAGCAAACTTAGATTTAGCCAGTTGAAGAAACAGCTTTGATATATCCAGACAGCATGCTTTAACAAGCTTTACTTGCTTCCAGCTTAGCCTCATGATTGCTAAAATATAAGGTTCATTTCTTAATCAAGATTCAATGCAAGATTAAAATTAAGATTAATCCAGATTTTTATGAAAGATGAGCATAATGCATACTTAGAAAGTAACATACATTTAGAAAAATGTAAGTATTGAAGGTACGGTTACTTTCCAAAGTGTGAATCTATAATAGAGCCAAGCATATGATACCATAATGCTTAAAAAAGGCCAGGGGCTCTTAAAATTCTTCACACCTTTGTGGAGGGACGGCGCATTCAAGAAGATGTATAAATGCAGAGGTTTTCATATTTCAAGGTTAAGAAATATACCTGCTTCCTATAGCTACATTGAAATTTAGGACAAAAGAATTGTACCAGAAATTTCCTATTCACATTAACTGAGCAAGCTTAAATAATTCGCAACCTTCACTTTTATGAGTGATTTTCATATTTCATAACCTTCCAAAAATTTCCCAGGCCAAGGAAGGGACAGCTACGTTGAGGGGGTGTTTAAACAAGGGGACATTTTTGCATTTTAAAATAGTTAAGAGGGTTTCCATCTGCAAAGATATAAAAATGAAAGGGAGTGATAATTCAAAGTAGCACATAAAAACGAAAAAGTGTGATTTTTCAAAGTAGTACAGAAGATGAATTTGAAGAGGAACAGAATAAAAAAACATTGATAAATCATGTTCAATTTACATAAGGAATCCTAAGCAGCAACATCATTAAAGTGACTATTAACTACTTGACACAAAAAGATTTTACAAATTGACATAAAAAAATTGCTAGGAAAACAAATTAGACAATCTGCTTAGATTGAAAAGGAATTATTTCTAAAAACTACAAGTGAAAAGGCATTCAGTCATGTTGGCTGCAAACAAAAATCAAATCAATATTTTGTCACTTTCTTATTTGATGTAGCTATGAAGGCAAGGCAAACCTTTCTGCAAATAATCAAGTGCAAACTTCAAAGACTGCAAGCTTGCAATGATACCCAAGTTTTCAGTCAATCCCAAAATCATTTCCTTTGCACTACAAACCTGGAATTTGAAATTTAAGAAACTAGACTGGTTGTTTAACTAGAAAACACTTTAGATTTACAAAAAATATTGGAATGAATTCAGCAAGCTGCTTAGAAACTTTGATATCAATGTACAAAGTAAGTAACTTTATATAAAGTATCGTTACAAATTACACTGATACGGACTTTGACCTAAAAGAGTAAATTTTAATGTCGTAATTTTGCAGTAACAAAATTATAGTGACTTGATGTGTAGATCTATCATTTTGAGGGGCAGCATATTTAGACATTTGCCTTTCTAGTCAAAATTGAATAAGAAAATACTAGATACTGACATTAAATATTAATGCATGCAAGAAAAACATCTGCCAAAGCATGTAGTAAAACTATAAGAATGGTAAGAAAAATTTGAAGAGATACACCAAAGTGAATATTGATGCAAATACAAACCTTGTTAAGCCTTTCCATTATTTCATGGTAATCTCTCTTCAAAGGGATAAAATTGGAATAAGGAAAAATGATGCTGATAATCTCCCATCCACTGAACTCGATAACATCCTGAACAATATTCCAAAATGAAACAGAGGTAAGAAGCAATGACATTATAAAAATATATTTTTAGTATTTTTTAAATTTGGCTAAAATAATATTATGAAATAATCTTACATAAGATTAAAAAATCTCACATTTCCTATCACATAAAGGTAAATTTAATCCTTTCTCGAGAAGAAGGAACATTAAACCATTACTATTTGATCAGGTTTGCCATTTTGCAATCACATTCATGAAAATAAATATTATCAAAATGTGAGTCCGACAAAGAAAATCTTTTTTATAATGCATTACAAGAGGATTTTGAGTTGGACAGGACAGTTGCATGCTTAGTTGCATAACAATACATTTCCAGGATGGACTTTGAATTGACTAACTTGAAGATGAACTACTAGATCACAGAAAACCTGGATACAGACGTATTTTAGACTGAAATCTTTCTTATTTCCCACAATGCAAGACAGGAAATGGATATTTAGTTCAAATATTTGATACTGAATTACTCACAACATCCAATTAATAATTTTTGCATTGACTGTTTCTTTAAATTTACAGAATGTGCAATTTCATCATGTCTAAGGCTTTAATCATGCTTTCTTCAATCAAATAAAAACTCTGTGTAAATGGACATGTTTTTATTGGTTATATTCTTGTTGCATGTTTATCTATTGGTCTATTATTTGCCTTCTCTTTCCCTCAATCACTTGCTAACTTACTTTGTTCCTTAACAACTCTGAATATACTTAAAATTTCACCTTGAATGAATCATCACACAGCAATTCAAGGACTTCAGATGCACTGTTCTCTTCTAAGCACTGTCTAACAGCATCAAGAAAGTCATCACTGAGAACTGGGTTACTTTTCTTGAATAAAATAAAGCATTTCAAATTGATTTAAAGTTGCATAATTTACACTTAAAAATACTTTGCTTCAAAAGAATATTCTAAAAGTATGTTTTTTGCTGTCTGCAGACAAGTGTCAAGAAGAGAGAAGGTTAGCCTGCGCACAGACTCAACAGGTTTTCCAACCGACGAGTTTTGTTACATGAATCCAAGTTCAGTTGGCTTTATAGTTGGTGAAAATTGACAATTAGCCTTACATTGTTGATTGGATATGTAACAATAGGTTTATTGTATAGTTCAACCAATGGGAAATTCAAATGGCCAGTGAAATGCTCCAGGACATAGTACCTTTAGGCTCTGTGGAGCTATTTTTTCACATGACTGTCAGCATCCTTTCAATTAATATGATGTTTTGCTTCAAATTCCAGCAATCTTATCTTAATGTTTTCAAAATTGAATTTCTATATCAATGTAAACTTGCATTTAATTTCTAAGGATATGTATGAATTGAAATAATAGCGCATTTCCCCTGTTCTTCCAAGGCTGGGGTCTGGTGCGTTGGCAGGCGCATACAAGGCCAGGGTGCATTTCAAGGCCCTCCCGGCAGAGAGCAATCTCCCAATTTTCTCACACCAAGGTTTTTGGCAGAGATTTTAATGGTTTTATGTTCTGGCAGGCAGTACTGGCATGGCACAGAATCTTGAGCGTGAATGCAATAAACTGGCATGGGGTGAATGGTTATGGCAGCCAGCCGTCAGTTCTATCTCACTTTAAACATACCATTTGTAATGAGCCCTTAAATCGTGCTTGGAAAATGTCTAATGTAACCAAATAACTCTTTGAATAAGACAACTCTAACTAAATCCAACAACAACCAAATTACGTTTTTATTACATCTTTTTCAGCTTTATACGTCTTTGGTCAATATCTGATTAAATTATTTCTTTGAGTTTTGTGCTGTATCTATATAGAGATGTTTAGTTAAATTGTACTCTTACTGCAGTCTGTTATGTGCGGGTCAGCCAGAAAACAAAGTTTACTATACCCCTCACTATATAAAAAATTTTTGATCAAAGAAACACATACATTGAAAAGAGCAGTAAAACCCAGGGGTGCCTACACTGGGGGGGGGGGATGGAGGGGCTCTTTGAAGAGGGGCAGAGGGGTTAAGTAGTGCCCTAAAATATAAGAAAATATTATAAAATCTTATCCATAATTGATGATAACATATTAAAAAATATTGGAACACCAGCAAAAAACGAAAAGGCTGAAAAGTTTGTCTGTGACAAGGTGGGCCACAAGAGGGGGCGGGGCAAATATAATAGTGGATAAACAAAAGACCTATTCCCTCAAAAGTCTCCAGCAACCAAAGAAGGATAAATCTGTATTAAACTTAGTGGGCAATCAAAATTTTACAACCAGCCCATTTATAACAGGTATGATTTTCATAAATCCAAATATTGTGAATAGCGACAAAGCCATTTAACATCCATTTTATGTATGGATATTTTTGTCAACATTTTCTCTATGTTAAGAATTATTGATGGTTGAAAAACTCAGCTGTATGGTTGGCAAATATCCATGTTAATATTTTATTATGTTACCCCACTCTTATCCCCCCAACCAGGAATACTTGATCATGTAAGTAGAAAAATTCTATGATTTGCCCTCAACACCAACACTGCCCCTCCTGCCCTAACCTTGTGCAGGTGTCCCTGGTAAAACCTAGCCTGCATGCAAACTAAACTGGTTTTCCCAGAGATGAATCTAACTGATTGGAAATTTAGTTCATTAGAAAACTCAGTGTTTCTCTCCCAGTAGAGTCTGCAAATTCAGTGACAAAAACTGCGTCAAAGGTCACGTGCAGTTCCCACTGGGAATCATTCCTGATTGGTAGAAACTTTTCCCATTGTTATTGTGAAATACAAATGGGGAAAGTAAAGCCTGAAGGAGGAATATTAGTTGCAGTTGGAATTCCTGCCTCCTTGGAATTGCTTCAATTAATTATGATCAAAGAAGTTTCTTTCAAGTTTCCTCTAAGGACTTGCCAAGACATTCATTACAGTGCCCAACAGCCCACAGCAAAGCCAAGTTTAGAGAATTTAGATCAATATTTAATAGCCTCTTGTTTTTACCATAAGAGATTGTCTTTTTTAATTTACATTTCAATCAATCTTTTCCAAAAACAAAAATACAAACAACTTGTCTCAATCAATCAAGGTGGACCTTCGGCGTACAGTTGACATGGAATGCACCCTGGAATATACGGTGGATAGAAAAACACGGAATGCACATGGACAGGGGGAAAGGGACGGGATTGGCAAAAACTCTGTCAATGGGCAGTTACAGGGATCACTAATTGGTCACGGAACAATCAGAATGATACATATAACGCCAACGAACTTACCATACCAAGTGCCGCTTCCCAAAGAAGAAACTTTCCGCTGCCATTTCTAGTCTCACTCACTTGTTCGGGCTGATTGTGGCCTTCTCCGTCCGCCATTGAAGAAACCTCGATATCAGTTCAAGGACAGGGAAACAAAGAGTACAAAACAGTAAATACTAGAGTTTGGTCGAGGTTTGTTCCATGATTAAAAGTGGAGACCAGTTGAATGAGATTGTAGAGTACTTGGCAGTAGCAAAGATGATATTTACTTTAAAAGAGCTAACGAGATTTGTCCGACTTACAGTTTTTGAGTTTGCTGTGATGATAGTCACGCTATTTATTTTTAGCATTTTACTTGCCCTTAAACTTGACAACATCGTTACACTCTCTTGGTGGGAGGTTTTTATACCATTATTTGCGTGCGACGGATTAATTGCCTATTTCGACATTATTGTCTTTATACGGTTGTACGTGGATGCAGAGGAAGAATTCGCATTCAAAAGATTGATATTGAACGGTGCTATTCTTCTTCTGGTTTTCATTTACAAAATTCTTATGTGTCAAAAACTTACAGGAGGGAACGACTTACAATACTCTCTGATTCACACACCAATCTTTATTCTCATCCAAGGACTAATGATGCGTTCATGTGTCATCCCTGACAAGTAGATGACAAACTGTTGATTCTTTACCCTATAAACATGGTGCATGATGGATGCTAGAAAGACTTCAGAGAAATGAAATTTCAAAGACATTTTGAAATGTAAAACACATTTATGTTCTTTGCTGCCTAATAATGGCATTTGTCAGTTTACATTCTCAGATGTAGGCACACGTGGTGATTTTTCCTGTGGCTGCCACTCTATAAATAAAGGCACGTGTTCAACCTGACAGTTACCATTTCTAGCACATCAAGGTTTTCATTGATGAGGATTGATGGCAGGACAGAGATGCATTGCCCAGGCCCATACACACCATATAGAAATTCTACCCAGCATGTGAACATATCACATTCCATAACAATGTGGCTGGTTTGCTCTAGACAATTTTCTATGCATTGAAACCAGCTATGTTCACATCAAATTAATTTTGTCCATGTAGTAGTGTTATGTTTTGTTTTCCAGTTGTTTTGATAACAACCTTTTCTTAACCATGTGCATGTTTAAATTTGTGTGGTCAAAACTTCTACATTGAGCAAGATTTCAAGTCTGGCCTGCAAGCTTTGAAAACGAATATCATCCCTGTTCTGGATACAATCCAGAATACATTTATTTAAAAGTTTTCAGGTTTAGTTAATCATTTTTAACAATCTGACAGCAAAAAAGATGTAACCTGACCATAGGACTTCACAAATTTGACTTTGAACATAGTTTGTTGCCAACAAATGATCCGGGATTCTTGATTAAGATAGAACATACTTTTTTATGCACATTTAAGAGTATAGTTCATCGTAGCTGACCTTGTTTCAATGTATCATTGGTTTGGAAATCACACAATATGCCGTAAGATATTGTCAGTCCTTGTGAACATTTAAAAGAGGCAGGGGGCAGATCCAGAGCAAATTTGAAGGAGGGGTAGTTGGAGCGCTGACAATTTTTCAAAAATTGGTGTCGAGAATACGCTGTATATAACAATTTCAGATCCATTTTGGAAATAAACAACATGACTTTGAGGTAATTCTTGAAGAAAATTAACCTATTGGTCTCAGAAACTTTTTCACCTGATTCTCAGTTTTCAAAAGGGACGTGCAATTTCCAAAAAAGGGCGCCAAACTTGCTTCAACTACCCCTAGTTGCCCCCTCCTCAAATCTGCCATTGAAAAGAGGAACTGATAGACACCAACAGGAATAGAATATAATTTTTTTAGAGAGGTAGCTTATAACAAAGTAAATATGAAAGGAACAATGCAAACAGATTGATAATAATAAAATGTAATATATATGATTATTCTAATCAAAAAAGGGCTCAGTCAAGATATTTAAATGAAATATATATGATTATTGTAATCAATTAAAATTATGATGATGAAGCTGCCATTGGCTCTAATAAAGCATCCTAAAATAAGACAAAATATAAGTTTATATCATCTTAACATTTTTTGTTAGATCATCTTATACCATCTGTAACTCATTTAATCTTTGGTTTAATAATTAAATTGATCATTAAATATGTAATGTTTTTCATATTTTTATGGATTACTTTCATTAGCTGTTTATTTTCTTTGTCATCACAAGATTTATTTAAACTGGCAGACATCCTGATACTTCCAAGATTCATAAGTAACCTGTTTTTTTGTAAATATTTCTCTCTGCTTTTGTCAGTATAACATAGAAGTAAATTAACAAAATATGTCTCTTTGTATATAGAATTAAGTAATGATTCTAGTGAATTTAATTTAAAAGTTATTATTGCTGCAATTTGACAAACAAAGGAACATTGACTTGCTTATGCTATATATTCTAGCGTGTAAAATTGAAGTTCACTATTTTTCTATATTAGAAAACATATCAACATTTTTTATAATACAAGTAATTTTTCAACATCAACAAACGTTGCAAAGCTTTATTTTTAAGAAAAGCTGTGAAAACCATTTAAATTAGTCAACATTGAGGATATCGAATCTTCCAAATTACACAGAAAAAAGGAAACTACCTCGAAATCTTCTGTATGTAATGTTGAATTTTTTACAGATTGTTTTACCAAAAGTTACACATTGTGTACAACAGCAAATTACATTAAACTGTTCAAAAAACTTTTGCTTAAAGCTTTGAGTATCAGTCACTAACCACATCAGTTGTTGACATTATTGTATATTTTGCTCAATACCAGAGACCAATCCAGGGTGAAGTATAGTCTTTGACATGGCAAATAAAATTAGTGGTGTGCTAATGCTGAAACTGTCAGTATACACTTGGCACAAGTGAATCTAAGCCATTGGTGCACAGAATATTTTGAGAAAAATGTTCAGCACACAGGGCATAGCAGATTTACCCTGAAGACCAAAATGATCTTACATTAAACCAAAATGTTACTGTTAACAATTAATGTATTGATAACTATCAAGCAGGTGGGAGACTCTCTACTGGTGTATGGAACTTGAAGTCTGGTGGAAACAGTTCAGCAGCTTTAGGTAGAAGGAGTTTGTATGATTGACGAATTGTAACTTCTGCTACACCAGCAATATCACCAATATCTAGAACAAGGGTTACTCAGAAATTAAAGGACAAGGGTTACTCAGAAAAATTGCCAAACAAAAGGGTGAAAAAATTCTGATATAACTGATTAAATACTTAAATAGGAGTAATTATTACTAATAACAATAGAAAGATTTATGACTAACAAAATAAAATGATAGATTATGCCTAGAAACAAAATGTCTATTATCTAAAATTTACAGTCTCAAAAATCTTTAAAAAAATTGGCAAAACGTTTTAGAACCCTGCCTGAGTAACATCTCACCTATCAATTATACTTTTTACAACTCATACCTTTTTGTGTACGTTTGTCTTCTGATGCTTGTGATGCCAGGTAAATTGTGGCTGCTGCAACTGACACTGGACTGCGGCTATAAAATGATTAATTGGTAATAGAAGCAGGACATAATCATTGAAATGCAATTTATTCCATTTATGAAATCATTTGCTAACCTACAATCTTTGGAATTATATCATCAAAACAATAAAAAGACTAGTCAATGATTTCCAATCAGCTTCCCAAAAGCTATGAAAGATAAGAGCAGATTCAGAAATTATAACTTCTTGCACAATATTTTGCACATTCTGAGTGTTTGAAATCAATCAATGCGCCTGAAATCCAATTCCTCTATTCTGTTGTTTTGAATAAAACATGTGAGAGAGTAAAAGCTAGAAAGTAATAGGAGATGACCAAAAAGAAGAAAAAGAAAATATCATTTATATTGGAAGGAAGGAGACAAAAAGAAACAAAAGAGTAGTAAAACAAAAAAATCTAACAATTAGGGCTATCATCATCATGAGTATTAAATTGTTACACTTTTAATCAGCATTATAACATAAGCTTTAAAAATGACACCTATCTGTCAAGATTATGCAGAGCCAAAGAGGTTGCCAAAGAAAAGGTGCAATTAAAATGATCATATTTGTAAGCTAAACAATCTAGGCATTCTGCGTACCCGAGAAGCTTTTTCAAGAAAATGATTTCTTATGTAAACAGAGCCACTAAATTATAAAAAAGTTTCAGCATAAAAATGAAGAAAAATATTGTTATCTATTTCTAAGAATAGAATTATTAACATACTCACCCAGGAACAAGATCTAACTCTACAGCACGTTTTGCAATATAACTAGCAGCTCGCTGCACTGATGAAGGTAGTCCAAGATTTGAACAGAAACGTGACTGTATAGAAATAATAATGAAATAATGATTAGTAGAAACTTTGGAACTATAAAGCTACAAAAAATATACATTAACTTCAATCAAACCCTGTTTGCCAAGAATATAGATACTGCAGGAAAGATGGGAAATAAGGGCGCTACTGGGTTGTTTTTGATTGGAATTGGCCACCTGGAGTTTTGCACTTGAAAATACACTCTGAAAAATTTCCAATCAAACAAGAAGTCCTTCGAGCTCAGCCCTGTCCAGACTCTTCTACAGCCCCTTGCAATCCTGTACCAAGCCCCAAAAGCCCCCCCTCCAAAGACCCCTTATCAGACTCTGGCCCTCAAGCAAAATTTGCTAGTTGACTGTGACAGAGTCACTATCCATTACAAAGCAACATGATTAAAGCTCACATGGCTTTAAGGACTATCGTTAGAAACATTATGTTTGTTTGCTCTCCAGTTGTTTGTTTTGTTATAAAATCGCATGGAAAGTTTAGTTTCCATCTCTCAAATGAGTGATTTGTAGCGATTATGGAAGTGATGATTCCATGGAGCCTAAAATGCTGTGTTTCTAGTGCTGGAGACAATGTCACTCACAGCATTATGACAACAGGTTGATCACCATATCTTTGACTAGGCAGGTGCAAATTTTAAACAGAAAAAAAGCATACCATGAAATCTCCTGATGTTATAAGATCAACACTTGTTTCCAGTGCCCTTAAGATCAATTTGAAACAACGACCAATCTCTTTCTTTGAAATTTTACTAATGGCACAGATTTCTAGATAAAACATAAAAAGCAAAGATTGAACAGTTATGTAACAATTATCCTTTAAAAGGCTTGCAGTTATGGGAAGAGGGTGTTAATTTGATTGGAATTCATGATAAAACATTAGCTTTGACTATCTTCTATTCATGTACCTTAGTGTATTGATGGGAAGCTATGATGGCGCGCCTTCCACCCACCTCTAATATAAATGTAACATTAATGAACAATTCTGAAAATAGCACTTTTGGATAGGGGCTAGCTATCTAAAAGTCTCCATTTCAAGTACATTGTTTTCCAAGTTTTAACACCTATCCTGTTCACATTTATAAACCGATCATTTGCAAATAGTTAAAATTATTTTTTCAGCAATTGTGATGATTGACATCCATTGAATATCTGATTTAACATGTGCAAAAATCATGTACTGTTGACATTAACATATCAAAGAGGGGGTTGTTTGAAGGTGGGGGCTAATTGACAATTGTTACTTGCAGGATGGGGGCTGCTTATAGGAGGGTGGGGACAATTTTTAGGATTTCACTTACAGAAAGAATGGACTATCAAAACCAAAAAAGTAACATACACTTTATGGAAAATTTCTTGCAATAATGGCTAAGTCAGTTATGAAATCAAGGCCACTAAAACCAGTATGCTAGGTCTTAAAAATGTTAAGATTCTGTAAGGGTTAACAAGTGATTATTTGTTAAAGGTAATGTGTCCATATAAAAGGACTGGGTATACCCAACATGTCAAGTAACATCAAAATAACAGTTTGCAATTGGTCAGTATTCTTGCGATGCAAAACTGCTCACATGAAAAGCTAACCTCACAGCAGGGTAGATAAATAGAAAGACAGTAATGGCTGGGATGATGACATGAAAAATCACATGTTTCTGACAACCCCCGCAGAGTTGCTTGCTTTAGCTGGACACATTACCTTTTACTTTGCAAAATTCTCATTTAGAACATCTGGGGTAAAGAATTCATACCAATAGCATTAACAAGAAACTTTTTACTAATTATCAGAACACCAAACATTAAGTTTCTTAGAAAGTTACTCTTCTAATAAAAAAAGCTTACATTATACTGTTTGATTACTTGAGTAGTCATGTTTATTAAAACTTTTAACAATAAAACTTGAACAGTATATTCTTAACTAAAGAAGATTTAATTGAATTTAAATAAGTATTGAATATTTTTTGGATTTCCTTTGCCAACAAAACAAAGATAGATACAGCAAAAACGAGATTGGATGGAAATTTGGGCAGAGGTTTAGAAAAAGCATTCAATTTTTTATTTACCTTTGAATGTCCGTGGAACCCCTTCTTGCCTGCAAGCAATAAAAAGGCACGCAGACGCAATAGCATCATTGCTTCTGCCCTTTAATGTCTTTTGGTCATGGACTTGTTTAAACAATGTCTTTGCTCTGTCCTGTAAACAAGAATAAAATTATCAACTTTCAGCATACTTTTTTTTGGGGGTTTTCAAGGGAATGAATAACACACCAAATAAAAGATGCAAAACTTTTTAATCTTGGTCTTCCAGAAATGGAAAGCCTTACATAAATAAAGATACGGGAACAACATATTTTAACAGATCTTTCTGAAACTTTCATCATATAAGATAGATAGGGCCCAGCTAGCACACCAATTAACTTTAGTTAGTACTAATGCTTCTGGGATTGTTTGTGTAGTACCTTTTTGGGTACCTAAGCTATCTAAATTTCAGCTGTGCCCCTGTTTAGTGCAACATTTCAGCAATAGGTTGTTAAATCAATTTTCTAAAAAAAATTTAAAAAAAAAAACACAAAAAACATGAAACTTTAAACAAGACAATAGCACTCTCCAAGTACATCATCTATTTATAAATCTCCTGGAATCTTTTTACCAAATTATCCAATAAAAGAAACTTACCACAATTTTCGCAGGTAAATTTATCCTGTCAGCCATGATAGTAATTTCTCTAAATGCATTTAAGAGACTTCGGTCTGACCCACTTGTCTGAAAGCAAGAAAGTATGATTTTATTGTTGACATTTTCCATTTAAGAAACTTTCAGAAAACTAAGACATAAAACATAAGAATTTTTCTTTTAACCAACAAAAGAGAGTACAGTTTAAAAACAAAAGAGAGTAATAACAAAACTGAAAGTGAATAAACTTTATAAGCATGTGACCATATTAATAATGCTATGAGCCAAATGGCTTGAACAAAGCCTAGTGGAACAACTAATATATAATCCCCTAGCTGGATAGCTAACATGTTAGTTGAAATTTTCAGAACATGAAAGTTGTTGCTACATAAAAAAAGTAGCTGCTATGCTAGATTTTTTAAGAAGCTATCGTTTATTTAATAGAATTCAAAGGATAGATTAGAAAACAAGCATTTAAGGTGTTTTTCCCTTTCACACTTTTGAAGAGATTATTTTTTGAGCAAATTTAAAGCTCTTCAGTGCCAGTGTAGCACAGAGAGCTTAGCCACCCATGGGCAGTTATGACAAAGTTGTGCCTTTAAAGCCTTCCATTAGATGCTAATTATGTAACTGTATTTTGCACATTTTCAAAGCACTGCCTATTGGTAGTAAATTGATTGCAAAGGATAAATAAATAGCATCTGTTAACAGACCTTGTGAGTACCAAAATAGCAGGGGCTTAATTAGACAGCATTCTTAGTTGTACAGTTCAATAAGTAGTTAACTACAGTCTGAAAAAAGAGATTTGTTTGTTCAAAATGCATGAAGCAAGTTCTGTTAAAACATTGTGATTTTTGCTATTTATTTGTCATTATCATGCTTTGTCATTTGCCTATTTGAAGCTTTGTCTCTTAAAGCATATTATATGTTTGGAATTCAGTTTGAAGAATGTCAAAACAAAAATAATACCAGACATCATTGAATATTGTCAATAACAAAATTTGGTTTTCACAGTTAGTTTCAGACAGCAAAAACATGCTAGATGCTTGACCGATCAAGCTCCGAGCTCAAGTGCCAATCCTTGCAAGTTGTTGATTGGTAGTTAATTCATTTTAAAGTCATGCATAAATAGTTAATTGTTGTGATCAAATAGCGTTATGACGTTTTAAGGTTTTTAAATCTCTAAAAAGCTGTGTCCTGTGATTGTTACAACTCAAGAAAGTATTAATCTGTAAAGACAGTTTTTTGGAAGTGAGTTTAGCATGAGCTGTACAACTCCATAGAATACACCCATAAGCCAGGTGTGAGTTAAATAAGCACGGGTGAAGTGATTGACAAGTATGTGATTTCTTCTGAGTACTCCATACATATTTGTTATTGATAAGAATGCCTCAATTTTTTCAACAGCTGATTCTTAGCTAAAATAACTTTTAGAAATGTCTTTGATTCCATGCAGCTGTTGAAAGTTTTTGTTTTTTAACAAAATGTGTAAATATCAATTGATCATTGAAAAAGGTCTTTCTGACTAATAATATTGCAGCCTGCTATTATGATCACATTCAACGCTCAGCCACATATTGCAAATACCAAATAATTTAAGTTATGAACTACAATGTACATCTGCTAGTTACCCCACTTCTTGTGTTTTGGTACTTTGAATAAGACCGAAAATCTGCAGCAGACCCTGAGTTCCTATCACTCCCAACCATGGTTGATAAATCATTTCCATCCAGTAAATGATTCTAAAGAAAGATAAAAGAATGATTCTAAAAAACAAAGAAGTTATGTAGTACTACTAAAAGTCTACCAATACTTTATATTCATGGAATATTAAATAGCAACAAAATATTTGCCTATATTGCAGTCATATTTTTGGCAATTTTGTGAAGGATGAAAGACGACCTGAAAAAGACAATTTTTTATAAAAAATTGTTATAAATCCAATTTTTTTTGGTACCTTTCTTGAAACAAATTAAAATAATATTTTCCTATAAAAATACCACCTTTAAAGTAAAGTTTTGCTTTAAAATTTTGGCTGGACAAAGTATTGAAAAGAAAAAATTGCAGGATTGCATAAAAATTTGGCATATCTCTCTTCAAAATAATGTTGTAATGAAAGGAAGTTATTCATATTTGTGCATAAACAATAATTCTCATCTATATTCAAATTTCTTTATATTCATACTTTACAGTTAGGTACACATGTACTTCAATATAAGATTCACTAAATCCTAAATACTATTTCTAATGTGTCTTTTTCCATAGAGAAATTATTACCTCTGATGCCCCCACACGTGATCTGTCAGTAGAGTTACTTTCATTGCTAAATGTCCTCCACTCAGAGCCAACATCTATCACCCTGCAAAAATACACAGTGAATGTGGAAATGTAGGAAATACTGCCTTTACCTCTGAATGTATATTCAGGCTAATTGTGAAAGGATTTTTGCCTACTTTTAAATCATTATAATCATCCCTTCCACTCTGAGTAGTGTCCAAAAAAAAACGATGTTAGGTTTCAGCTTTCCATGCCACCTTCAAATTTTGCATTGCCCATGGCTTATTTAAACACAGAGCAATTTAGAATTCCTTATTGTCATATAATATTTACAATTACATTAAGTAGAAAAATTTTCAGCATGGCAAACTTTTGGACAGTCTAGGACTGTTCAACATTTGTCCGAAAATTGGTTTGTCCAAAATTTCAAAAATATGTCCAAAAATAGTTTGGCCAAAATTTATTGTCCCAAAGTTTATCTACTGAAAACTTTCATAATTAATGTACAAAGTTCCGATCCCAAACCAAAGTTATAATATGTGTTATTGCTTAAATTCTGATCACACATCACTAGGTATCATGCATATATTGACCAGTGCTGATGTGTTTTACAGTCATTTATTACTTCTAAGCATTAGGAAACATTTCATTTTTTCATCGAAATGGAAATTCAAATTTGGTTTGCTCAAACACTAGCAACTCTTGAGACACGGCAAGATTCTATATTCAATATCTAGAGCTTCTAGATTCTGTTGCCTAGAGACAAGGGTTTTAAGCTGTGGGGCCATTAATAACATACAATACTGAAGATCACTTTTTGGTAACACTCAATAAGAGAATTTTAGCATATCTTGACTACAGATAATATTCCATCCTAATTGGATGTAATGAATCCTATACATTAAAATTGACCCCTAGAGGGACATTGCTTCACAAAGACATTTAGAATGAGATAATTCAATACCTGTCTCCCACAACTAGTCCACATTCTGGGCAAACCATGTCACCAGCTCTGTAGTCTTCAAGTAATGTAGCATTAGGATGGTTGGGGCAAATTAATGTGTTTCCAGCCTTTCTACGAGCCAATTGATAACAAAGTTCATAAACATTGTTTTAAACTGCTCATATCCAGAGCAATAATCACCAAGTAATTAAATATTACTAAAAAGATTGTTCATGAAAATAAAAAATATTGATGAAAAAGCCTCTACTAGGGTTAGAGATGTATAAAAACAAAAAACTTCCTTTGACATGTAACCTGGTGATTTCTGATTATGAAACTTTACTTTGGTATACACAGTAAACTTCTCATAACATCAAAGGGCAAAGAAATGGTTGAGATAGCAAAATGTTCTGGTTATAAGGGTATTTTCAAATGAAAATTTTGGGCAAGGGGAATCTATATCAGTTTTGACTTAGCGAATGTTGGTGTTATCAAGGGTTTGAGTTATTGGGAGGTTACTGTAATTGCATTTCTTTATTTTTTTTGCAAACAGTATCAAGGCCAAGATGGCGCATTACCGAATTACAATTCAACAATTGCATAATTAAACGCATATCAAAAGTATATAGTCAATCTGGGTAAAAAATATGCATGCCCCTCTGTGGGGAAAAATTATGCACCTCACTTTCAGCCATGCCCAATCACCTATACCATTTTGCTTATCGTTCCCAGATAGCCTAGAGAAGGCCTGTCAATTTGACCTCCTTTCCCTTTCTGTAAGCATTCTTGATTTAGAATAAAGCGGAATTGAATGTTTACCCTATAAATTGGTCCAACACAAATGTTTTGTTGGAAATCATTGGACTTTCTTATTGTCGCTTCAATAACTGTCAAGCCTACAAAGTCAAGCATTTTCAGTTGTTCTAAGGGATTAGCCTTTTGACCCATGATAGTTACATTTGCTTGCTATCTTTTGTTTTTTCTACATGGCATGTGTATTTTTGGACACACTATTTTTGAGCACATAGGGAAAAATCAGGCACTGTTGAGTTTGATTATTTTTATAGGCACAACCCCCCCCCTACTGACTACAGATTTACAATTTACAATAACAATTAGATAACATTACTTTCACAATTTTCAACATTTAAATCAAGAATAAATTGAATTGATAAAGAGGTTTTGTCAATATGGTATCCAGCAATAAACAGAAGATAACCCAACTGGCAGATTATGATCAATGTTGACAAAATGTTGGATGAACCAACAGCCCTATACCTCAGATGTGGGTGGGTAGAAATCATTTTAAGTGCCAAGTTCCCAACAAATATACATTAACTACAAAAATTTCCGTCAGATAATTTCTCAGAATTTGGCTCAACCTCCCAGGCAGCAAGTCAGAAAAACCAAATTAAAGCGGTTATTTACTCAGTTTATGCAAAGGTGGGGTCAACAGAGATGCTTTTAGCATTCAAAAAGTTTCTACTCTAGATCCAAATGGTATGACAATTTATGTAGAAGTGTGAATATAAGATTTGGAAAACATAAGACCATCTCCAATAGGAAATGTTGGTCTGGAAAGTTTGCTTCTGTTAAGTTCAAAATTTGGGTTGAAAAATGCAAATACCTTGAACGAATCAAAGAAATAGTACAGTTAAGTAAAAGAAGACAGAGGTGGAACCTTTTGAAACCAGCCACAAAAGACAGAGCAGGTAGCCAGGGTGGTTAGATTGGGTGGGGGGGGGGCAAAAGCATGTTTATCCAGGGAGAATTAGAGTCCACACCCGTCAGAAAAAGACTTTACTTAAATACATTTTTTGCCATGATTGGCACCTGTCCCTCTTGCCTCCCTCTCGCTACGCAACTAAGAACTATTTTTATTGAACAATGATGATAATGAAGTTAGTTCAAGAACTGACAATGGTGATGATGATCATGATGAGATGCAAAATCGATTACCTCAACACAGAACGGAGAATAGGAATGGATTAGATAGCAGCAAAATTTTAACATTGAACAAAACAGGAATCTTCTGTTTCAAGTCAATTTTGTAGTTTTTTAATATACACATAAGCATTTATAATCATAGTTAAAATCTTCATGTTGAAATTAGTCTGTGCAGAAAATCTAACTTTGTTTAGACAGTCAAGCCACAAATTACTCCTTTTTCAAAATTTTGATTTTCCAATAACATGCAATGGAATTTGCTGCTCCAGTGAAAACCACTGGGCAAACTTTTAAAAAATATCTCGCGATATTTTAAGTTACTCGCGATTTAGCAGTCCAAACGACATGAAGTTTCCAAAAAAATAATTTTAGCATGATAATTTTAAATCCGAGGTCCATTTTTGATAAAGGACTGTAGATATCGTAAGCAAACTCGACAATGTCAACCCGAAACAAAAAATTGTTCGAGCGGAGGATACTATTTGCTAATCGACAGCGATGCTAGCCTATTGCTGCCATGTTAAAAGAATTTTGAATCCGACTGCATTTCAGGTAGATGCATTATTCTTCGACCCTCAGTACGGCCTAATCTCATTTGTCGGCGAGTAATTTTTGGATACCATGACCCGTTAACATAGTTTTAATAGTAGGAAAATACGTTCAGTTATTATTCTACGAAATCGAAGTTGATGGAAATAAATACATTTATTACCTTCTAGACATATTGCTGTATCTTTTTCTTTACTTCTTTACGTCTAGTGATGTTCATCAACAAGTTTGCTAGTATGAAATAAAAACCCTAGTAAATAGCCTCGATTTGAAATCGAAAAAGAGTCATGCAAATAATGGACGAAGATTGTCAGTAATTTTCAAATTTCATTGTACAGTGGGTCATTTTCTGTTTTTGACGAGAAGTCTGTTTGTTTGAATTCTGAATATGGTTAAAGATTTTTGAAAGGCTCATCTACATTTGTAAAAATGAGTAAATTACCCAAGAAATTATGGAGGGATGCTGCAACAGTTATAGTAGCTGCAAAAAATGCCAGTGTTCTCCAATTTTGCCAGAGTCAACGAAGGACTGAACAGCTAAATAACTACAATTCCAAGACCAATGACTATAGCTTGTTAATGTTAAAGCGACATTCTCAAAGTAACTTCATGGTAAATGCCCTTAACACCTTTTCGAATCTTGAATGAGTGAAATAGCCAGATGCTTTTTTTTCACAATTTTGTCTTTTGACTCAACTGTTAAGGAAAAAGCTAGAAAGAGTCACAATTTCATGATAATATTTGACAATAGTTCAATTTTTCTAGCTATAAAACTGAAATATTGTCAAATATTATCATGAAATTGTGACTCTAGCTTTTTCCTTAGCTGTTGAGTGAAAATGTTTTGATGTGTTTGTTAATGAGAGCTGAAGGGAGCAGCCTTGGAGTGTTGTCATTTTTCAGAGTCAAAGCAAAATTGCAGGGGATGAATCCAGTGTTTGTAATAATACTGTACACTTTGCAATTTTTGCTGTTCACTATTCCAACAACAAAGTGGAGTTTTCGTTCATGAATGATGTGGCTCACTGTATTACCCCCTGCTGCCAACGTAACCCCCAAAAAAGTGGTAACATTTCTTTTTCAGCTTTCAATAGGAGTCAGGGGCAGCACCACGGGGTGGACTGGGCTGGACATGTCCACCCCACTTTTTTTACGATTGATTTTCTGATTTTTCCAGAACTGGAATGAAAACATAGGGGGGGGGGGGGTGTGAGTTTTCTTCTCTGGGAACAAACCTTTTTTTCTATTGTGATGGTCATTTACGGTTCTTCTTCAGACTTTTGTTGAAATAGAGTATGATGTGTTTGATCATTTTTCCCGTAAAGAGTGAGAAACTATAATGAAGATGATCTACAGAACACAGCTTTATTGTGCTAAACAGTTGATTCTTAGAGTGTGATTATTGCCTTCCTTCCTTGTTAAAGGATTTAAGCAGTAATTAACTTGTGCCCAAGCACTTTTTAAGCTGTAAGGATAATAAAGTTGCACCCTTTTCTCAGCTCCTTCATTGTCCACTCCACTTTTTTAGGGCTGGCACTGCCCCTGAAGGGAGTGAATGTGGGATTGATTTTAAGTTATCAAAAATGAATGAATAATAAACAAAATATCCAATGCCATCTTGTAACTCCAAGCAAAGACAGATTAACAAATATTGCAATTAGAGATGTAACCTTATTATTTAACTTCCTTTGGGTGGGTGGCAGTAGTTGAGGTGTATCTTAGAAAACACTTTGCACCAGGTTTAATCTAATCCATTTGATGTATCAAGACAATTAAAAAAATAATTTTTTGAAACAACTCATTTTTGGTCTGTATGGGCCTCATAATATGGTTTTGCATCACCTGGGTTCAGAAATCAAAATCAAATTATTCTCAATTTAATCAACATCTGATGCAAACTACTGTCCCAAACCAAATTTACTTTGTGCATATATTAGATATACAGGCAAATATTTTTAAAGTATTTCCTCTGTCCAGGCAGGCCAATTCACCCAAAATTGGTTAAAGAGCCTAAAGTATGGGTCAAAATAGTGAAAGATTTGCATGAAATAAGTTGCCTTCCATTTTCAGGTTACATCCAATCAATCTTAAGCCAAAGGTTTTCTAAGGATAAGCTAACAAGTCTCTGCATGCATTCTGAATGGAGCGGAAAAAAAATTAACTTCAACAACATATTGCCTTGGATGGAACCAAAATGAGATAAAGCAATGGATATGGGACTGATAGAGAATAGCTTATTACATAAATATTTTCTTTAAACCTTTAAAAACCTTCCGAAGTATCACTTAGGTTTTTTAGTATGAATTTGTTCTGTTTTCCTAAGTTCCAATTTTTCTGGTCACATCCAAACCACATATGGTTTCTGGTTATCTTCAAACCACACATGATAGTGCTACTGGATATATCCAAGTAGATGCATCAATTGTTTTAGTGAATATCAATGTTTACCAGACAAATTATATATTGTATTCCTTTTTTGCAGGCAAATAGGTTTGTCTTTCCTGGTGGTGTGATTGACAAAGCTGACTACTGTGATCAGTGGATTGATATCTTTGGTGCCCAAGGACATTCAAGAAATGAGCTTTTTGAATTATACAAAAATGTAGCAAAACGGCCACCAATGTTTGAAGCATATCACTGCATGCAAGTTATTCCAGATATTGCATTTAGGATTTGTGCTGCTCGGGAAGCCTTTGAGGAATGTGGCCTCATGCTGTTCAAGGCGAACAGAAAGAAGATAGAAGGACTTTTGTCTCATGAAGAAGTTTTGATTTGGAGAAAGAAAGTGCATAATGATGCATTTGCATTTCTAGATCTCTGCAGGCAGGTTTCTACTTGCATCTTTTTTTAAAATTTTGCATGTTATTCTTCCTTTTCATGGCTGGTTTTAACCCTTATCGAGCTGATTTTTTAAACAGCCAAGGGACCATTAATTTGTTTCCCAACTTAGCAAAAGTCCATCTAAAGAGAAAGTAATTTTAAATGCAGAATATATCGGTAGTTACTTCCAGGTGCTCACAGTGTTAGCCCAGGACTGCCTGAGAAGAACCAAGAGGGATCTGGTGGTGACATGTCAATTCGCATTTTGTCAGGATTTTTTCTTGTACCAATGATAATAAAGCATTTGATTACACAAAGACAGATATGGTTGTTCAATGTAAACAAATTAGATGAAATTAACTCAGGCAATAAGTGTCAGACTTGTGTTTTAGACAGTTCAATGTGGTACCTGATATCTGGTCACTGAAAGAGTGGTCCTGTTGGCTTACTCCTGTAGTGCTTGAGAGACGCTTTGACACAATGTTCTACATATACGCAACTGACAACAAGCCAGCCATTGATTATGATGAAAAAGAAATGTCAGATGCAATATGGAGAACTCCTAAAGATCTTCTATGTGACCATATAGGAGGTACTTTGCAACTGCCTGTTCCACAAATTTATGAATTGACAAGATTGGGACAGTAAGTTTCTTATATGTATCTTTTGTCCATTAATCTTCTACTGTCTGGATACAGATTAATTTAAAAAACAATTTTTTAGCCCTCTTACCCAAATAAAATTTGAGTCCTTTTGCAGTAAAGATATATTTTCACCCCTTCCAAACTCGTTTTTTTTCAATGAGCACCAAAGTTTTTACCATTGATATTTGAATTGGCCTCCTTCTTCTGAGTTTTTAGCCTAACTTTAGCAGAAAATGAACCTGAAAAATTAGACACATTGAAAATTAGCTATTTTGCTTTGCCATTTTCATAAGCCCCCACCCTTGTTTAAGCCAAGCCCTTAAATTAATCCCACCCCAAAAACATTCCACATTGACGTATGTATAAAATCACTTTTTCACTGTCTATTTTCAGTTTTGATCTCAAGTTTATCAAGCTATTCTATGCATTTTACATTATTTTGACAATAAGATGATGAAATTATTTGCTTTTTTTAAAAGGTAGCTTTTTATTGCAGATTTCTTACTTTAGAAGAACTGGCAGAATTTTCATTACAGCGAGAATGTCTTGGAACAGAAAGAAACCTGCCCATTAGAGTGAAATTCAACAACGGATTTATGGCAAGTCATTTTGAACCAACCTTAGTTTAAATTTTGCTTCATTCACTGTCATAGTTAAATTTTTTTTGGATTAGCATAGGCCTTATTGATGATCTAAATGGGCATTTATGTGTTTAAAAAATGCTAAAACTATAAACTTGATTTTAGAACCACAACTCACCACCAGAGTTGGTGCCAGTAGAGTCACATGTTCTGCCCCCTTTGCAGGAGCATGTTAGCCCTTCCCCCTGGTCTTAAGGAAATTTAAGTTTATCAGAGCAAAGAAGGCTGTTAAATCACGATTGGAGTAACATTTAGCTATCCTTACTCCGCAATAACCTTTAACAATGAAATTAGAATGGAATTATCTTTCTGTTTCCTACTGGTATCAAAGTAAGAATATTTTCTCTTTGTTAGATGAAGTACATCATTGTATATTATGCACAATTTTCAAGCACTTATTAAGCAAGATTATCTCTTGTAGTTGGCCCAAAAATAGATACAATAGTAATTACTCCCCAGTTTCCTAAGATCCCCCTCATCCCCCTCAGGTGGCCTTGCCCCCCCCATTTTTTTGGGAAGCAAGAGGTTTGAAATTGCAATAGAAGGGGAAAGAATCCTTGGCCCCCCACTTTTGCTAGCCTGATAGGGTAGGTTTTCACAAAAAAAATTTGAAAGAGGTATATGCATCTTTTATAATTTCAAAGAGAAATATATTTAGACTGCAAAGAAATGCTGGGGATGGGTCTGTTTTTCTTCATTTCTTTTTTCTCTTAATTTCCTTTTTTCTCCGGTTTTGATTTTGATTGTTTGACTCACGATTTGATTCAATTTCTAGAGTATTTCACCTGGAGACCATTTCTATACAACCGACCCTGTAGAATTTGAAAATAGAATCTGTGCCAAGCATGGCCCAGTATCTGGAAAAAATCCGTACAAAGTTGACTTGAGACTGGAGGACTTGCAAATTCTTGAAAATGTCCATCGAATGGAATTCAAGTCACTGAATGATTTTAGAATCACCTGTAACCACCGAAGGCATGGTCATAAAAGTATAGATTTTGCATCTGAAGACTTTATTAGAGCAAAAGAGGTTTCATCAAAATTATGAAGAATTTAAAATTTATTTTCATTCTTAATCTAGATTTAAATATGTATTCAGCGCTTGTTTGTATATGGCTCACGTGGTAAGGCTCACTTAATGATTACTGATTTCTTTGAGTGGGGGTATATGAGGGCTAGAAGCCTCTGGCCAGGGCCGTTGCTTTGGGGCTTTGGGGGTGAGACAACCCCCTTTGAAAAAAGTTGCGTTCCAAAAGCGAGTAGTTTTTGTCATCTCTGCGAGCTTCTTCGCCAAATTTTCATCCTTATCAGAAAATGAATGATGGCACACCCACTTTGACTGCAAATGAGAACTAGACACCCTGACCCTTCCCCTTCAGTACAATAGCTAGCAACAGCCAATGGTAAGGCTTTTCGCTGGTCCTTTATTTAAAGTGTATTAGAAACCATATTGAAACCCTTTTCAGGGCAAATTTATAGGATAATAGTCAAAAAATGATCCGGGGATTTTGTCACAGAAGTTTTCAGTGATTTGTCAAGGAATTTTTGGTGCAAAACCTGCTAATTTCGCAAATTTTTGTGACGGCCTATTTGGAGCAAAAAGACAAATGTCGCTAATAGTTTCTAACACACACTTGGCAAAAAGGAAGGTCTAAATAAGAAGCTCTTGCGCAACCTGTATGCTCAGCTGCAGCTGTCTTGAGAACAGGGGCGGACACTTGATCAAATATTGGGGGGGAATCCTATTGTTTTAATAAGATAACGTCACATGTCCCATTGTTCTAGAACAAAAGACCATTGTCCTCTAAAGTATTGGGGGGGGGGGCGGTCGCCGCCCCTCGCCCCCCAAGTGTTCGCCACTGCTTGAGAAATTGTGTTTTGTATTTCCATGCAGTATGATATTAGGCTGGTTTAATTCATGATGATTACTACTCAATTGAGAAAACGGTTTTCTTCTATACGCTTAGTTTAAATCCTTGTTAACATTTAAGTCTTGTCAAATCCTCATATTGACTTATATCTATTGTACGTAGCAATAAATACGTAAACGTCACTTAAAACGATATTCAATTTTTATGTGCTGGTTTTTACAAGTGTTTTAAGTGAAGAAAATTCATATAACTTGGCATCACTGATATTTTTTCATTAAATTCTTCTTTTTGATGCATTTTTAAATAAGTTTATATTGTGTCACAAATTATTCTGTTGGTGCTTACTTAGGTCTTTTTATGCGATTGGAAATTTGCAACAGTAGACTCGAAGTTCTGCGAAGCAAAACCAAGGCAAGAGTCTTCTTTCGAATTAAGCAATACTTTTTTAAGCGATTTGAGAGCATGGCTTTTACGGAGGGAAATCAGCAGCGGGGGCACGTCTTTGTTTTATAAATGGGAGGACATTTGCCTATTGTTTAACACAATGGCACTGGGGTTGGAGAGGCAATTACCCCTAGTTAGTATGTTCTAGAGGCCCTGTTTGACACTTATTTTATGGATGAAATTGTTTGTTTTGCCGCGGTAATTTTAGGTGTACCGCAACAACATTAGCCAAAAGTGTGTGGGATTGTACGTTAAAATCTAACTGTGTTACCACAGACACGAAGCCAAGGGGGCACGTGGGGGGCAGCCCGTCTAGATTTTTTGCCCCTCTGTGCCCGTCCAAAATTTTAGTATGAAAACAAGTTGTCTAAAAAGGTAGATAACGGCGTCTTCCTACATGACTGTCGTAAAAAAAGTCGGTCTCAAGTTAAAACCAATATCGATTGTGCACCAGTCCACACAATAGTGCTTCGCTTCGCTCGGTTGACAGGCAGATTCGGCGTTGCCCGCCAGGGGCGTCGCCAAAGGAGGGTACTTTCCTCCAAACATTTGTCCGTCGGTACATATATTTTTCTCACCTTGTCTAGTTATGATAATTTTGTTACAGTTTTAATGTCTTAAGATTTCTGTAGCAGCCCAACTTTCAAATAAGTTGATATAAAATTACTAATCTTATGACTACACCCACTTTCTCTAAACTTTTTAGCTTCGACCCTGTTGCCCGCCCCCCTTTTACTGATACAACCCCCAATTTCACATCTCTTGGAAACATTCCTGGTTACAAAACTGCTGTCAAATAATCAAACTTGTTAATCAGTCTATCTGTGCAATTGCAGACATAAAATAAATACAACGTTTAAAGGGAGGAAGTGACAGCCGAAGATGTGCGTTTGAATGCAAATAGAGTCGTTTATGTCGAGAATTTTGACAAATGCAAAGTGACAGGCTTTTCCGATTACCACAAAGGAAAGGTTCTAAACGAAGTGTTGTGGAATGCAAATATTGAATGTAAGGTTTTTGGCCGCTTCGTCTTTCAAAACAATAAGCTTTGACAGCTAGAGAAAAATTTTAACTTTTAAGAATAACTTGCATGTTCGAGTCCTTGTAAATGCGATTTCAGAGAGCTTGCACACCTGGCAGTCCTTAAAGGTTTGGAAAACATTTAACTAATATTAATTTTGTTTCTTTTGCAAATGGGTTCAATATGTTGCCTAACTATCGCATGATGGTATAATTGTTCCAGTTGTTAAGACCGTCGGCATTGATTTAAAACGCGTGTCTTCAATAGGATTTTATTAAATATGTGCAATTTTCTTTGCGGCAGTTCCACTGGCGGTGAAAAGTTTGATCAAATTGGGAGACTGTAAGAACAGAATTTCCTTTGGAGATACTGGCAGAACAGCAGAACAAGGTCAATGTTATGGCTGCAACAGATCATGTGTTTGATTGGATCGATGATGAAAATGACGCTATTTGTGACATCGAGGACGATCATTCAGCAAGCACGAAGGCGCCGTTGATTCTCATCACAGACCATCCAGATGCAGCCGTGGAATCTTCTTCTGCCCTTTCTTTGCAAGTGAGCAACCTCCATGAATATCTTTGTCCGTAACACATCATAATTAATCAACATCTTTCACCTTTTCACACAAAGGCTGACAAAAGTGGGGTCAAGGCTTATTTTTTGCAGCTTTGAAATCATTTGCTTCGGAAAAAAGTGGGGAGGCCATGGCCACACGTTTGTATAAACACTCTTTTTTTTATAAGAACAATTTTATAAAAAACACGAGCCTCAAAACTGGTCAAAAGTTAAGAACAAATTAAGAACAAGCTGAGGCTGAGGTTCTGCAAAATGCAATTTTGAACAACGTTTTTTCTCAAAATCGAGGATTTTTCTCAAAATCGAGGATTTTTAGCGATGCGTCGGTGCTTTTTCGGTGAATATTCAAATTTGTCAGCAAATTAAGGCTGTGTCACTCACTTTGTTGGCAAATGAGGCCTGAACACCTCCTTAGAGCGAAAAAGCTAGCAATAGCACTGCTTACACCCTCTTAATTTAAGAACAAATTAAGAACAATCAAGCCTCAGATTTTCGAAAAAATTAAGAACAGTCAGCCTGAACTTAAATTTACTGGTTTTATAAAAAAAGAGTGTATACTTTAACCATTAACTTCAAATTCAGTCAATTACTTACTCATTCCACGAGTCGTTGTGTTTTTCGTCTCCGTTACACCAGTGGCATGGGCCCTGAATCAATCAATCAATCAATCAATCAATCAATTTTGTCATCATAATCAATAGACTAATTTAAAGGACCAATTCCTACAACAATGGAATAGCGAAATGCAGGAGTCGAATAAAGGGAAAATGTATTCGTGTATGAAGAAAAAAATGTTGGAAAGGAAAAAGATCTTGACCTTTTTCCTTCAAAGTTATTACAATATCTAGTCTGGTTTAGAACAGCAAGCCTTAAATTGGCAGTAGAAACAGGCAGATGGGGCAAAATAAGTTATGATCAAAGAATATTTGTAATATGTGTTCATCCAACGAAATCGGAGACGAGTTCCACAAACTCTTCAAATGCCCCACTTCTTTGCATATAAGAAATTATCATATTCCTAGCTATTTTGTTAAATACCCGTTTATGCTAAAATATCAAATATTGATAACAAAGACAGACAACAATAAAAGACTCTTGGCCAATATTGCAAGATTTATAAGGGGAATCTTTAGATACAACAAAATGCAGGTCACCTCCTGTAAAGCAGACTAAGTTCTTTGTTGTAGTTGTTGCTTTTTTTTACTTGTTCGTTTTGGCTAAATTTACATAAATTTTAGTAGTTGTCGCTTAATCATGTTCGTACTGTTACTTGTTGTTGCTGTTAATTAATTAATTTTTCTTTTTTTCCGTTAAAAGCTCTAATTTGTCATCTAAATTGTACTTCAGTTAATTTAATTGATGATGATGATGATGATGATGATGATGATGATGATGATGATGATGGTGATGATGATGATAATGATGATCATCATCATCAGAAATTCTCTTGAATTCCCATTATCTCCAGCCACTATATCTCCTTGTTTTCTATAGTGGCATGTACATCATCGACGTGGAAGTGTCGAGGCCAAGCTGATCAACGGTTGGAGCACATCATCTCCGGAAAATCACGGTAGATTATTCTATTCCAGGGAGTCGTCAAAAGTAAGCAAACAATATTTCATTAAATCTTTCGTTACTTGTCTGTAAAAGGAAATATGTCTTATTTTAATAATTTGCTAAGGTAGAAAAAGGTTTCGTAGGCTCCAGTGCAGGAGACAAAGGACAATAAAGATCTTTGACAAAAGAATAAATTGAGGGGCTCACGATTTAATTCCCTGTTGTGATTGCTCATTTTTTTGCGCATGCGCAGTGTCACATCCACATTGTTTATTGACATGCCGGGTGATGTGCTCCAACCATTCGAACACAGAGTAAACAAATAAGATGCTATAGTTTTATATGATGTGCACATTAAAGGATGACGAAAACTCGTGTAAGTATTTTGCGAAATAGATTATAATACTAGGCTATATTTTTACTAGAGTTATATAGTTTATTTGAATTATAATACTAAGCCTAAGTTACTGAGTTCATGTTATAGGCCTATAAAAATATCTTTACATAAACCTCGCGTATCCCGAAAATGTTACTGGGGCCCTAGTTTAATCACGTTATATTGTGCAACGAAGAGTATTTTCCTATATTTTTTGCTTATATTTGAAAGTCTTCAAGTTTAATCATTTGCCCTAGATCCAACGATAAGTGTATAGAAATCTGGAAGTAATTAATTTTGCTCTGCTCTCCTAGGTTGGGTGCAAATAAGGGGGCGGACACTTTCTCAATATTTGGGGACAGGCCTATTGTTTTGATAAGATGATGTCACATGTTTTCCATTGTTTTAGAACAAAAGTCCATCATATTCCAAAATATGGGGGGGGGGTAATCCCCTGCCCCCCAGGTGTCTGCCACTGGTGCAAATTCATATAAACCTACATAGGGTACTTGCTTATTGCATATGAAACCTTCATTATTTACAGCTGTGGCACCCATGGGGGCTTGGGAATGGGGGCTGCTGCATGCACTTATAATAGAGTATAAATAGGATAAGGATAACATTTAGATATCAATGCAAAATAAAGCACTCTAAAAGTATGTGCAAAAAGTATGTTGATAAATTTACCCCTTTATTGTCTGTTCCCCTGATAATTTTTCTTTCGCTTTATAGCCCTTCTTCATATCATACAATTGCAGCCATAAAGAAGACCAAATTTGTGATGCTTAATAGAAAAAATCTCTTTTAGATCTGCCAAAATGTTTGAATTTCCATTCATTAAAGAAGTGTGTCGTTTTCTCAAACAAATGTTTTCCTTCTCAATCTGATCTTTGTAACTCAAAGTTTTCATCCTTTTTTCTATTTTGAAGCACCAAAGCAAACTTCCTGCAAGGTGATAAAATAGCTCAAACTTTCAATTTGTTATGCTTTTCAAAATCTGCCTGGCAAATATTAAGTTATTTCATCCTTTAGGAATAGACCACACCATTTATACTTGAAGCAGGAGTTTTGCTGGAATCATCAGAACTTGAGAGAGCATACAGCTTAGCTATAAGTAAAAACTCGCAGTTCATATCTAGTGCTGTCTTGAGTTCTGGTTAGAATGTGAGGGCAAGCACCCTTTTCATCTTCCTTAAAGGAAATATTGAAGTTGCTTATAACCTTTCCCAAGGGAAATTAGCTGCTAGGGTAAACCCTTGTTTATATATAAACCTTGTTTGAAACAATGTAAAGTCATTGTGACTGCAGGGGCAATTGCCCCACTACTTAGTATGTGAAAAAATTCCCTGAAGTTTATTGAACTTCAAATTATGTTTGCTCTTTTTAGGAGTTCTTTGTATGAAATGACAAGAAAATAACAGACTGCAATGTTGATGTTCCATATAAAAGTGTGATTTAAAACACCCTTTTTAAGACTGAGTATTTTGATAATAATGCCAGGCCTTGAATTTATGTCCCTAGATTTTATTTCAAAACTAAGAAAATTTTAGCATATAAGGAACACCGCAACGCGACAATAATAAACAACAACAAACACACAAATCAGTGATGGCTAGCATTATTCAAGACTAGGTTTATTTATGCCCAGTATTAATTTGATTACTAATTGAATTTCTTTTTGTTAATTAACAAATTGATATTTTATCTACAGGGAGATGGGTTTACCCTGGTTGACTTTGATATTCCTACACGTGTCAAACCTTGTTCACACCCTGGAGTTGACTGCCCACTATGTGACAGGGTAAGAAAAATTGCTACATAATTTCTATAGGTGTTTTCATTAATAAATTCTACCTTCAAATTAAGGGTATTTTCTGAATCATTTTTTCATAATAATTATTTGGTACTAGAACCAATAAATTTTTGTAGATTGTAAACCTAGAATGCTGAAATGTATTAATTGAAATCATTATTATGCTTTTATTACTGTACCCATTTTCATATTCCCACATTGAACTGGCTTGGACTCCTATAGGATTAGTTGAAGAAACGTTAGTTTTCTATATATTACCATTTTTCAGTGTCAAGAACTTGAACTATCATTTTTTGACCCAACATGTGTTGGCTGCAGTGAAATTTTGCTAAAGTGAGTACTTAATTTGGTTTTGACATTATTGTTTCATCTCCATTGCTGCAAAGAAAATTATTACCAAGTTAATTTTCTTAGTTTCAATTCTTACTGATAATTGCATATCTTGTGTGATTAATCCATGTTTTCATGCTTCTACCTTTTTCTAAAGCCTTCTATCTAATGCCCTGAACCTTATTTTAAAGCTGAGTGAAATAAACATTGCATCATTATATTTGTGCTACCTCAAAACAATTTGCTAAGTGTGTGTTTAATCAAGCTTTAGTATTTATCTTCTGGTAATTTTTTTGTAAAGGAAAGCCTGCTTTATATAAAGGATACCTGCTTTGGAAAAAAGCACATCATTGTGAGATAAATAGGCTTTTTTGTTTCACACAGGTGTTTCATTCCACACAGGCAATCACACTCACTCTTGCTAGATTTTTACCGGGCTTTTCACCACCCTTGCAAGAACATGTCTCGCCCACATGGGAGAGGAAGACTATTTATGGAAAAGTCAGTTTGCATTATACTTGAATGAAAAGCCAAGTTACCAATAAAAAATTAGCATCATTAGTTCATTATTCAAGTTTTATGTCATTGCTTCAAAATTTTTACAAATTTGTGGTAATATCACATTTAGAAAATCAACTTATAGGCAGTTGTGGGCAGTTGACAACCTTACACCCCTCTCAGGCCCTGGAGGACATCTCCTTTAACAAATATTGTTAGACAGGTGATTTCCTTCTAATCTCATCCATGCAGGCAGATTGTTGTGAAGATTTCTCCATGAAGAAGCCTTTAAATATATTGCTGAAATATTTATTTTATCATACTTTGGTTTCTTGTAGCCCTGAAACAACAATATCTCAAATATTTGCTATTATGAGACAATGGATACCCCAAGTTCAACAAAATATTGATGTTTTTATAACAGAAGTAAGTCCATTTGTACCTATGAAAGACCTATAATTTTGAGGGCTTGATTTTATTTATCTTGTACATTAACTTTGATTTAGCTGAAGCAATTCAATGCTTAAGATTTGTTTAGCTTTGAGTTACACGGCTTTTGGTTATAAGAAATAATGATTTATGGTTATTGCTGTGATTTATGAAAAATATTTTCAAATTTTAGATTCTTAGAAGGGGTGGACATGTCAATGACCGGGATGGTCTCACCGATATGACAATGCTTCATTATGCATCAAAATCTGGCGCAGGTATGTCCCCTTTTTGGCATTTCTTTGCTCTGTTGTATTTATTGGTAGAGGGGGTGTGTGATACCCCAATGTGAAACAGATGTCACAAAATATGATGTTTTACCAGTTAGGAGTAGCATTTTGGCAATTAAAGAGGAGGCTCGAGACCACTGGCAATGAATTCCGTTTGGCCTTGGCTCCGCGTTAAATGATCTGAGTTATTTTCTGTTTTCTCTTTTTAATTGTTGCTGGATAGAATCAAGCTTTGATAATTTAATCCCAAAATAAATTTGTGTATGTAAGCTAGAAATCTTGGCTTTTAAAATTACAAATCCTGAAAAATTTCATTGAGAGTTTTAGTTATATTAAAGGTAGATAAAGTATTTTTTGCCATTGGTTAAGACAACATGAACATGTTATAAGCTGGAACATATAAGAATATATGGTAATATTTTTAAAATCATATTTATTGCTTTTCTTTTTAAAGGTGGAGTTGGTGATCCAGTTGTTGCTAGTGAAACCGTACAATCTCTTATTGAAAAGGTGATTAAATTGTATAATTTACTAAATATATAGTGTTAAATTTAGTAGAAGATAGGCTAGAAATGAGACATGTTCTGTGTTACTCTGAGTTTTGTGCTTGCACACACATCAGGCAGACTATAATCTATGGACAGACTATAATCTTATGATGAGCGCACAAGCACGAAACTCAGAGTAACCGAGAACATGTCTCATTTCTAGCCTATCATCTACTATATCTATTGATCTGTGCCTTTGCACGTTGAGCACTGTTGAGTCAGAATAGACAATGCAATCTGGAATAGTGTTAAACTTATAATACTTGTATATGCACTTCTTGATTCTCAACCATAAAAATTGTCATCAATTAGCTGGTGGAGCCAGTATTTCTGAATATTGGAGACTTATGCTCCTGCAGTTTTCTACCATATCTGAAATAGTTTCAGGTGCTTTCTTATTACTTTGTGCAGCTGGAGTACCTGGGCTGCCAGGTTCACAGGTGACTTTTGGTATGGCTGTCACTGTTCTGCCACAGGGGTGTCCAGGTTCTATCATTTGCCAACATAGTGAATGAGCCATTCTTTATTTGCAAATGAGATCTAGACATCCTCACTAGCCGCCATGTTTGAAACTTTGTTGATGAGGTAACCCTTAATGGCAGGAATTTTCATCTGTTAATTAAAATACCAAATTATTAACAAAAGAAACTGTTTTTTTCAGAGTGCAGATTTTGCACAGAAGTGCAGATGGACAGATATGCTGCCTCTCCATTATGCAACGTTCTTTGACATTGTTCCAGTAATTAATATTCTCCTCAACGCGAGCGGTGGATCTGGTAAGCGCCCATACTTTTTTTTTAAATTATGTCCCAGTCCATTATGAATGATAAATAAGTTTCTTTGGCTTATTTTCCACCAACGGACTACAAGAAGTAGATAAATGGTCTCTACTTTTTGTTTTGCAGTGAATAAAGGATATATTGATGGTTGTGGAAATTATTAAAACCAATAACGAATGAAAAATATCGTGTAATGAATAATGCTAGATTCTTTTCATATGCCAGACGAATTTCTCTTGGAGTTGAAACTTGCATTGACTGTTATGCCCTTGCGTTTTGTCTTTGAAAAGGAGAATGAAATGAAGCCTCAACTTCCCATTGACATTTTTTTCACTCAGGTTTTATATGTTTTAAAACTCTATGGTATTTTAAACCTGATGTGCCTCGGTTATGGTTAGGCATTATTTATGCTGGAACGTTTCGTTTAGATGCAGATGCACCATGCAAAGAGTTTGACAACGGAACCCCACTGCATATCGCGTGCTCAAATCTATGCCTCAAAGCTGCAAAATGCTTGGTAAGATACAGCTGAATTTTCTTATTTTTGTTTCTTCATTGCTTATGCTTAAATGGCGAGAAGACTGATCAGTCGGAACTGATTGCCAAAAAACATCAGTTAAACCTGATCGTGAATATAGCCTTAGTATCATTTTGTTTTTCTCGCGTTTATAGAACCTGGATTTTCTCAGCCTTTGGATTATAAACCTGTTTTTAACATTCCAATATTACACGTTATTCTGTAATGAATGCCTTTTCCTGGAAGTCCATATACTGCAGGCCGTGAACCTTTGGCAAATACTGTCTGTGACTGCGTTCTCCATTCGTCATCATAAGGCCAGAAACCGAAGACTTTGGACAAAATTGGCCGAATCTTAACGTAATACGAAGCTTCCGATGTTTGCAAAGTTGGTAACGACAATTAAGACGACGTTCAGTTAAACGATGCAGATAGAGTCATTTTGACTGATCATTGTTTTCAAATGTCATGAAAAAAGTCAAATTTAAGTTTTTGTTGTGTTTTTAGGTTTAGGTTGGTATTGACCAACGTTGCAGTGTAGAACTTCATACTAAAAAATTTACCTACCCTTCCTCAATTAGGATTCTGGACATAAAAATTTGTAGCATAGGCTCTGAGATTAAGAAATATTTACTCTAGACCTGTTCTTAAATTCTTATTAGAATGCGGGTACAAAATTGTGCGTATTCTCTCATTAGGAGGCATTGATTACCGATCGAAAATATATGATTTTATATTTCTCTCTAATTGGCAAAAAATTATGTATATGTTCTTTCATGCTGTAAAATCTTTATTATACTGATCAGCTTCAACACAAGGCAAACCCGAATTTTCGAGACGCAAGCGGCAGGAAGCCAAGGGAATGCCTTCCTCCAGGTATGTTTGATATCAATTTAAGCAGTGATGTGATAAATCTTCGATTATTTGTTTAACTGCTTATTGATTTTGTTAAAACTTGTATAAGTTATAAACTGGAAATCAGAAAGTGACTGTTTATTCTTTGCTGTAAAGATTGTGTTGATTAAAAGTGAGATATTGCTTACTTAACCGAGTTGAAGAGCCGCAGCAAAACCTTTTATGTTTGTCTATGCGTATGTTTGTATGCGCTTTAGTGTATAGAACAGGGCGGTTTAAGTTGCAACTATGAGTTCCTCCCTTAATGCGATCATCAGACAACTTCATGTATGCATTAATGGTCTTGTGTTGCCTGGTAATCGCATTAATCGTTGAAAACAGAGTTGCAACTAAGAACCGTCCCATTCTACGCAGCCAACCGTCCTATTCCACGCAGCCAACCGTCCTATTCTACGCATCCAACCGTCCTATTCTACGCATCCAAGTGCTAATGAAATAAAAAATCAAATCAAAATGGGCCTTATGTGTTCATTTACCAACAAGCTGTTATCATACAGATATTTCGTAACTAAAGAAATCTGCCTGATAACGGACGGCCTAAACTCGTTGAACAAAGACTCCGGGCATTTTTTTCGTACGTTTTTGGTATGACTCAAACTAAATTTATATTTCAGGATCATCTCTCGAACAGAACCCTGAAATGCAATCATTGATGCTGAAAATGCAGGCACTTCTTCTTGATGCTGAAAATTCATCCAAGTTGTCCAAAAAGGAGGTCTGTAGAAAACTCTTCTGATAAACCTTTGTTAAAACCTGTATTTAAGCCAGGGGGTAGTCATGATATTTTGCTCCTCCTGGTGTCGTCTTCGTAGTGTTATGTAGTAGTTCGTTGGCCAACAATTCGCTATTGCAGACTTTTCAATAGGATGGAAAAAAAGAAAAAAACCTGCATTAATGATTCTAGTCTCATATAATATATTGTTGTAGTCGTCAATCTGAGGTTTTTTAGTACTTAATTTATCAAGATTTGCATACTGTACAGTTTCTGACAAAGCAGTTTGATCTTGTTTTTCATTAGAGTTTGAACGACGCGACTCTGCATGCCCTAGGGCTGTCCATAGGTGATGACGTCATTGTCTCTGGCAAGGTTAGTCACTACTGTCATTTTAAATAATACCTTTTGGAAATTGGAAACGAAGCAACAGCTATGAACGTACTTCTTCAAGAAGCTTGCTTTGAGTTTTAAATTCAACTTGCTAGAAATCATTTGCCAAGTCAACCTGTGACAAAAGGGTGGCAAAGAATATCCGGAAGAGATCGTTGAAATTGGTGACAATTTGGAAGCCACTGTGTCTATACAAGTAGCGTTCTTCGATGGGATTGGCCGAGTTTCTATAGCTTGGTCTAAACCAATCACCGTACGAGTAGCTTGGTCTAAACCAACCAGTGTACAAGTGCTAGGTCTAAACCAATTAACGTGTGAGTAGCATGGTCTAAAGCAGTCAGTGTACAAGTGCTAGGTCTAAACCAATTAGTGTACAAGTAGCTTGGTCCAAACCAATCGACGCACAAGTGGCTTGGTGTAAACCAATCAACGCGTGAGTAGCTTGGTCTAAACCAATCAACGTGTGAGTAGCTTGGTTTAAAGCAGTCAGTGTACAAGTGCTAGGTCTAAGCCAATCAGTGTACAAGTAGCTTGGTCTAAACCAATCAACGTGTGAGTAGCTTGGTCTAAACCAATCAACGTGTGAGTAGCTTGGTTTAAAGCAGTCAGTGTACAAGTGCTAGGTCTAAGCCAATCAGTGTACAAGTAGCTTGGTCTAAACCAATCAACGTGTGAGTAGCTTGGTCTAAACCAATCAACGTGTGAGTAGCTTGGTTTAAAGCAGTCAGTGTACAAGTGCTAGGTCTAAGCCAATCAGTGTACAAGTAGCTTAGTCTAAACCAATCAACGTGTGAGTAGCTTGGTCTAAACCAATCAACGTTCGAGTAGCTTGGTCTAAAGCAGTCAGTGTACAAGTACACTTGTCACTGACTTGTCTTAGACCGAAGCTACTGAACGTTGATTTGGGTGTTTGAATCACCAAGCTACAATCACACGTTGATTGTTTTACGACTAACTACTTGTACACTGATTGGCTTAGACTAGCACTTGTATCACTGACTGCTTAAACCAAGCTACTCACCTAGTTGATTCTGGTTTACGACCAGAGCTACCAACCGCGTTGATTGGTTTCACCAAGCTACCGTTTGCGTCGATTGGTTGGACCAACCTACTTGTACACTAATGGTTAGACCGAATGTCACTCACGTACGTCATAATTGTTTAGACCAAGAGCTACTGTACACTGATATGGCTTAGACGTAGCAATTGTAGGCTTTATGCTTTAGACCAACGCTAGCACGAAGTTCGATTGGTTATCGAACCACTACTCACACTTTTGGTTGGTTCAGACCAAGCTACTTCAACGTTGATTTAGTTTAGACAAAGGCTACTCAAACGTTGGATTATGTACCAAGCTCTCAAAAGATGAAGTTTTAGACCTTGACTTGTACACTGGTTGAGGTTTAGGACAAGCTACTCGTTACGGTGATTGGTTATAGACCAATGCTACTCGAAGTTGATTAGTTTAGACCACTACTTGTACACTGACCTGTTTAGACCAAGCTAACTCGAATCGTCTGATTGGTTTAGACCAAGCTACTCGCCACGTTAATTGTGGTTTAGACCTAGCACTTGTACACGGTGGTTAGAAAGCTCCGTACGTATTGTAGACCAAGCTACTCGTATCGTTGATTTTAGAAATACTTGAGTGGAATTTAGCCAAAGCTACTTGTACTGACTGCTTAGACCAAGCTCAATCGACACGTTGATGGTTTAGACCAAGCTACTCACACGCTTGATTGTTAGACTAAGCTACTTGTACACACTGAGTGCTTAAGACCTAGCACTTGTACACTGACTGCTTTAAACCAAGCTACTCACACGTTGAAATTGTTTAGACAATGCTACTTCACTACTGATGATTGGTTTAGACCAAGCTACTCTGTACACTGTATTGGCTTAGACCTAGCACTTGTACACTGCTGCGTTAAACGCAAGCACTACCACGTTGATTGGTTTAGACAAGCTACTCACCGTTGATTGGTTTTACACCAAGCCATTGTGGCGTCCGATTGGTTTTGACCAAGCTACTCTGTACACTCAATTGGTTAAGACCTAGCACTTGTACTACTGATCTGCTTTAAGACCATGACCTACTACACGTTATGGTTTTAGACCGAGCCGACTTGCATGTTTGGTTAGACCAAGCTACTCGTACGTGTGATTGGTTTAGACCAAGCATTACGAACTCGGCCAATCCCAATCGAAGAACGGCTACTTGTATAGAACAGTGCGGCTTCCAAAATGTCACCAATTCAACGATCCTCTCCGGATATTCTTGCCACCCTTTTGTCACAGGTATGACTTGGCAAATGATTTCTAGCAAGTTGAATTAAAATCAAACAGTTCCTTGAAGAAGTAATTCAAATAGCTGTTGCTCTATTTCCAATTTCCAAAAGGTATTTATTTAAAAATGACAGTAGTGACCTAACCCTGCAGAGACAATGAAGTCATCACCTCATGAGACATGCCCTAAGGGCAGTGCAGAGTTCGCGTTCGGTTCAAACTCTAATAAAACAAGTATCAAACTGCTTTGTCAAGAAACTTGTAGTATGTCAAATCTTGATAAATTTAACGTACTAAAAACCTCAGAGTGACGACTACATACAATATATTTATTGACTAGCAAATCATTAATATCATGGTTTTTTCTGTTTTTCCATCCTATTGATAAAGTCAGCAATTAGCGAGAGCGCCCAAACGAAGCTACTCATAATCAACTACGAAAGACGGACACCAGGGACAGAAATATCAGAACTAAACCCCCTTGCTTAAATACAGTTTCAAAGGTTTTATCATAAGAGTTTTCTACACAGACTTCACTTTTTGGACCAACTTGATGAATTTTCAGCATCATGAGGAGTGCTGCATCTTCAGCATCAATGATGCATTCAGGGGTTCTGTTCGAGAGATGATCCTGAAAATATATAATTTAGTTTGATCCATACCCAAAAACGACGAAAAAATGTCCCGTAGGACAGTCTTTGTTCAACGAGTTTGAGGCGCGTTATCAGCAGATTCTTTAGTTTACGAAATATCCTGTATAGACAGCTTGTTTGGTAAAATGAACACATAAGGCCCATTTTGATTTGATTTTTTATTTCATTAGCACTTGGATGCGTAGAATAGACTGTTGGAATGTCGTAAGAAAGTGAGGTTGGCTTTCGTGGAATAGGACGGTTGGCTGCTAAACTGGACGGTTCTTAGTTGCAACTCCGTTGTCAATCACGATTAATTCGCGATTACCAGGCATACACAAGTACCATTTAAAGCATACATAAAGTTGTCTGATGATCGCCATTATAGGAGGAACTAATAGTGGCCAACTTGAAACCGCCCTGTTCTATACACAAAAGCGCAATACAACATTACGCATAGACAAAATCATAAAAGGTTTTGCTGCGGCTCTCAAGTCTCGGTTAAGTAAGCAATATCTACTCAGTTTTAATCCAACACATGCAATCTTTACAGCAAAGGAATAAACAGTCACTTTCTGATTCACAGTTTAATACTGTATACAGTTTTAACAAAGATGCAATAAGCAGTTAAACTAATCGAAGATTTATCACACCACGCTTAAATTGATAAAACATACCTGGAGGAAAGCATTCCCTTGGCTCCTGCGCTGTGCGTTCGAAAAATTTCGGCGTTTTGCCTTGTCTTGTTGAAGCTGATCGAGTAAAGGAAAAATTTACAGCAATGAAAGACATATACATATGTTTTTTGCCAATTAGCGAGAAAGTAATAAAATCAATATATTTTTAGATCGGTAATCATGCCTCCTAATGAGAGAAACGCTACAATTTTGTACCATTCTAATAAGCAATTTAAGAACATGTCTAGAGTAAATATTCTAATCTCAAGAGGCTATGCTACAAATTTTTAGTCAGAATCCTAATGCAGGAAGCGGTAGGTAAATTTTTTTATATGATAGTTCTACACTGCATAATCGTTGTCAATACCACTAAACTAAAACACAACAAAAACTAATTTTGACTTTTTTCATTGGACATTTTGAACAAAAAGATCAGTCAAAATGACTCTTAATCTGCCATGAAACTGAGCTGTCGTCTTGAATTGTCGTTACCTAATTTGCGACATGCGGAAGCTGTCGTATTACGTGAGAGAATTCGGCCAATTTGTCCAAAGTCTTGGTTTCTGGCCTATGATGACGAGATGGAGAACGCAGTCAAGACAGTTATTTGCCAAAGGTTCACGGCCTGCATGTATACGGATATCCAGAAGAAGGCATTCATTGACTAGAACTAACGTGGTATATTGGAATTTAAACGAAGGGGTTCTAATCCAAAGGCTGAGAAAATCCAGGGTTCTATAAACGCGGAAAACAAAATGATACTTAAGCTATATTTCACGATCAGGTTACTGATGTTTTTGAATCAGTTTCCGACTGATCATCTTTTCTCGCCATTGTAAGCAAAGCCAAGTGAAGAAACAAAATAAGAAAATTAGTCTGTATCTTACCAGCATTTTGCAGCTTTGGCATAGATTCTGACACGCGAATGCAGTGGGGTTTCCGTTGTCAAAACTCTTGTGCATGGTGCTCTGCATCTTAAACGAAACGTTCCAGATAAATAATGGCTAACCATAACGAGGCACATCTAGGTTTAAAATACGAATAGGTTTGTTAAACATATAAAACCTGAGTGAACAAACAATGCAATAGGAAGTGTAGGCTCATTTCATTCTCCTTCAAAGACAAGACCAAAGGGCATAACAGTCAAATGCAGTTTCCACCTCCAAGAAAATTCCGTCTGGCATGATTAAAAGAATCTAGCATTATTTCATGTACACGATATTTTTCATTCGTTATTGGTTTTTTAATAATTTCCACAACATCAATATACCTTTAGTCACTGCAAAACAAAAATAGAGACATTTATCTACTTCTTGTAGTCCCGTTGGTGGAAAAATAAGCCAAACAAACTTTATTTATCATTCTATTAATGGACTGGGACATAATTTAAATAAAAAGTATGGGCGCTTACAGATCCACGCTCGCGGTTGAGTAGAAATATTAATTACTTTGAACAATGTCAAAGAATTTGCATAATGGAGAGGCAGCATATCTGTCCATCTGCACTTCTGTCAAAATCCTTGCAACTCTGAAAAAAACAGTTTCTTTTGTTAATAATTTGGTTTTTAATTAACATAGATGAATCCTGCCATTAAGGTTTACCTCATTCCAAACAAAAGTTCAAAACATGGGGCTAGTGAGGATGTCCTAGATTCTCATTTGCAAATCAAGAATGGCTCAATTCACTAGTTGGCAAATGATAGAACCTTGACACCCCCTGTGGCAGAACAGTGACAGCCATCCAAGAGTACACCTGTGAAACCTGGCAGCCCCAGTACTCCTGCTGCACAAAGAATAAGAAAGCACCTGAAAAACTATTTCAGATATGGTAAGTAACTCGCAGAGCATAAGTCTCCAATATTCAGAAATACTGGGCTCCAACAGGACTAATGATGACACCATTTTTATGGTTGATGACATCGAAGTGCATATACAAGTATTATAATTTAACCTCACATTACAGATGCAGTTGTCTATTCTGACTCAACAGTGCTCAACGTGCAAAGGCAAAGATCAATAGATATAGTAGTGATAGGCTAGAATGAGACATGTTCCGGTTACTCGAGTTTCGTGCTTGTGCGCTCATCAACAGATTATATGTTCCTGTCCATAGATTCATAGTCTGCTGATGTGTGTGCGAAAGCACAAACCAGAGTAGAACAAAGACATGTCCATTTCAAGCCTATCTCTACGAAATTTAACACTATAT